TCATAGTTCCGAACAAATCATTCCATACCTGAATACACTTTCCCAAACCTCTAGGTAAGCAGCAGCAGATACGTATTTCATCTTTGCATTGGCATCATTCTCATCACATTTTTGAAAGACTTTTCAAAATGTCTGAAGAGGATTCAAGATATTTGTCAAAACTCCCAAAAATTGTTTTGTGGCCAAGTGTGCTTTCCCAGATCTCCAGGTAAGTGACAACATGTAGTATTCTACCTATTTAAATTGGCATCAACATTTACATCGCATATGAAAATAGGACTAGATTCTTTAGAGTCCATTCCAAAAGATCATTGCATAGTTTAAATCATTAGCATTTACTTCAAATTCTTTATTGCATAACATTGCATTTCGAAAATGGGATCAGATTCTTTAAAGTCCATTCCCAACATCAAAAGATTGTTGCATTGCATTTGCATGGTTTAAATTTAGGTGTCGTTTATCTTTGAAGGAAATCTCTGCGAGTTCCCTTTCAAAGAGGGGCAGTTGTTAACACCTAAATTTTGATGACATGTTTAGTCATATACTGCATAAAAAACATTAAGGGTCAATCCCGACTCTTAAATTGCATTTCTCATAAGCATTAGACCCACATGTATTTTAATTGAGCGAATGTGAAACAAATTCAATGAAGGAGTGCACGTGCTTAATTGAAATAGCAAGAAATCATGAAGGGCCAGGAGGAGTCGTCAGAAATCAGAATATGTGCGGAGCAAGAAAGAACAAAAGAAATATACTCTAGGAATGTCGAGCGATATTCTTGCTAAGGCATGTGAATCTTGGGAGAGAGCACATATCCACGATTGAGTGCAAAGTATATTTGGCCAAATATTTGCATGATTCTGGACAAAAGCTGAATCTTCGAGAGCGAACCAATCAACCAGCAAATTTCAGCTAGTCTAGAGAAGGAAATCGTGGGGATATTTTCCCATTTGAAGGCGCGGCAAGTGGGGGTTAAAAAGAAAGAAAAATAAAAAAGGAAGTAAGAGACAAACAGCTTAATGCTTTGCCGAGAATCATTCAGCTAAATGAACTATTGAAGGAAAACAAGAGGGGATCAATTTGATTGATCATGCAAGAAAGGTGGGAATTCTGGCCAGCCATTCTTGCATTGACAGATATTCAAATCTCGGTGATTGAGGAGCCGAATTTCCTGTCAATCTTGGGCACTTGAGGATCAAGAGCCATGAATTGTGCAAAGAAATCAGGTGAATAAGAAGGCAGGAAATTTGATAAAATAGAAGGAATCAAAGCGTTCGAGGCTAAGTAGCATACATAAAAAGAAAAAATTAAGCTGGCCATGAAATTGTGCGCAAACTTGATCGTGAATCATGGCGATGAGAAAAGGAAACTCAGAAAGTTGCCCATAGAAAGAGATGCTCGGAGCCATTATAAAAGGAGGGGAAAGGAATGCAGGAAAGGGGTAGTTTTTTCAGATCATTGCCTCACCATACTAAGTTTTCCCGTGAAGTGCCTGCACAATATTGCTGCGCTCAGCAGCTCATTCTGCTCTCTGACAACGTCACTATTCCTATTGAATTACTGCCCTTATACAGTCCTTGTTTGCTCTACACGTTGAGCTGTGTTTCACTCCACTTCGGCCGCTCTCCATTCTCTGGCGAGTTTCCGACAGATCATCGTCGCTGCTCGTTGACGTATGCTGAACATCGTTGCTGTTCGTTGACGTATGCTGATCACCGTTTGCTGCTATCACTAATCATCGTCGCTGCTCGTTGACGTATGCTGCATTGCTGCTGTTCGTCGTTGTTTGTGGTTGTTTGCTGCTGATGCGTCCTTGCTGCCGCTGCTCATTGTCGTTCGCTGTTGCCGCTGCTTGCTGCCGTTCGATTGTCGCTGACACTCGCTATTCGCTGCTCGCTGTTACATCACTGTTATTGTTGTTGCGATCCACCTCACTTTAGATCGACTTCTCGTGGATAACTATAACTAAGGTGAGGATACTGTTAGTTTAAATTTGTTGATACTTAATACATGATTTTATCTAGTTATATATTTTCTTCGCATTAACCAAGATATATTAGGACGTTTGGACCTTTAGACACTAAGGTCAAACCCTTAATATTATCTAGACGCGATTCATTGATCCGCAAAAACATTTTTGAAATGAAGAGAAAAGGTACCGAAAGTGCGTTAAATTAATCTAGCGTAACCAAGTCCCGAATCCCTTGAATTTTTGGTTTTTGGTTCGCACAAGTAAAATGCACTCCCACATTTTACTTGGGTGTCTAATCGACCCACAACCGATTAGTGGTGGCTCTGAAAGGTAAGATAAATGTCATGATTAAATCGAGTGCCAAGTTGCGATCGGATGGGCTTGGAAGAGTCCGCACTAAACGCGAGCGATTGTCTCATGAGAGGAACCTTCGTTCCCGTTTAGTAAATCCGTTAACCATCCCCTAGGGGTTCACCTCCGGGAGGTTGTGACACTACTTACGAAACCGGTTGGACTACACCCGAATGGCAACGAGGAACGAACGGCGGCACGACGTGAACGGTGCGGATAACGGCGACAGTGGTACGGCTGTGGCAAACGACTTGGTGATGGACGGCTGCACGACATGAACGGCTCAGCGACAGTGGTGAGCGGTGACACGATGGTGTGGATGGCGCGGTGAGGGATGCGGTACGGCGGCGAGTGGCACGGCAGCACAATAGCAAGCAGTGGTGACGAGCAGACGGTGGCACGGCGTGGCGAATGGCGGTGAACGGCACAGCACAACACAGACTGTGGTGAACATCGGCGACGTGGCAACAAGGACGACACGACGCGTTGGACGGCCATGAGTGGCGCGGCAAGGATGGCACGGCACAATGGACGGCGGAGAGCGGCACGGCACAGCGATGAGTGGCGTGGTGGTGGCCGACGGTGAGAAGGGCATGAGAGGGAGAGAAATGAGAGTGAATGCGAGAGTGGAATGAGAGAAGTGAGAAGGGTTTCCATTAAAGTAATTTTGTTAGAAGACTCCAATAATACAAATGCATTAATGGCTCAACCACCAAGCCTAGCCTAGCTCCTTAATTTGCTCCCAACCAAGCAACTTTATGGACAAGAAGCCATCTTGGAAGTCTTCTTCAACAAGCCTCTCCCTTAGGTAATCATGGCTAACAAACTAAGTTCAAGTACTTAGTTAGGGACTAATTAGGGGAACCAAACTAGAAACCAACCAAGTTGACATCTTCCCTCTCTTCCCCAAAGTGGCGCCCAAACCATTCAAAACAAGACCCAATTTGGTCTTTCCCCAAACAAAGCTTCTAGAAGTTACATTAGAAGCTAAACTATAGGTTAATAAACATAGAACACTAATCATGCACAAGGCACATTAATGTGCAATCTTCCAAAAATCAACCAAGGTCAAATGTGGTGAGATGGGCTTTAGCCTCTTGATTGGCGCCTAATCGGGGCCGAATAAGTCCAATGATGCATAATTAAGCAGCGTCGGATTGATGATGTCACAGAAAGTGAAGAGAAATTGAGAAAATTTTAAATAAGGAAATTTCAAGTTCTGACATTTTAAATTTCACAAGGTCAAGCATTTTATAGGATATTAAAAAGGAAGTTTTTTTAAAAAAAATGAATATATATATATATTTACCCAAATTTAACCAAACTTTGACTGAGCATGTCTTTTCTGTCTCACCTTCAATTGACTCGATTTTTCTACTTACGGGAAGCTCATAACCCGATTGTTTCAAAAATGCAGTTCGATTTTCAAAAAGAAAAAGTGTTCAAGTGACGAGTTTTTCGGAATTGGATCGAATGTAGGGTCACGATATTGTCTTCGCTAAAAATCTGATTATCGTGATTAACCCTAAATAATTTGAATGATTAGTCCATCCAAGCTGACTCTGTTTGCATATTTCAAGCAGCTGGAGATTTTATACATGTCAAATTAATGCAATCAAGTCTTTCTGTTAATTTTGTTCAATTTGGTTAATGGAACTTTTTTTTATTAGTTTCTCTCTCCTACGTGCCACTAATGGCTAAAACATCAAGGACAAAGCTGCAAAACTAATGCAGCGTTGACGTGGCTTTTTGTGACATTTGGTATTTTAAGGGCTTTGTGCTTCTTTCAATACTCTTGATTGCACATAAGTCCCTTCTTAAATGAAGGTTCATAGCCTTATTCTTTATGTTTTAGCTACGTTAGCACCACGTAAGAGAGAGAAAATAATAAAAAAGCCACATGGACATTTTAGATTAGCCAAATTGGATGGTGTTAACGAAAGGACTTGATTGCACTAATTTAATAATTTTTAAGATTTGATTGCATTCTTTGTAAGTTTGAGAACTCGATTGCACTAATTTCACAAATATGAGATCTCCTCGTGGTTGATAGCTTTTTATGTAAAGAAAAGTAATTTATCATTTAAGTAATTTCATTATTGTAATCTATAACTTTTAATGTAGGAAAAATAAACATCTCCTTTTATATAACCAAAAAAACATAGTGTAATTTTCCAAGAGCATGAAAAATCTTCAACCACTCAACAATTACGAGATTAGTAACTTTTGATATGTGTAGAAGTAAATACCAATAAAACAAATATTAATCCTTTTCTTATTGGAAAAGTAAGCAAACATGATATATGCATAACAATTCAACAAGGAGTGGCCATACAATCACCGACATTAAAATCAAGTATATCCTGATAAAACTCCACTTCAATAGGGAATTTTTTTAGTTAATACAATGAAACAAATAATGCTATACGTAGAAGAATGCAAATAAATTCAAGAACATTGTCTTGAGGAAGCAATGTATCCACCAACTACATAAGGTGCAAGTCTCAAATCCTTCACGAGCCTAACAATCCAAGCTTAAAGCGAGACGAAGGCCAACTCGTTTCCAAGAGTAAAAGCAAAACCTTTCTCTAAAACCTCGCCTATCTCTCACGTTACGTAGAAGCAACCCACTCTCTTTCCTCACTCTTCCTTCACTATAAAATACCTCCCAACACAAAAGAAGCACCTCATCACATCCAAACACTATAGAATTTCTTCAGTCCCAATTCACTGTCGTCTACTACAGCAATACCAGCTCACGATTTTGTGCAAGATATGGCTCCCACAAGCTCTTCGAGATCCAAGAGCAATGCGTCCAAGCTCCAGGGCATCAGGGACGCCACGTTTGCGTCTCTAGGGAACCTCGTCAAGCTCCTCCCGACAGGGACGGTCTTCATGTTCCAGTTCCTCAACCCCGTCCTGACCAACAATGGCCATTGCCACACCTTCAACAAGTACCTCAGCGGCTTCCTCATCGGGGCGTGTGGCTTCTCGTGCGCCTTCTCTTGCTTCACCGACAGCTTCACCGGCTCTGACGGTATGATCCACTATGGCATCACCACGGCTAAAGGGCTATGGCCCTCATCGGCCGAGTACTCCGGCTCGGTCGACTTGTCTAAGTACAAGCTCCGGGCCAGCGACTTTGTGCACGCGTTGCTCTCGACGATGGTCTTCGCGGTAGTGTCACTATTGGACCTGAACACCGTGGAGTGCTTCTACCCATCGTTCGAGTCGAAGCAGAAGGTGCTGCTCATGGCTTTGCCTCCGGTGATCGGCGTGGCTTCCAGCATGGTTTTCATGGTATTCCCTAACAAGAGGCATGGGATTGGGTATCCTTCTTACAGTGGCGAGTCCAGTGATCAAAGTGCTACCAAGGAGGAAGAATGATTGTAAAGATTAAAAAAACAACAGCTTTCGTATGTCATTTGCTTGTTAATTAGGGAAGTGTACTTCTCCCTTTGAGCGGTGTGCTTGTGGTGTCCAATATTTGGTGTTGTGTGGCTGTAACTTTCTTGCTCTTGCTCGTTTTCATAATATAATATGTGGGTTATGTGAAGAGTGGCATGACAATGGTCTTGAATTTATCATTGTTTAGTTTATGTTACACCATAGTAGCTTGATAAGTGAATTTTATAACCTTGACGGGTGAATTAAGAAGCACAAGATCTCGAGTTTGAAATTATCTCCATGGCATGCTTTCGTATCACGCATTAAGGCCCAAAATGGCCCAATTTAGGAGTAGTTCGAGATACACCTTTGCAAGTTTCATTAGAAGAAGTTAATGATCAGCCTTCAAAAACATTATCCAAAAAGTAAGAGTGAAATAGCCAAATCAAGAGTTCATCAACCCCAATTAACATAAACACTCGCCCAGAAACTTTCCATGATTGGGAGTTGTATTTTCCTAGAGATGAGTTTTGGATTGGGCTTCATCCAGAACAGCCCACTTTTAATGTTAATCCAATTTGGTAAGACTCCAAAGATCGTATGTATGTGGTATGCAACATGTATGCATTCTTTCCTGACAAAGCATTACTGATAGATGACAAGATTTCAATCAAATCATTGAACATAGAACAAATCTTGGGCCTAAGTCCACATTTAGATATGGTCCACCTAATTGCACGTGGGTAGCTAATGACGCGTTTACCTTATAAAGCCATCCAAATCCGTTGAATGCAATCTCTTTCTTTATCAACTTGTGAAACTCTCTAGATCTAATGCATGGAATTGTTTACCTTTCTCTAGAGACATATTTTCCTCCATCCCTGATTGGATTCCTCCAGCTAGTCGTCAGATTGGTGGGTTAAAGACACGAATATTGCCTACATTTATATTTGATTAAGCATGTATATGGATGATGTTTCAAACTTGTAAACCACCAATCAAAACACATGATTGGAGGAATTATAGATTTTTTTTGGCGTAGTATAGAATCGGTCTCTTGGATCAAGAAATGTTGAATAACACCCGATGTGCGAAACTTCCTTCAACTGCCACAAATAGGTAAATTGTGTAAGTCTAAAATGAACTTGTGATGGAAATATGTAACTTTCCACTATTCTCTATGGTGATGGTGCTTGTGGAGGTAGTTGAGTGCGATATGATGTTACCTATCTAGATTGTTACAAGACATCGAAGTGAACAGAAAACCTAAAATGTAATAAATAAAATGTAAACATCAACAATAGAGCCAAATAGTAAAGAGAAAAAGAATGCGTTTTAAGGGACTATAAATTTACCATAGACACAGTTTACCCTAATAAATTTTCCAATTATTAGGTTACAAACATAAACACAGTTCACATTTATTTTCAGTTAAACCTGCATGTCCACATTCACAAACCTTCAATCGAGCTTTGATCGAAAGAAATCGGAGTAAATTTTCTTTGATCAGGGATGAAGGAAAATACAGCCGTCGTTAATAATTTTTGTTCGATGCGAATTGCAATTGCGATTGCCAAGTTGGTGGTACCATGCATAACTTCTCAATAAGCAACTATGCTAGCAATTTGGAAGTAATAATCTAGCTAGTTACCCTCCAACTTATGCTTTGAAGGCCCTACTAATTGGCATTGTTGCCCTAAAGTGGTTTGCACACTTGCAAAAGAGGATTTAACACTATCACGGCGGTGAATAGAAGGAAGGACTTAATTCGCCCACTTGTATATGAACCCTATATAACAAGCACCTCGTCTCCTTTCTCCTCCACAACCATCTTTACCACATCAACTTCCAATTCCAGATATGAGCTTCATACCATTCTCTCCTCCTTTCTGGTACTACTGACCCTTGCTTGTGTCCCTTTCACACCCGACGCAATCTCTTCATGCAACGGCTCATGTCAAACGCTGAATGACAGTGCGGGCCAATAGATTTGCATCAATGGAAAGTGCAACGACGATCCCGACCTAGGCACTCATTTATGTGGCGGGACCCCTCCATCAACCATACCTCCGCCTCCACCGTGAGGGGGGGGGCGCACCATCTCCTCTTGTAATGGCCCATGTCGAACGTTCAATGACCGTGCAGGCCAATTGATATGTGTCGATGGGAAACGCAATGACGATCCTGACTTGGGCACTCACATATCCACCACCCCCGTGTCCCCTCCGTCGACTGTACCTCCTCCTTCTCCATCAAGCGTACGTTCCTCACCTCCTCCGTCAAGCGGAGAATGTCAATCTTCGGGCACTCTGGTTTGTGGAGGCGCATCGTATCACGAATATAGCTGCTCACCCCAAGTTACCCCTTTGACTTCCGCTATTCTGACAAATAACGACTTCAGTCAAGGTGGTGACGGTGGGGCTCCATCCGAGTGCGACAACGTGTACCATCAGAATTCAGAGCTGATCGTCCCATTATCGACAGGGTGGTACAGTGGTGGATCCCGCGGCGGCAAGATGATTAACATAATATCTGTTAAAACCGGGAGGACTGCGAAGGCTAAAGTAGTCGACGGGTGCGACTCCATAAATGGTTGCCATACCGAACATGCTTATCAACTGCCGTGTCGAAACAACATAGTTGATGGCTCCGATGCCGTGTGGAGTGCCCTGGGGCTAGATAAGAATGTGGGTGAAGAAGACGTGACTTGGTCCATGGCATAGAGAGTGACCTGAGTGTCTTCATTTCCACGTGAGAAATGAAGCTTTACGAACTCTGATGAATAAGTGCTAGACATCGCCAAAACAATAAAGTTAAAAAGGAAAAGGTTACCTGTACTGCACTCTATTTTTCATTTTTTATTCCTCAAGTTTCAAGACATCATCTCTCACAAAAAGAGGGATTTCAAATACTTTCTAATTAGAAAGAAATTCATATCTTCATGTTTTCTTTTTTAATTTTCTACCGTACAAATGCCGGTGTGCCACATAAGCATGACCCGCCAGCAATGAATAGGATATGTAACGGAGGAACTGGATTGTACAAAAGAAAAATCAGCGAACTTGATTGAAACAGAAAAGCATGAGGACTTAATTGCGCAAAGCACAAGACTCTGGGACGGAACATATCTAATCCTTGGTTCGTGCAAAAACTAACGTCCCCATGCATACAATCAGAAAAGCATAAACTGCTCAATACCGGAACAGGCTCTTTGCCGGCTGGCTCGCTCCAAAGACATGGACGCATCAAATTTAGCCGCTCGGTTCTTCAGCATGTAGACATGCAGATGACCACCTATGACTCTTCTATCATTCCCAAAGGCTTGGGTTGTCAGAATGTATGAAAGAAAATTCACTTTCCTGAAATTACTGATCATCACCGAACAATCCCTCCAGAAGATTTGACGACGACTGGGCATTTCCATTGCCATCAAAAAATTCCGAAGTGTTTTGCTTTCTAGATTTCCGCTCCTCAATGATAGCATCCATGGTTTCTGCGCAGAAATTACGCTTCACTTGCTTTGCTGGCTTCTCAGCCACAACAAACTTATTTCCATCACGGATTCTTTCGGAGAAGCCTGCCCAAACTGAAGAGAATCCGTGTCTCAGATTTTAGGTGTGGGTCAGAATTATGTGGGAGTAAAAGGAAACGGGACAATACAGATTAAGTTCTCGAGTTACACGTGATCAATTCTCAATGTGCAGAAGAACATTCAGAATCTCATGAAGTCTGGAGATATTTAAGAGAATCAATTCACAGAAGAAACAACAAAAACAAATATCCATCCACAGGACCACCAGCGCCTATTTTTCCAAATATAAAAGCAAAGTTGCTAAATTATGTGTCCCTCTTGATATCATTGATGACTCGACCACAACTTAAGTGATGACAATCCTCTCGAGCCATTTGAACAGTTGATCCTTTCGAACCATAAAATCAAGTATAATTGTCGTCAGTCCAAGCATAAACATTCAGTATTCATCCAAGGGCTCAGGCCTATCCGTTAATCCAACCCACCAATGACATTTAAACACCTCAATGCTTACACTTTGCTACAACCCCATGTGAGCAGCTGGGCCAAAAATGAAGTATACTAACTAATGACAACGCATGATGCACCTCCAAAAGATATCTTCTAATCTCCTGAGAAGGATTACTCAAGACAACGAACAAAGGAAAAGTTGCATATAGTTGCTGCATGAAAGAAAGGATGAACAAGCCTGTTTATGCAGTAGGAACCCCACACAAGATCATCTCCACCACTGTCTAGCATGACATACAGTTTCAAATAGAATCGCGGAGATATGAAACACAGCAATAAAGACAAATCCGCAACAAGGTATGCATAGCAGCAAATAAGATTATGGAAACGCACGAGTTTTGGAGGTCGGTCACTAAACTCATATATCAGTAGCTTACGCTGCATGCATATCAATTAACAATGTAGCTTAGATTTCTAATGCAAGCACATTTACTACCATGTATACTAGCACAGAAGTATAACTTGGTCTTTCAAAGATTTTTCAAAAGTAATGGGATTCCCAAGAGATTACCTCCAAAATGATGTAGAACTATGGAAGCTGCTACAGTGACATTCAGTGAAGCAGTGCCACAGCCATACTGAGGAATATAGACAAAGAAGTCACATATCTCGCATTCTTTGGCAGAAAGGCCTGTTCCCTGTTCTCAGTGAGAATAAATCAGATTCTCAAAATCAGCCTTTGAGAAGTTTCATAAAAGAAGGGTTTACTGTATTGAGATAAGATTTCTCGATTTATTGTGCCATGCTTCATCAGCTTTAATTAACAAATAAAGTAGGTAAACTTAGAGGATTCTATCTCCAGCTCAATACACTTGTCTGCCCCTAAGTTCATTGATCACCAATGAACAGTTGCAAGCTGTGAAGCGATGTATAAAACATTCATGGGTCAAGTATCTGCAAACTGCTTTCAGTTGATGTAAATTCAATGTGTATTTATAATTAATCACCCGATCGAATACTAAGTATGCCCATCTATCGAGATGACTACATTTGACCGAAAATGCTTAGAAAAAAGATAGAAGAGCAGCTTATAGTTATAGGTCATCGAAAAACCGACTAACAGTCACCCTGAATCAATCAAAGATTGCTCTTTCATGGAGGAAAAGTGGAATTGTGCAGACAAATTTACCTCGTTGCCGACGAGGAAAGCCGTGCTCCTCTTGAAAGGATGCTGATTGACGGCTACAGCATCATCTGTGATTTCCACACCACATATATCACAATCCTTCTCCTAAAGATTATTAAGCAGCACAATGTAAATCGCAAAACACCTCCAACGTTTGGCCTACGCAAAACCGAAAAAGAAAGAAATTTGACGATTCCTACGCAACGGAATCCGAAAACCCAGCTGGGTAACTAGTAACTACAGATCGCTTCACGGAAGAAGCGCTCGTAAACCAAGAGAGAACGCGACCCACCTTGAGGAAGGAGCGAGCTTCGGGGAGGGAGTGGAAGTGGCGGAACGCGAGGTGGGAAGTGGACCCGTGGCTCCCGAAGGCGTTGAAGTCCCGGCGGCCGACGACTATGAGCTCGGAGACGCCGAAGGCGGTGGCGCTCCGGGCCAGGGTCCCCACGTTGTGCCGCTTCGCTATGTTGTGCACCACCACGTAGCTCTCTACACCCATCTTTCTCTTTCGACTCAGAGGCAGGCAGAGGCAGAGGCAAAGGCAGAGAGAGAGAGAGAGAGAGATGGGTCTGAAACCTCGGGCGGTTTTCTCTTCTGCTGGTTCGAGCTTGTCGAGGAGGAGAAGGAGAAGCAGGTTTTATGGTCGATACGATGTCGTTTGACAGGACAAAGGTGGTTCCTTTGTCGCATGTCTCGCGTTCGTTTTCCGTGTATCCGACGCTCTTAGATGGATGTTTCTCTATCATGAAACTTTTCATGGGCATATGCGGCTTTAGCCGTAAAAAGTTTGCATTTTTAACATGTTCAGACAGGTATGAATATGAAACAGTAACAAATGGTAAATGTCATAGATTGATCACATCAGATCCAACACATGGGTACCCTTTATTCATCTCAGAATCGTTATTATTATCGTCGCTTCTTTACATGGACGGCGATTATATACAGACCGGGCGCAAAATCGTCGAATGCGCGAGAGCAATTGCCATCGTCGATGGGGCGACTTGTCTTCAAACCGCTACTTGAGCCGCCGCGAGCCTAGCAATAGGGACCCTGCGAAGGCGGAATGAAAAATGAGAATGCCACTCTTCCGAAGTCGAGAGAATTAAGTGAGACAGCAGACGCGGAGCCCGGGCGAATTCAGCAAAGAGTTAAAAGAGTATTAGATAGAGACCTGAAGGGAGAACACGAAACGTAGTCCAGTCCAGCCTCCGCAAAGAAGGCAACCGAAGATGGCTCGCCCCCGTGTTCTCCGCATATACCGACCTGTTTTCAGTCCCGCATCACTTGCACATCTCAAAGGAAAATAAGTAGATGAAGGAAACTGTCGCGCACGACGCTCCGTCGCAGACTATTCACTGAAGTCCAAGTGCGGACCCTATTGTTTGGCTGATCGTTTTTCATGATATGTAACTTAGAAGCCGGGCATCGCTGATATTTCGACGACAGCAGTTTTTATGCAGTAAGAACTAACGCGAGAACGATGTACGGGAAAATCAACCATGTAAGGTGAATTCATGGAAAGCCAAATATGCGGGTGTAATAAGGGGAATGATGTGTTTACCGCTGCAGTGTACTAATGAGCAAGTCTACTCATTCACTGACGATTACCTTTAAGTTTGGCCTAGCTGCTCGGCCTCTCTCGGTTGCAATCTTGATAAGTTGGCCTACGCCTCTCCGATCTAGCACCTGCAAGCAAGAAAATTCGGATTGTCAGGAATTTGGCGAGGCTCTCCCTCGGCTCTTGGAGGTAAGGTGTGGGACTGACCTCGAAAGGATCAGCTTGCAGGATGCCTTTGGACAAGTATATAGGAAGGAATTTGCCAACGTCGTCTCTGCTGTATCCGAACGTCATTTGCGTTAGATCGTTGGTCCCAAAGGAGAAGAACTCTGCCTCCTTTGCAATCTATGGTTAATTGCACCAAAGAATGAGCAAAGTCAATAAACACAATGATATGCAATATGCTCCAGCATTAACATTTGTGTTCATCAGAGCGATCCTTTAAAACAGTAAAAACAACGAAAGTGCAACTGCAGAGAAGAGAATGGGAACACTGCATAGTGTCGGTTAGACCCGGCACATAAGGAACAAATGGTTTACGCACCTCATCGGCCACAAGAGCGGCCCTAGGAATCTCAATCATTGTCCCAATCTTGTAGCTTAATGATGAACCCGCCTCAGAGAATACTTTCTTGGCAATGCTACGTATTAAACTCACCTGATGTCCTAGTTCCTGGCAATCAAAATCATCAAATTTTCCATGAGGACTGTTTCAGTCCTTACATCCAAAACCAAAATGTCCAAAAAGGTCATTAAACTACAGTTCATGCAGTTGAGTGGAGGCACTTCCAGGGGGACTGTTGACTATAAAAGTGAAACCCAGATCAATTCAAGCTCATATTCAGCATGAGTGGTTATTTTTGTGGAGATATTAGCTAAGAGAGTTCAGTAAATGAGAGTTTTGGGAACTCACTCTTAACTGTAAAAGATTTGGACTATGCATATTTAGAAGAGGAAATGAAAGATAGTCATGCCTGAGGCGTTCCCACTAGTGGAACCATTATCTCTGGAAGAACTGTGAAGCCCTGGCGGCTCATTGTCACCGCGGCTTGGAAAACTGCATGAACTTGCATTTCAGTCAGCTCGGGGTATGATATGCCTAGCCTGTTTACATGCCAAGAAAATAAAAGGAAATTCATATTGACGCAATAGAAGCAGTTGCCCGTTTGAGCGAAAAGGTTAGTATTGAACTGAGAGGATGCATTCGACGTTTCCATAATTCAAGCATTGCTAATTATACACGAAACTTGCGGAGCATGTGAGTTTATGTAACTTCCGGACTAGTCAACTAAAGTAAGTATTCTGACAAAATACAATAAAAAACAAAAACTAGAGGAAGTAGGCAAATCCATTTTTCTTGAACATTAGCATTTAAGCAGAAACCACAGCTTGCAAATAATCAGAAGGATCACAAACCTGCAGCCTCGGAATCCAAGCATGGGATTTACTTCAGATAATTTCTCGATCCTTGAGTAAACTTCATCTTCAGTCATGCCGGTCTCTGTGGTTAGTTCACTAACAATCTGTTCTAGGTCCCCTTCCGGAAGAAACTCATGAAGTGGCGGATCTAACAGCCGGATGGTCACTGGAAGGCCTGGAATTTCGAGACACCATTTCATGTAATTACCGAGAACACAAATGTTTGCAAAAAAAGAATATGGAGAAAGACATAAATAGTATGCGAAGGCAATACAGTTACCATCCATAGCACGAAATATCCCCTCAAAATCAGATTGTTGATAAGGCAGCAACTGATTCAATGCTGCCTTTCTCTGTTCAGTGGTGACCGCCATTATCATCTTTCTCACTGCTTTTATCCTCTCATCCGAAGCAAAGAACTGAACATGATGAAAAAACATAGATGATCAAAATTGAGTTCAGAGTACCGCATGACACATGACTGCATGTCACACAAGGAAATTCATGCACATGCGAGAAAATTATCCATCCGCAACAACTTCACCCGCTGTCGGTATAAACAAGACAGCATGCTAATATAATTGGATTCTTCATCAATAACTCAATAAACCACCATTTTGACACCTTAAGGAGGCATTATAATCATGCCATTTCAAGTATATGAGAGATTCCTCTCGACCCTTTGGACAAGGCAAGTATTTAAGACCAGCAAAATTTGCGTTCTATTGCTTCCATGACAAGAATGACTGATCAAAGTGGGAAAATGATCTTCACCATGTGTTCTGTCCTGCAAAGTCCAATCCCTTGGGCGCCATTGTTTCTGGCTGTAAGAGCATCTTCAGGGGTGTCAGCATTTGCCATAACCTAACATTGAACGGTATGATATCACCCGATCACTAAGAGAATATCAAAGAACATACATGTTAAACTGCAAGAACTTTTACAAGATGAAGAAAAGACTGGAGAAAAGGAGCTGTACCTTGAGAGACCTTATTTCATCGACCCAGGACATGAAGATCTCTATGTCACCACTCAATGCTGGAGGTGAAAGTGGTTGTTTACCCAAAATCACTTCGCCAGTCGATCCGTTAAGGGAGATCCATTCGCCTTCTTTAATTACCTTGTCTCCAATTGTGACCACCTGCACTATTGGAAAAGAACCCACTGATGTGATCACCTTGTGTCTGAAAATTTAATGGGTTCATCACACTCTAAATTTTTTTATAACGGTGATCTAGACAGTAGTTTCACAAGAAGACACAAATTCACAATTGTGGAGTTCAAGATGAAATGTCTCCATAACCACACCGATACTTGTGTCCTATCTGTCTAGGAATGGGTATGTCAACTCAACAGAAGAGCCAGAGTAACATAGCTGAGAGAGAGGGTTTGCAGGAAAAATTACCTTCTCAGCATCATTTACGAGGATATCAGCGCAGCCAGAGACACAACACTTTCCCCATCCACGCGCCACGACCGCCGCATGAGATGTCATGCCACCTCTAGCTGTTAAAATACCAGCAGCAGCATGCATTCCACCAACATCCTCTGGGCTTGTCTCAGTCCTAACCTTTACACACACAGAAAAAGTGTTAATTCGCCTGTCTTAATTTGAGCTTGCATCCCAAAAGAGATCCTCACAGTTTTAATTCCAAGAAAAAGGCTCATTTTTCCATTGCCAGTTCGTCAACTCGTGATCAAATTTGTTTGAACCACTTTTCTTTGCTCAATACATATCGATCATAGTTTATGTCATCAGTTTAGAAGGTTGAAATGCCAGATAGCACAGTAAAGAACTCCCTCTCCAGTTACAATGCATATAGAGCATGAGAATTAATGCCAGAACTGCCATACCAGAATGGCACTTTTTCCTTGAGCATGCCATTCTTCGGCATCATCGGCGCTGAACACAACTTGGCCCACAGCGGCTCCTGGTGAAGCAGGCAACCCCGTAGCAACAATTTTATCTTTGTATGCGGCTGGGTTTTCAAACTGAAAACAGCAGTTGAAAACTTCAGCAAGATCTTGAATAGTAGTAAGTGTGAGCATAAATCCATACAGGAGTGTAAATTTTCCGTCCCGACCAAATTATACAATAAATTTAAGAAAGACAGACCCCAGAAAGACGCAATGCGGATGCACGTCCTATTATACAGGTATTTACGTTAATGCGGGTTCTGTTTGGGCCTTTTATGATGTCATATAATTTTTATAGACTCATGAAATTATCCCTTCAACGAGATTAAGTACTTTGAAAATGTTGGTAGTGTCACATTTATATGCGAATGAAGATACACAAAGGCATTAGGTTGGATATAGGACTCAGTGAAATTGTTTATACTTACAACGAGAGATATCTGCTGGCAGATTAGATGGATTAGGATGCAGACACAGTTACTCCTACATTCTCTCATCACTATTTGATCGTAAAGAGACCCAAGTGTCTTGCAGAATTTGAGCATGTGTACCTGTGGATGAAGAAGTTGATCGAGATGCTGAGGCTCCACCATCTTCATAGAAGAACGAATGTCGACAAGCCCTTCATTCACCATGTCTACCGCGATCTTTATTGCGCCCTTGCCAGTACGCTTTCCAGACCGGCATTGCAACATCCACAGCCTATTTTCTTGAACTGTAAACTCAATATCCTGTATGTATCAAAGTCAGACATGCAACGACTTTAGTCTCAAATTCTGAGGCCTACATCTGCAAATGAGGATCCAGTTTATCTCATCGAATTCAGAGCAGGGAACTAACATAGAAAATCGGTGCGTATGTCTTGCTAAGGTTGAAGGATGGAGATATCGCTCTAGCACAGTGGTGTAATGATCTATCTAACAATAGAAAGAGATTCCATACCATCATGTCTTTGTAATGCTTCTCTAAGATTTCGCAGTTCTCCACGAGTTCTTTGTAAGCTTCCGGCATGCAATTCTTCATCGTGTTTAAATCTTCCGGAGTTCTAATTCCCGCTACCACATCCTCCCCCTGTCATGTTATTTAGCCACAAACTAGCTTGTCAATAAATATGCCGACTGATTTGTGACATTACTGAGTCACCAGAAGCGGCAACACATCAAAGAAGAAAAGACCAGATATATAACCTGTGCATTGACCAAAAACTCGCCGTAGAGCTTCTTCTCACCCGTGCTCGGGTTTCTGGTGAACAGCACTCCTGTCCCTGAAGTATTTCCCATGTTTCCAAAAACCATGCACTGAATATTCACAGCGGTGCCCTTCAATCCCGTTATTTGATTGATGCTTCGGTACTTTATAGCCCTTGGACTGTTCCACGAATCAAAAACGGCTTTGACAGCTAACTCTAACTGCTTTCTTGGATCTGCAAAACGGATGCAATTCAAACAAAAAAAAATTAATTCTTCGATTCTTATACATGTTAGAAGAAGCACTGTTATCATCTTATCTCCTTTATTGTTATGTTGCGATATGTAAACTGGCTGGTACTTGGTACCTGAAGGGAATTCTTCTCCCATCGTTTCAAGATAAACATTCTTGTATTGTGCCACAAGCTCTTTAAGATCTGAAGCTGTTAGGTCGGTGTCTAGTCCAACACCTTTCAAGTGTTTCAACTGCTCTAGCTTCTCCTCGAATGATGAATGTGGAATGCCCATGACCTAAATTTACGCAGAAAAGAAAGTCCTTTGTAATGTTGGTATAAAATGAAAGAGGTGCAAGAACGAAGTTGAACACTATACTCGAAATAATGCAAGTACAATTCTGGCTCACTTGCCAGGACCATGATTAGGTAGACTAAGCATTAAGCAAAGATCTAAAAAGAATCGAGCACTATTTACTTACAACATCTCCAAACATGTCTAGAAATCGTCTATAAGAGTCATAGGCAAAGCGCTCCCCGCTTTTCGCAGCCAGACCAGCAACAACATCGTCATTAAGCCCAAGATTAAGGACAGTGTCCATCATGCCAGGCATCGATATCTACAAATATAGGAGAATCATAATGCACCGATAGTCTGACAAATTTAGCTCTGGAGCGGTTAAGGAATTCCTACCGCTGCACCAGATCGAACAGATAGAAGGAGTGGCTTTGAAGGGTCACCAAGGACTGCCCCCATGTCCTTCTCTACGCTCTCCAAACCTTCCAAAATCTCCTCCCACAGACCGTGCGGAAGCTTATTCCCATTCTGCTGGTACTCTTGGCATGCTTCTGTCGATATGGTAAGCCCGGAAGGCACAGATAATCCAATGCTAGCCATCTCTGCTAGGTTCGCTCCTTTTCCTCCCAACTACAAAATTTAATAAATGCATAATCTCAAAGGCATTCATCACGGTCATAGGTTTCAAAGTTCATAATTTCAAAAGTGAATGTTCAATTTGACAATGTCATATTGGAGAGCGTATACTTTGTCCCATGATTCAAATGACATATGTTTCACTTTCAGTTCTTTTAACACCTATCGAATGCTACCTCAATATAAGTCAACACAAAAAAGGAAAGTTTCACATTCCATTGGCTGAATTTTTAGGAAATAAGGCACTTACCAAGGACTTCATGCCCTTATTTCCCTCGCTCCTCCCTTTTCCAAATGTAAAAACTCTCTGCAGAACACATAGATCAGAATAAAACCTCTCTTTGCAACACGAACGAACAGAAGAAATTATCACTTGATATGATGTTATAGTTGACATGGTTTGCTAGCTTGGTAACTACATGCGAGGATAGATAGTCAAAGCTGAACTGTACTTCCTAGTTTCCTAGATTGTTTTGTCATTTGGTAAAGGGATTCTCTAAAGCAGCCGCATTAGGTGATCAAACGTTATTTAAATTTGGTAATAAACTTGCTCTGGTAATGCATTTCCTGTTTTGCTAGTGTGTCATAAGCTGAAACAACCTGATTCACCTTTTTTGCCGTAAAGGTTGGGTCTGTGACAGGTGTAAGTATTGCTTGTGTCTTCGTAAGTGATGGCTTGTTTCTCTTGTGCTTCGGATTTACAAACCCAGTTCCATCCGATTCTTGACAGAGGATACCATGAGGCCTATGGCCCCGGCTTGCCTGAAGTGAAGGGCGGTTGTCCCTGACCAGGACACCCACTTGCTCCAAATGATGCCTCTTGAACAGACCATGCTTAAAAACATCCGAGGTAGTCCTCATGAGCACGCCTTCCATCGTCGAAGGCAATTATCTCCTTACTGATACAACCTGTAATTACAAAATGTAAAAAAAGGATGACAAACAATTCCAATCAAACATAAGATCTCCAAGTCACATGCCACATAAATATTCTATTCAAAACGGATTTCACACGTCATATCAGTACCAGACTACTGAATAGTTCGATGACATGGTGCAACTGCAACAATCAACAAGCTTTCAAATGACATGATTAAGCTAATATAGACCTCGCCATATTCCGTTTCCACGATACACTAGACCCGAAGATCTAATGCGGCTCTTTTGCATCCGAAAAGAAAGCTCGCAAAATTTTGTATGAACTCAGGACCTGAACAAGAAGTTGGACCAAACATTCACAAGCTACGTTCGCCCATCAAATGATCCACATGCAACATGCAAAAAAGTGATGAAGTCTACCATTCTGAAGCTGTAACCAATGCCATACCTGATTCACCAAGAAACTAAAAGGGATCTGCGAACTTCTTCATGATGCTTGAGGCTCAGACTCTCAGAGAGCTTCTTGAAACTAGAAATGGCGGTTGAATTGTTTCGTTTCCCTTTTTTTCTTTATTTCTTTAATCTAATTGGTGGTTAATGAACAAGAGAAAAGAGTGACAAGTGACATGAGTGGATGAGGTCTTAAGTTATGGTGGTTACTCAAGCTTTTTGTTTTTGGTTGTCTCCAACTCCACAGGAGTGTGTAATCCTTGAATTATGGGAAATAACAATAAAACCCTTTGAGATATCTTTTATAGATAGATAATCTATATTGAAAATAAAAAACGAACTTATATATTGCTAAGTTCACATTACATAGTAGACACGATCAACACGAAGTAGCTAATGATTTTAAGTATATAATTATTATATTTTCCCTCTTTAAAGTGAAGGAAACAAAACTCAACTGCACTATATCTTTTAAGTTATTAACTTCTTAAGCATGAACAAGAGGAAAAGATAAACAGGTCATGATCTGCTTGAGCTATCCAAGGCACACATTTCGATGCCCACATTATTATATAATTATCGTTTTCACTATGCTTTGTGGTATATCTATGATATACAAACTACAAAGTGGTGAGCACAAGATTAAAATAACTTTAACATGACATCAATCTTCATGCGTGTTACACCAGAATTAAGAATTGGATTAGAAAGAGTAGTGACGTTGTCTGGGGGTTTTTTTATTCAAAGAGAACGTAATCGCTTTTTATAGCTTTTACTCTAGTTTTTAACTGGGATTCATCTAGGGAGTGTAATGGACAAGCTTCAAAGAAAGGTTCAAGCCTATCTATGGTACAAGATAGTCTGCTCAAATTATGTGACTCTTCTATTGTTGTGCCTCAGGAAGTGCGTCTGGTTCAATTGCAAAACATCATTGAAAGAACACGTTACAATGTCAGGTAATGCATTGCATTCGAACATATTGGTTTACTCATACAAATTTGGATTCAAATCACTACACTTGCACATAATCTTAAGGCCGCTATCATGACCATGGACGTGTGTGCTCTAGTAATTACCCGATATGTGTAAGAGAAGAGAGTGCCGCACCCAATGAGGAAATAGTCGATTTCTAATTAAAGTAATACATCTCAAACGATATTAAAAATACACACCGAGTTTTTTATTTATAATGCTGCTTTTTTTTTTTTTTGGTACTTAATATCAAGACTGAGCTGGCACATCATAATGGCTTAAGCACAAGTGACAATTCCAAGTGATTTTCCATGAAGATGCAAGAAATCTTTCCATCAAAATTCAAGTGGAGGACATTTGTGGGATTTCAAAGTTATTATTATGGTCAACATTTAATAAATGATGAATGGACAACTCCTCTTTTCAGCTGAAAAAACATTACCAGTGGGACCTGGGAACCCACCAGAAAGCAATATACTTTGCATCCAAAGGGCTTCTGCCACGTGGTTTGCTCTCGGACAGATATGAAATTGTGATCCTCCTCTCTCCTTATCCTTCTGCCACAATTCTGATGAATTGTTATTCTATGAACCAAATGTATTTTCACGTGAATGTTTCTCATCAAGAAAAACCATATTCATTGGCCTCTCGTTAGGAAAATAATTTCCCACACCAAACTATGAGCAAGCGTGAGTCATTATCTCCAATCATTTTCATCATATCTCATGCTGTAAAAGATACCTAGTTCGCATATGTTGCTTTATATTTGTTACGGCGATGCTAATCTCGGTGTCACTTACTAGTATACTTAAAGGACTCTAATTTGAACAAATTTTGCAATAAAGAATGTCGAGATGGACATGACTTCCAAGTTATAGCATTAGGATTATTGAACTCATCAACAAGTAAATACGAGTCCCGAACAAAACAAGAGTTGGCTAGCTTCCATAGATGCAGGATTATCGTCATGTGGCCCTTTTCAAGTGTCCAAAATTTTTCCAATGAACCTATTGTCCACGGTAATCCCCACAAGTGTTGCGAGATTAACAACATCGTTGGTTACAAAATGTTCGGTAGCAGAAGCCATCTCTTGAGAAGAAAGAGATTTCAGCAGGAATTGGTGTTGGCAACTCATTATATTGCAAACAGAATTCTCTCTTTTCCTCTTTTCTGGCTAGGATTCTAACTTACCACCAACCCCTCAAAACTTTGAAGATATTCAATGCTGCAATGCAACTACAAGCACAAACAATGCCCCCAAAAGAATATTCTAACTGTGGATTCAGCTAAACAAAGAAAAAGAAAAGGCCGAAAACCAAAAAAGAGTCCTTGGTGTCAAGTACCACTTGGCTTGTAGCTTATAAGAACTTAATCACCGAGTGGCTTATGCTTGTTTGTAGAAGACTTGCCCTCAACAATTTGCTCCTAAATGACACAGACATGATGGAGGAAAAATCTCCAATCTTCTTCAGCTCTTTATTTTGCGGCAAAGTCCAACCATAATCACAACGATCAGATGCAATCAATAGCGCATCCAAACCAATTATCAAGTGAGCGCACATGAAACCAGGGAAGGTGTACTGTCAAGAAAGCTAATGGAAATTACCAGAGGAGAAGCAAGTAGTGAGGAGGCTTATGGAGGAAGCTAATGAAAATCTGATTTCTTCCGAATAGAGAGCGAAAACCTGATGCCAGGATCCTAGGGAGACAAAAAAATTTGAAAATCACTTGTTCTAAATGGCTAACTTCTGTATGAATGACTCTTACAAAAGCTTGTCTACCGGAAAATTGTAATAAGAACCTGGTTCACTTAAGGAAAAAGGACGACTGCTCATAATTATATCCCCATGTGTCTGACTCAATTTCATGCATAAGTCATCAACCTTACAGCAGAACGGAAATATAGCTCTGTCACTTGAAACTCTTTGGAGGAGTAATATTCAATTCACTTATTCATTTCAGAGGAGTCCATCAACCCATTATTCAGGAGACTGAGTCACGCTCGCTTTTAGGAAAATATATTAAGAGCGAGCAGGAGGAAAACGCACAGAGATCCTTTGCTGGATGGGGCTCCTACAAGAAGGGCAATCCTTCATACCTTGCCTCTCGTGGAGCTCATTGCATGTCGAGCACACCACTTGATGGGCACAGGGGAGGAACACCACAGACATTTCTTCCGAGAGACACATCACGCACTCTCTCTCACGTCGTACACCAATCCCCAAGTACTCTTGGAAGTCCACAACCTCCAGCATAAGAGGGTCTTCGGGCAAGTTATGAGAGCCCTTTCCTGGGTCCGTGAGCCTGCTGGCATAACTTCCATCGATCCCCCTCCAAAGAGCAGCGATTTTGGAAGAGTCTGCCTTCAGCCTCAACTGAGAGATTTCCTTTTCAAGCCTCTGGATATCCTCATTGTACTTCTGTGAAGTGTTTTCTGCATCCGATTTAGTGAGCTGTTCCTTGGATTTTGTGGAAGCCTCTATCTGTTCCGTCTCTTTTCTCAATGAATTGACCTGCACCCATGAATCTTCCTTTGCCTTATCTTCCTGTTGCCACCTAGCCTGTGACATTTACAATCTCCATATCAAGGTTATGTAAAATGAACAGAGACCAGAAATGTTGTCATCATTGAGTCAACTATAGCGAATTTTTTAAGATGCAGGACCTTAAAATTACAGTGATTAACTGCTTCTTCCATATATCAAATTTCTTCTCTATCGGCTGTACTTTTTAGCAGTATTTTCTAAGGCTCTTGACACATCTAGCCACAATCCCATAACCCATATTGATACTATTTCCTGAATCGTTGCGCAGATCTATTTGCTTGCACAACAGCACACATTCTCCAGTTACTTTAACCCAATAAAGAGGAATAAGCTACAAATACACTCAATTACTAAAGTGTAACACAAAGAATATGTAGGTGGAAAGAAAGTGCTCTCGAAAACCAAGTGATGTATCAGAGCCTTGACCGACATTTACCTCCGAGAGAATTATTAACAGTTAAAAGGATAGAATTGTAAATGGAAAATATCAAGAATGTATACTGTTTTAAGAGTCTATTGATGATCAATTCTCTGCTGGAGAGGATCATTTACCCAGAACCTTTTTCCTGACGACACATGTACAGCACAAAACCCATTTCATGTGTCATGCACATAAGAACATACGTAAATAAGAACATTAAGCTTATAACATGAGCAGGGTCATGTATAATTATTCTTCTCCGTTGAGACTGTCTGTTGGCATAATTGAAATGGGTTCATCTCATACAAAAATTCGTGATAGCATCATCGGATTCATTCAACTATCTCAAGAAATTACCTTGACTAGCTAGGACATTGCCCACGTGAAAGGCATATTAGATATTGTAGGTTAAACATAAAAGGGCAAAGCAGCAAGGCGAACAAAGAGGGTATTAACTTATAAAAGGACAACGATATAATCTGGCATGAGACTCTTTTTTGAATCCACCCCCAAAATAAAAGGGAGTCAGACTTCTGCAGTTACTCAGGTCCAGTCAGAGCGACCAAAATAGGCTTGTGACATCAATCTGTCACTGCCCAATAGCCTAAATGAAATGAAATTTACACAAACCATATCCGATCATCACAATAATGCCTCAAATTCTCGTAAGATTCTACAGTCAAGTCACAGTTAAAATCTTACCTCACGCCGATTATGGAGATCTTTAGCCTGATCTACATCCTGTATAAGCTGTGCAAACCTGTGTTTTTCAGTCAGTAGCTCTTCCTGGAACATGGTTTTCTGCTTCTCCCAGGACTGCAACTTCATTTGCATCTTCTTCTCCCTCTTAAATACGTCCTGACAGCTTGCAGCTGATTCGGCAGCTCTTAACTTGGCGGTTTCCATCTCTTGCCTTAAAGCAGCATTCTCCACCTCAAGCCTCCGGACAGCAGACTTTGCTCGCTCCACTTGGCCATTAGCCTTGCACAGTGCATTTTCCATCTCAGAGAGCTTTTTCATGGTATTCTCCTCCAAAGCCTGCTTCTCTTTCTTCAGCCGCTCAACTTCTTCTTTCTCTTGCTTCAGTGCCTTGAGCTCTGCCTTATCCTTGCTCAGCCTACGTGCAACCTGCATAACCTTTTGATTGGCCCATTCGGTCCATTCCTGCAGCTGACTTTGCAAATCATGTAATTTTGGACCAAGCTTCAAGATCAACTCTTCTTTCTTATCCCGAGGTACCCATTGGCCAGAAGTCTTGTCATATGGTATTCCAGCAAAATTGAAATCGGATCTCTCGGCATTACAACTTGTGGAGACAGGGACCAGGTCGCTTTTTGTAGTAAGTGAAAGAGAAAGATCAGGATTGGTAGCCGAAAATGGAGGCACGTTCACCAGTGCAGATACCACAGATGGGCTGCCCACGACAGGTGAATCTAATGGGATTTTAGTACGAGAAACTTCCGGAGCGGTAGATACACTTTCCAAATTGAATACTGCAGAAGAAGGTGGTTCCGAACTGTTTGAAAGACCGCCATGACCGTTTCCTTGAGCTGCATTAATTGCAACTGCCTTATTTGTTTTTAAGGAAGCACTCTTAGAAGTTGAGTCGGACATGGATTTAAGTTTCTTATCGTACATCAGTCCACCCAAACTGCCAAGCTTCGCTGCCCTTGAGGACCCTTTAGAACCGTACGTTCGGTAGTGTTTCTCTAGATGTAGTGACTTTTGACGAAGCGCATAATCTCTCTTGCTGCCACCATGAACCTTTTTGCTAACAAATTTTTCTTCCACAGCAGGGGCTAGAGATGCTGCTGCAAAATCCGAAGATTTGTTGACAGTAACAAGTGAGCTGCTCACAGTTTCTCCTGATATATTTTGTACCGGCGAACTTTCTGGCTGGGATAAATTTTGATGTACTCCCACGGTAGGTTCATTTGACTGATAATTATGGGCACAAGGAGCAGCAGGGACTGCGTTACAAGGATTTGACAAGGTCAGTTCTGAACTTTTCACATCCGACCTAAGACGGCTTTCGATGGAAATAGAGGAGCTCGCAATCGGACCTCCATCACCACCAAAACCATTCAAGGGATCAGCATCCATTGCACAAGCATGTGACACATTCATGTCGCATATCAGTAAGCACCACATTGCATCCCCAGTGCTGAAGAAAGGCCTTACTTCTTGAAGAACGCAAACAAGTTCAGCAAGAACATACATCTCCAGCTGCTTTAGGTCTGTAAAGTATTGGTCCCTTCCAGGATCAATCTCCACACCATTTCTCAGGTATGCCAAAGTGTTATCCACGATATTTGACACAATATCCTTGCAGCCATAGCAAAGGCCAGAGCGCAATACAGCACTTGTAGCAACTTCCTCAGTGTAGCCACAAGCCACGATTTTCTTAATGGCACTCTTAAAGATCGTGTCGAGATTGCTCAACACAAGCTCTTCTAACTGGCTTTCTGTAAGATCACTCCAATCAGCGGACTCGTCTGCTCCTACTTCTTCCTTATTCCGGCTGGGCCCGACCTCGGATGCATCTGCGGCACTGGACAATTCAAGGTCAAGTTTCAACCCGTCGAGATAATCCTTGTGATTACAAGCGCCACAAGGAGCAGCCTGTCCTTGTCTTGTCATGGTCTCAAACTTCTCAGCAGAGAACTCATAACTCACATAATCAATTTGAGGCATGGATAAAGGCTTGCTCATATCACTCAACGGCGGATCAGCCCTGAATTTTCTCTTGTTCCGACTCGCTTTTTCTTGGACCAATGCCGAAGGCGACACTTGGCAGCAGCTACTGCTAGTACTATTGCAACTCTTAGCAGAAGTTATCGACGCCATTATCGAGCTGCACAAAATAGTTCCTCTCATAAGACTAAATCACATTTAGTCACATTAATACAATTTCATCAATCCTCCATCAACACAAATCCATATACTCGAGCCTTTCAATGATTACCATAAAAATCAAACGAAGACAACAAAAACGTAGCCGTATGAAGAATCAAAGAACCTTGTAACAGCACTATCAAAGCTAACATTGAATCAACTACCCGCAGGCTGGAAACGAGAGATTATCCATTCAACAAAAGAATTCAAAGCGATACCTTATTACGGATTCAACTGAGAGAGTGGACGAACAAAAGTTCCCTGCATTAACAATCGAAATCGCCGATCAAAACCACATCAAAAAAAAGAAAAAAGAAAAAACGAAACCCACGTCACAACATCTCAATGATCAATGCTTCTGTCAAACACCCACTTCACATCCGGGGCAAATTCCACACCATCCTATCAGATTCGACTGCCCAATCGATACCCGGAATCGAGCGACGGATGAAGAAACAAACCCAGAATTGAAATGATATCGACGACCCACTATTCGTATTCGCGAAAGATCCCCAAATGAGTGAGCAAAATTTGATTTTGCGAGAAAACCAGTGTGCGGGAACGATCGGAGACGTACCGATTCCAGCTAAAGTTCAAGAGGAGTGACGCGAAACATATGAACAAAATCTCCAGAGACGAGGAATGGAGAAACAGAGCAATATATACATCTCAGTCTTCCCGTCTTCTTTGGTTTTGGGCCTCCGTTTGTGCAGTCCTCTGTGCTTTATATACGGCAGCAGCAGAATGAAACGTCTGTGTCTGTCCCCCAAACATGTGGGCTTGGCAATTTTCTTATGTCTTTGCCCTTCTCTGTCTTTTTTTCTTTCTATTTTGCCAAAATTATTTTGTGTGTGTTTGGGATAGGAGTGTGTAAAAGAACCGGGAATCACCCGAACCGTCCGGGACCGCCTGGAACCGGTTCCCTTTTAGAACCGGTAGTTCCTAAGGGAACTGGTTCCGGTCCCCAGTTCCAATTTTTGGAAACTAATGGGTACCGGTCCGGTTCCCGGTTCCAAGTGTGAAACCGCCCGCCCGCCTACTCGGATCGGACCGGTAATATAATAATAAATATAATATATTTATTTTAATTTTTAATTTTAAAAAAAACTCCTAAATTTCTAAACTAAATCTAACTTGCTCGACGTTTATAGCCCCACATAAAGTCAAGAAACACATTCTTTCGCTTTCGTCTCACGCTCACTCTCACTCTCTCACTCTTCACGGTCGATGCTCACCTCAACTCTCCATCTCTATCTCTGTCTCGGTCTTTTCGTCTCCGTCCTTGGGCAGTAGAACCGGTTTCATGGAACTAACGGACGGTTCCCGGTTTCAATTTTTCAGAATCGATCCTTAGTGGGTGGTTCCCGTTTCTAGAGTGAAAATCGCCCACTCGGACCATGCTCACCCGTAGTTTGGGAGCTCTCCTGTTTTGATTATTTTACCTTGTCAATGACCACCATGGTTGGCTACAAACCAAAATGCAATTGGCACCCTAGGGTTGAAGGGAGGTCGTATGCGTTTTTTTTTAAATGAGAATTCGGAGAAAATTAAAAGTCCTCGAGCTTTGAATATATAGTGAATCGGACTCAGGAGCCGTGAACCGCCGGAGGATCAGGCTTGCTACGACGTTGTCGTGCATTTGCAGGTGTTGAGATGGCCGGGTGTGCATAAACGAAGGAAGCTACCTGACGCTGTAAGAGGTCCTACATCGCTGAAGAGAAATGCGTCGGTGAATTTAGAGGCAGAGGATCAGAGTGTAAGGTAAAGTCCATGGGCGACTACCTGTTGAGCCTTTACTAGAGTGAAGACGATGGCGGCTATTGACCAGGACTCCGTTGAGCTTGGCTGCTATGGAGCTCCGGAGCTCCATAGCAGCCCACCAAGAAATTGCATGATTTCGACATGTAAAATCGACATGGTTGCCCTCATGGATGAATAGTGGACAAAATCACTAATGATAGAATAGTTTGGGCTTAGAGATTTTTTTTTAGTTAAAGCTAAAATATTTAATTGAGTTCGTCAATTTGCGACTTTTTATTTGGAGTTCGTTAATAGGTGGTGGTGAGTTGGAGAGAGCGAATGGATTTTTTTGGACAAAATTGCCCTGGCCCGAAGGCTGGAAATTGGCACGTGACCGTCTCGTGTGCACCGAACGGTAAATTTCAGCACCGGCGACGAGTTGGGCGGTCGATCGGAACCCGGTGTTCCGGTTCGAGGGGTATTTTAAGAAAAGTCCTACTCCGGAGAATACGTTAAGGAAAAAAGGCATCCAATTGGGAGGGCCTTTTGGACTTTTCCCTTTAATCTAGGTTTTCTAAGCATGTACATACGATTGGTCAATAAGGAAATCTATGTAAAAGAGATGCGCATTCATAGTCAAATAGCTTATGGCAGCACTTTATGACAACTCAGTTCCCTTTCGGAGAAAAAAAACCAGCATTAAGGTTTTAAAGCAAATGTGGCAAGAGAAGACTCTGCAAGGACTTAAATGAGTTGCCAAGAAAATACATATTGCCTTCCTTTTTTTTGTTTTGGCATTTAATACTATGGATATGTATTGCATATTCCTTGCCTTTTTTTGCCTCTTTCTAAATCTTTCAGATATTAGTGGGTATTATTAATGAGGAGGAGCTGAGTTTCATGTGTTTAATATATGAGAATAGATTAAGATCATATTTCCTTTTTTTGTTTTGGCATTTGATAGGCTTAATTTACAGGATGTATATTAGATTATGTATTTTTTTTCTCTCTTTCTAAAATGCCCCAAGGACACCAACAAAAAAGGGTCCAAATTTTGTAACATCTTTTATCATATTCCTATGAAATCAACTCTAGTTATGGCTAGTTGTGGGAACTAGAAAGGACATTTTCTACGGCGAGGCAGAGCGTACCAACTTCCCATCTTTGCTTAAAGATGCCTTCTCTAATCATCGATCGTGTCTAGCGGTGTTAAAATGGGCTAAAGACCCATTTATTAACTCGTATATGTGCGTTGGGTCATATATGGATTAGCTAAGTTTTGTTAAATGAGTTGATATGAATTTGAGTAATAAAATGCAATACAATGAAGGTTTTAATGGGTCTAAAGCCCAACCCCCTGCAGTCCCTCTTCACTTGTCTTCAAGTTCAGGTCGAGGGTTTTTAGGTGGGACAACTTATTCTTTGATTTTAGGGTTAATACCACGAAAAATCCTAAACTGGTACACTTGTGACACATTTACCCCAACTATTTTTTTGACCATAAAAAACCCCAAACTGGTACACCTGTGACAATTTTACCCCGAACATACAAAAAAAAACCCCAAACTGGTACACATGTGACAATTTTACCCCAACTAATTTTTAATATTATTTTTTATTTTTTTTTATTTTTTTGAATTTTTTCTTTTCTTTTCTTTTTCTTCACTTCAACCTCTGGTCGATCGCCGGTCCGGCGACCGGCCAGAGGCGGAAGCCGGTGAGGGCCGCTCTCGGCAGCCACTGGCGAGGGCCGCCCTCGCTCGACTCGGCAAGGGCGACCCTCGCCGGATCTAGCTAGGGCGGCCCTCGCTGGCATCGGGCGAGGGTCGTCCTCGCCCACCCAGGCGTGGGCTGCCTCGTCCGAAGCCAGCAAGGGCAGCCCTCGCCCTTGCCTGGGCGGGTGAGGACAGCCTTCGCTCGACGCCGGCGAGGGCAACCCTCGCCCGACGCAGGCGAGGGTCGCCCTCGCCAGATCCGGCGAGGGCAGCCCTCACCTGAGTCGGGCGAGGATCGCCCTTGCCTGGGCGGGCGGAGGCATGGCCCTCGCCGCGCCTGCGAGGCGGCCCTCGCCCGACGCCTTGAGCGCGGACGGCCCTCGCCGTCTGCCGGCGAGGGTCGCCCTCGCCGGATCTCGGCGAGGACACTCGCCGACGCCGGCGAGGCGGCCCTCGGCCCAGCCACGCCTCGGCCGGTCGCCGGGCCGGCGACCGGCCGGAGGTTGAAGATAAAAAAAAAAAAATAAAAGGAAAAAACTAAATAAAAATTCGAAAAAAATAAAAAATAATATTAAAATTTTAATTCAGGGTAAAATTGTCACATATGTACCAGTTTGGGGTTTTTTGTAGTAAGTTCAAGGTAATATTGTCACAGATGTACCAGTTTGGGGTTTTTGATGGTCAAAAAAATAGTTCGAGGTAAAATTGTCACAGGTGTTCCAGTTTGAGGTTTTTTATGGTCAAAAAAATAGTTTGAGGTAAATGTGTCACAAGTGTACCAGTTTAGGGTTTTTCATGGTATTAACCCTTGATTTTATCTTCTACTTCTGATCTTAGATTTATGATCTCTCAAGCTTCAGAAAATCGTAAAAATTAGTCGATGATTTTACATTGTCAATATTTATCGATTTATTGAAAAATTTGCAATAAAGAAAAGGGTTAATACCACGAAAAACCCTAAACTGGTACACTTGTGACACATTTACCCCAAACTATTTTTTTGACCATAAAAAACCCCAAACTGGTACATCTGTGACAATTTTACCCTGAACTTACCACAAAAAATCCCAAACTGGTACATATGTGACAATTTTACCCTGAATTAAAATTTTAATATTATTTTTTATTTTTTTCGAATTTTTATTTATTTTTTTCCTTTTATTTTTTTTTCTTTATCTTCAACCTCTGGCCGGTCGCCGGTCCGGCGACCGGCCAGAGGCGGAAGCCGGCGAGGGCCGCCCTCGCCGGCGTCGGGCGAGGGCCGTCCTCGCCAGATCCGGCGAGGGCGACCCTCGCCGGTATCGGGCGAGGGCCGTCCTCGCCTGTGTCGGGCGAGGGCCGCCCTCGCCAACCTAGGGCGAGGCGATCCTCGCGACTCAGCGAGGCCCTCGCCGGATCTCGGGCGAGGCGACCCTCGCTGCGTCGGCGAGGGTTGCTCCTCGCCGGCTGCCGAGCGAGGGTCGTCCTCGCCCGCCCAGCAAGGGCGAGTGGCCGCCCTCGGCCGGCTTCGGCCGCCTCGCCGGCCGGGCGAGGCAGCCCACGCCTGGGCGGGCGAGGACGGCCCTCGCCTGAGTCGAGCGAGGGCCGCCCTAGCTAGATCGGCGAGGGTCGCCCTTGTCGAGTCGAGTGAGGGCGGCCCTCGCCAGCGGCTGCCGAGGGCGGCCCTCGCCGGCTTCCGCCTCTGGCCGGTCGCTGGACCGGCGACCGGCTAGAGGTTGAAGTGAAGAAAAAAAAAGAAAAGAAAAGAAAAGAAAAAAGAAAAAATTCAAAAAAATTCAAAAAAATAAAAAAATAATATTAAAAATTAGTTGGGGTAAAATTGTCACATGTGTACTAGTTTGGGGTTTTTTGTGGTATGTTCGGGGTAAAATTATCACAGGTGTACCAGTTTGGGGTTTTTTTTGGTCAAAAAAATAGTTTGGGGTAAATGTGTCACAAGTGTACCAGTTTAGGATTTTTCGTGGTATTAACCCTAAAGAAAAAATCGCAACTAAGCCGAAAATCTTATTCGGAACCTAATAAAACTACTAAAAGTTTTGTCCTTCACACACCACACGCATAGCATAAAGGTCCTTGTTTTTAAATATTTACGTGTTTTACTAATGTGAGTTGGGTACGGATCGGATCGAGTATGAGTCGCTGTATTTGTATTGAATATAAAATGGGTCAGACCTAATCCCGACCCGACCCGATCCATGGGTCAAAACCCGACCCACCTATTTGACGGCCCTAAAACTTGGCCCAGGCTCGAAAACGAGAAAGGCCCAACACCCACGGGACCCACGACGTCGTTCCCCTTCTCTTCTTCGCTCCCCCTCTCTCTCCCCTGCTTTCTCGCGGAGCAGAGCGCGACGAACTGCTGCAAACAGAGGAAGGCCGTGCGCGAAGATGGCCGAATTTCAAAATCCACAGTGACGAGCTTTCTCTTTCAGGGCTTACTACTACTCAACATCTCTTTGCTCGGCGCGCGGACGCGAGCAGCTGATACAGCAGAGAGGAAACCGGACGAGGCTTCGTGAGAAGAAGCGTTGGGAATCTCTCGCATGGCGTCGCCCGGATCCGGGTTCGGGAGGGAGATGGGTCCATCGGGTCCGGGCCCGCGAAGCTCCGCGGCCCCTTTTGGTGGCTTCCCTCGCCCTTCTCCGCCGCGAACTTCGCCGTCGCCGTCGCCGTCGCCGTCGCCGCCGCCGCCGCGGCCGTCAAATTCCTCTTCTCCTCCCTCTCCTCTCTTTGGTGCTTCTCCGGTCCGATCTCCGAGTCCGAGGTGTGTGCCCCTTTTCTTGTCGCGTCGCGTTTTTGGGAGCTTCTTTTCTTTTTTCCTGTGGTTTGCGATGATGGGTTGCTGAAAAGTTCCATCTTTTCTTGTTGGCTCCGTGACCTCCGTGATTGAGAAATCTTGAATTTCGAGCATGGTAACACGTACTCATCGTTAGAATTTGCAATGGTTGGTTTCTTTTGGATTTTGGGTTATTTGGAAATTTGAGTTTGGAAATGCTGAAAGAGTGTTTTTTTTTTTTGGAGATCATATTTGATTTTCTTGGTGAAAGTTGTGGTTTCACTGTGTGTTTCGATGTTGCTGGAAGACCTCAGAGTAGTAGCTTTCTTATAGTAACCTAAAGGATCGAAGTGTAATGGCATGAACAGAGGCTATAATGGCTTTTGCATTTTTGGATGAAAGAAGTCTCGTGTTGATGATCTTGGATGGCTTTGCTGCCATTTTATGCAGAAGAAGTGAAAAAGGGTAGTCTCGCAATGATGGTTCAAAGATTTTCAAAGTACGTTTAACTATATCATGCCATGTCACTGAGAAATAGTTCCTATGCATAGCAAAATTGGTAATCCATAGCGTACGAGATTTTGTGAGAAATCACCTTAGTAGTTTGGTTGAATACATCCCCAACCGTCTCCCTGTTCACCAACCTCCTTTTTCGTGTGTGAAAAAGATGAATTATTTGAGAAGATTTGACACCATGTTTTTCCATCGAACAACTGCAAGTGAGGTAACTTCTGTATAGCTTTGTGGTTCTCGACATCTTGTTGCATGATACACTCATCCATAGTTGCGGTTAATATTTCGGGGTTGTAGTTGCTGTTGACAGTCACTTCATGTATGTATTCTAGCCAGTAGCCCTATTGTGACTCTGATGCAAGGATTCGCTGATCGGACCATGCTTTTGTTTGTCCTTTAATGTTTTTGAGCACCGTTTACCATACTGCTGGAACTGATGAATTCGAGTTGACAACAGGAGGCCTGAAATTTTAGGGGGCACACAGTTATTGCCTTCGTCTTTTGATAATGGCTACCGGGCACCTGTTCGTCCTTACACATCTTCAACTGCTTTGAGGTAATCATTTATACAGATTTACAGTCTTGTTGTGTTATATATTTTGCTAAAAGTCTCTTTCCTTTTCGATATTTCTCGTGTGGTACAGGCTGATACTCTCTTGCTGAACATGATTGCTTGTGTATTGTTCTGATAGTCCTACAAGTAGACGCTCCACATTGAATTATTTAAGATGCCATGCGTGCAATAATTTAACATCGCAACTAGTGGTACCACTCTTGCGAGTATGCTGCCTGCTATCGAAATAAAACAAGAAGCAACAGTGCCAACAAGATGTTGAGTTAAGATATTTGTTATTCTGTAGATGAAGCGCTGAGAAGACGTGAAAGAAATTCTCTGTTGAACATACTGGAATTTAATATCAGCTTGTTAAATAGACAGTGCATTTGTGTTAGTAGTCCATCTGTGACCTTGTTGTCTCCTGTCCATAAGGTGCTTTTTTGTTTGGCTATATCATGCAGGAAAATTTTTCATTTTAATTTCTGCTCTGACACCCTTAGCCATTTTGTAATTTGTGCATCTTTGAGATGATACTTCTAGATGGTTGTGCAATAACTCTTAAGATTGTCGCACTCTGTCTCACTGCAAGCAACTGGTCGTCCTGTTACCTGTTAATGTGATGAAAATTCACTATGGAAGTTGGAAGTTTCCCCGCATCATGACGCATGTGTTTCCAGATTTTAGTACTATTTCTTGCACTTATTGTTCTTTGTTGTTATAAGCACGGTGCATCTCATTTAGTGTTTCTTTTTCTTTGATCTGGAGTCAGTGGTAGACATTGTTCTTTACCGCAAATGTTCTTTACCGCAATCTTCAGCCACATTTCGACCTTAGGGTTTTTTTTGCTTTTTTTGGTCATTTTCCAGGTCAAAACCAAACTACATTGGCCAGTGTTATGCAATATCAGATATTGATAACTCCTTTTCTTTTTTCAGGCCAAATGAGTCTTTTCCAAGATTGGGTAGGGGGCAAAACCCTTTGTACACATATCCTGATGCACAAATCAGTCAGAGGTCCTCCTCTGTCGCCTCTTTGGTTGCTGCACGTCATCAAGGAAGTGTAACTGCCGGGATTGCCAGATTCCAAGATCCAGGAAGAAGCAACTTGCCAGTAACATCTCCAGAAAGAGACAATTCGAGGAACTTCAGTAAATATACTTTAACAAGGCAAGTTCTCTGTCAGATGAGTTCCCATTTATCGTATGTTGTTTGTAGTTCTATATCAGGTAACTTACCTGTATTTAAATTGCCATTTTTGGCTGTTCAGACTATAATCTGAATGTCCTTTTTAGCTCAGTTGCTTTCGCTCTTGGAGTAGCTCTCCTCATGGCTTATATCTACTACATAGCTGTTTTTTGGTTTGAAAACTGTACATTTGGAGCATCTCTGCATTAATTATTTCATCCTTGGACTCCTCATAGCTTATGGCTACTACATAGCTGGTTTTTGGTTTGAAAACTGTGCATTTGGAGCATCTCTGCATTAATTATATCATCCTTGGACTTGAGTTGTGAAAATGATGATGTTCTGTTTTTCTCCTTGTCTCAAGTTGTTTTCATTCACTTTTCAGCTTATAAAAATTCTGGCTGTGAGTAGGGAAAACGAATTATGTTAATTGTAACTTGATAAAGGGCTTAAGGGTTATGGTTGCTAATTTGGATGGTTTGGGTTGTGTTATGGGACTAGGTTATACCAAGTTGTCAAGTACATGGTGTGAGAAAGGGAGGTTTAGCTAGTTCACTAGATCGGTCATGCTATGGTTCGGAGCATTTGCTGGAATTATCGACTGAAATGTGGAAAAGTAATTGTACTTCTTTTAGCTTCTGTAATTAGAACTAATGTGCAAATATGGCTAACACTGGAATCAACTAGTGTAACAGTATTTTTCATCCAAGTTATTTCTTGTGATTTCTCGAATGACCTAGGACCATCACATTTTCCAATGAAGTGAATGGACTGATGTGGCTTCGTTTTTTTTTTTTTTAGTGTTGGCCTTTCCATTTCTTTAGTTTCATTTATTTCTTTTGAAAAAAATGAAAATCGTACGTTACCACCACCAATGTGATCCAAGATGTTGAAAATAAAAGATCAAGACTTTCATCGATTTCTTTGATAGTGAAACGTAGTCATAATTTATTATTCCTGAGAAATTTTGAATGATAAGAAACATGCTTTGATCAATCAGAGATTAAGACTTGAATAACATATAAAAAATGATTGTTCTCCAGGAGGGAAACGAGGGGCTAAATTGCAACACCTTTAGGGGAAGTTATCGTTTGATTCTTGAAGATAAAGCTTGTCTTTATTGAGTTCTCTGTACTGTCATTTAACTGAGTTAATTACATGCCTGTGAAATGGGATCACTGATAGTTACATTTATTTTGGAAAAAAGGCTACAGTTGAAATCCTGCTAATGATTATTGTTAGACTTACTTGTGTTTAGAGAGGATTATTGTGCTTCTGGACATTGAGGCCATATGCATCAGGATGTGGTATGTGAAATGCATTGTATTTGAGTGCAACATCGATATTTGTGGTGTATCTCTGGCTCGTGCACTGATGATGTCTTTTGGATAAATGACAATCTGTTCTGCTATGTTGAGAAACTCTTCATTTTGTTGTGTGAGTTTGAGTTGGAAGTATGCGTTTGTTGCTCTTGTGTATGTTGTGATAAACTCTGGATTTCATGCCGTACATCTTGTGCATGTTTTGTGATACCATTAAGCCTTTAACTTGAATCTTCAATTCTTAATGGTTTTAGAGACTGTAAATTTCAGGATATCACTTTTTACTTTTAGGAGGTTTGGTGCTAGCTACATTCATGTCCTATTGACTGGCTGTAATTTCAGAAGTTCCCTAACATATTGCTAAAAGTCTATTTGTCCATGTACCATATTCAATTATTGTTGACTTTGAGCAGTACACTGACATTGAAGACAATTTATGAGGGGTTCCGTTCTTTCCACGTTTGAACTGAATTCATACCTTTCTTATTGATTGCAGTCATTTTGACGCACGACCACGTTCTCCTGTAGGCTATGAAGACATCTATGATGATTTTCGTCCTCCTTATGGGGAAGGTCAACGGTAGATGTTCACCTTTCTAGCCTCTCTTGTTGGTCGAGTTCCATTGCCTTGCTATATTAGAAGTTAACTTGAAGCCTCTAAACTGCTCTTTTTGTTTTTGATAATATATCTGCTCTGACAAACTTGATTATAATTGCAGTACCATATTTTCACAAGTAACTCATTCACCTCAGAGTATCAGGAATAATTACTCACCAGTTCCACTAGCAACTCAATTAGCCCTTCCAAGTATCAGGAGTAGTTACTCACCGCAAGAAATTCCTCGTTTTGAAGAAGCTCAAAGGTGAAGGTTCATCTATTAATCCTCTTTCTGCTTTTGCTAATGTATGTTGGCTATATCATGCATAAATTGTGAGCAAGACATGTTTTAACTCGCTACACTTCCATGTGGGAAGTTCTCAGCTGCACAAGATCCTGTCTACTTTTTCCTGTAAATTTGATGATTGGACCTGAGAATAATGTTTTTACTAGTGGTCAACAGAGGATGTATGTAAAAATTATTGTAAGCTATAAATCGATTCTTTGTTCCCCTCCCAAACTGGCATTTTCTCGAGATTTTCTCAAGTGACATATTCAGTGTTGGACATATGTTGATTATACCTACATTGAGACAGTTTTCCGTATTCTTAGCTTAGCATTCTCTTTATCTCTTTAGGGATTTTTAAGTTCTAGGGAATTACTAGAAGGACACTTCTTCATTCGTGTAGTATTCTCTACAGTGAAATTAATGTAGACCTAATCTTTACATTTCTAAGCTCACACTGTAGTTGCGTGGCTTTAGTTTTCTCAATTTATAATCACTATCTCCTTGCATTTGTTCGACAGGCCTGCTCCAATTTCCACTGCATGGGGTAGTCGACCAAAGTCTCCAAGCAACTATGCCAACTCTGTTCCTCATAATGACCTGAATGGGTCTGACAATTCTAGAAGAGGCATTCCAACTGACATCATAAAAGTTGAAAAAACAAAGAGAACCAGATCTCCGCCTTTGTCACCAATGAATGATCTGCAGGAGAGTTCACCTTTATCTGACGATAACTACAATAGGTGAACAATTCTTCAGTTTGGACTGATACAGTCACATTGTCTTTTTTTTTCTGTACTTTTCTCACTGTTTTGAGGGAACTTTTTGTAAATTTTAGCATATGAATCTCCTCCATCAGGTCTTCAGTGTCTCTCCCAGTGTCAACTACAAAAACAGGAATGATTTTCAGTCGCCCTGATTCTGGCGTTCATCAGAATGTTCTATCATCTTCTGATATTAGCTTGGAAGCTCCTCCGAACAAGCTAAGTTACTTTCCAGTTCCTAAAAGAACGAGGTCACCAGCTCCCTCAGATAATGACATTCAGCAAAACCCCCCTTCTTCTCCTGAGGAAATAGAACGGTAGTATGATGCATGTGCATTCTCTTGGAATCTCTCTCTAGTATATCATTGGAGCTTGTTTACATGATTAACATGTTGATGCATTTACAGGGAAATGCAGGCCAAGGCTAAGCGTTTAGCTCGATTCAAAGTTGAATTAAGTGAACCTGTGCAGCGCAGCTCCATCATTGCAGAACCAAGAGTTTCTTTTGTCCATCATGATATGGTGCAGGAAAGAAAATTTGTTGGGCAGACTTTTGATGATGTGATGGGAGATTTTCCATCTGGCAGCTTTGACAATGGAGATGTGGAATCCTCCAGTAACATTGTGGGATTATGTCCTGATATGTGCCCTGGTATGCTCTTGCAAATTTTTTTCAGTAATCAAATTAGTCTAAAGGTAGTCTGCATTAACTTGGGATTTTTACCTGACTGTCATCGCAAAAAATAAAACGAGGATGTCCTTCATTTAGTTTCTTATTTTCAGAAGGCAAAATGACATGGAGTCAGGAAAAGGCCAATTTATTTTGTTCAGGGTTTTTGTTGGTTCTAGTATTTCTATGACTGTAAAATCTTTGAATGTCAAATTGAACTGCCATATTCATTGTATTTCAGAATCGGAAAGGGCTGAGCGAGAAAGAAAGGGGGATCTTGATCATTATGAACGTTTAGATGGTGATAGAAATCAAACAAGCATGTCTCTTGCTGTTAAAAAGGTTTATCTGATTCTTTATACTTCCTAAACAGATTTTAAAAACATTATCTTCTCCTCTTTGTTTGAACTAGGCTTGTCAGCTGAAGCTTGTTAATTTACTTGTGATGATGTTTTTCCAGTATACTAGGACAGCTGAGAGGGAAGCAGATTTGATTAGGCCGATGCCGGTCCTGCTGAAAACCATTGATTATCTACTGAATTTGCTAGATCAGCCTTATGACGATAGGTTTCTGGGTCTATACAACTTTCTATGGGATAGGATGAGGGCAGTCAGAATGGACCTCAGGATGCAGCATATTTTTGATCTTGAGGCTGTAAAAATGCTGGAACAAATGGTTTGTTCTCATTACCATTTCTCTCTGTTCTTCTGAAGTGTGTGGAAGGTGTGCCTGATTGCTTTTCCTGAAAGTGGTCGAACTTATCTATTGACCGAGAGATAGTCTGATATTTGTACTTGGGGTTTTTCTCTTGGCTAAATAGTGTTTCTGTTCTTGCCTTGCCCAGATACGACTTCACGTTATTGCGATGCACGAATTATGTGAATTTACTAAAGGAGAGGGCTTTTCAGAAGGATTTGATGCGCACCTCAACATAGAACAGATGAACAAAACATCGGCAGAATTATTCCAACTGTATGATGATCACAGAAAGAAAGGAATCAGTATACCAACAGAAAAAGAGTTTAGAGGGTATTATGCGTTGCTCAAGCTGGATAAACATCCTGGTTATAGAGTAAGTAATAGCAACGCAGTGGTTTTTTTTTTTTTTAGTATGGCAAGATAGGCAGTGGCAGTTCAGTTGAATGTCTCACTGTGACTTATCTGTAAAAATGGTTTCTGTTAGGTTGAACCAGCAGAGCTTTCCCTTGACCTTGCTAAAATGACTCCTGAAATGAGGCAAACGCCAGAAGTCTTATTTGCCCGTGATGTAGCAAGGTCTTTTTACTGCCCCTTGATGAACTTCAGGTTGTTACTGACGCATTTAACTGAGATAGGTTCATTTGTTGTCGTTGCAGAGCATGCAGGACTGGCAATTTTATTGCGTTCTTTCGACTCGCAAGAAAAGCTAGTTACCTTCAAGCTTGCCTAATGCATGCTCATTTTGCAAAGGTATGGGAAATTGTTTTGGTTTTGGTGACAGTTGATGAACTATGAATTTCATGGCTATACATGATGCCTCTTACGTGAGCTTATTTGGCCTATGACCGATATAGTTGCTGCCCTTATTTTTAAGTGGGCAGGTATTTACAATGTCTTGTGCACAGGTTATTACCACTTGTCTGTGAGCCACTTTTTTCTTTGGTGAACTGGCTTGCTAATCTCAGAATCGAAACTTGGATACTAAATTCTTTCTATTGCCTCCTAGAGAGTTACTTCTTTTTTTTTTAGGTGATAAAATAGGAATGGTAGATTTATGCATTAAATTTTTGTATTCGGCTTTAGCCCTTTTTTATACTAAAAAAATAAGTAATAGCTTTTGCTTTTTTGTAGTGGAATGTATGATCCTGGCACAAAGTTTTTGCATGTTAGAATTGAATAACCATGCCGACTATTGTGAGTTTGGTAATTGGAGGTTGTTATGGTTCTTATTATCATACAGCTCAGAGCATCACTAAGATTGGTTCTTTTGGGTCCCATTCAAGATGCCATACTAGTTGAGGGGAAAAAACAGATGGTGTGAGAAACTTTTGAGATTATGACCGCAGTCAGTGGCTCCTCAACTGGAAATCATCTGTAATATTAACAGCTTGTTTGATAAAACTAAAAGATAGGTGCTGAAAATTTAAATGCTGAGAATAGATAGAGAACATTATATTGTAATAACTGAAAATCTAGTTCAAGTAATATTAGTTTCTTACCAAACATATGATTCAGGATGATGTTGGTAGGTTTTATCAACATAATGGGTGATTTCAATATCCATTAGACATCTCTTCATTGAATGAAATTAAGTAACTCATTTGCTTAAACTAATTAAGTGATTTTTTGGCTTATTCATTGAAAATAGATAGAGAACATTATTATATAATAACTGAAAATCTAGTTCAAGTAATATTAGTTTCTTACCAAACATATGATTAAGGATGATGCTGGTAGGTTTTATCAACATAATGGGTGATTTCAATATCCATTGGACATCTCTTCATTGAATGAATTAAATAACTCGTTTACTTAAACCAATTAAGTGATTTTTTGGCTTATTTAAATGTTTCAAACTAAAACTGATTAGCATCACGAGTGGCGCTTGATCTTAGTAAGTGCTACGTATATACTTCCCAGATCTTTATGGTATTGTTAAACAGCCCTCACAAATCGGCTTATTTGAATATTTCTAAGTCTTTCTGTTGTTACTTATATTCTGCTACTACTTTTAATTGATTGCCGTCCTCAACCTCGACTGCACGAACATTTTGAAACCTTTGGTTGAATACTGAGAAAAGTCGAAGCAAGTTCTGAGTAGTGATATCAAGATATAACTTTACACCTTTGCTTGGCTTATTCTCCTTCTCGTAGTAGTAAATGAGAATGTTTTACTTCGAGCTTGTGTGCGTAGGCATACGCTGTCTTTAATATTTCCTTATGCAGCTAAAGCTCTTTTGAACAGTTACGATCTCAAGCACTTGCTTCGCTACACAGTGGCCTGCAGAGTAATCAAGGTCTCCCTGTTGCTGTTGTTGCTCGATGGCTGGCGATGGAGGTGCTTATTGTGACATGACATGGACTAAACATTACTTATTTTGCAAAGTTTATTTGAATATTGTGTCCATAATGATGTTTTGGCAATGGAAATAGGAAGAAGACATAGAAAGCCTTTTGCATTACCATGGTTTTTCTGTGAGGGAATATGAAGACCCATACTTGGTGAAGGAAGGTCCGTTCCTCCATGGTGATAGAGACTTCCCTACGAAGTGTTCAGAGCTTGTTCATCTTAAGAAGTCGACCAGGATAATCAAGGATGTCTTGATTCCTGAGTCAATTTCCCCACTTTCCATGGAAGCAATGAAGTTCCAGGTGACAAGTGATCTCAAACATGAAACGAAGAATATCCAACCTGTCGAGAAGGATAGTTCTATCTATGTATCTGATCAAGAATTGGCTATTTCTGAAACTACACCATCCCGTTCTATCTATGCACCTGATCAAGATATGGCTATTTCTGAAACCATATCGTCTCCCAAAGAAATTTGTCATGTCAACGTAGCTTTCCGATCCCCAAAAGTTGCTCGGCACGTGGAAGTTGACCATAAAATATCTGGGGAGGGTTTTGTGCCATGGAACTTTCCAGTGGTTCATAGCTCACCCAAAGCTGCATCGATTAATTTGTTTGCAAATGCAGAGCATAATTTCAGAAATCCTCCTGAGATAAGTGGTCTTCCTGGAAATGAACTTACGCCCTTGCCTTTTTCACCTAGTTCAGTCCAGCAAAAGGTGCTTCCGGTTGAATTGGAAAGTAATGGTGCTTGGCAAAGCTCAGTATCTCTGGAGGATGCCATGTGTATTGCTAATGAAGAAGCTTCACATGTACATCAAGAAAATGGATTTGATGAAGTCTGTGTAAACGAGGATATTTATATTAATGACGAGGATGAAGAAGTTGCCGAGGCAAAACTCAAGTTGATCTTAAGGTTTGTGATAAGTTGCTTTTTCTTTGGATTAATTAGTTCTCTCAGGAATGTCTAATTGTTCTGGCGTTTCTTGCAGGTTATGGAAGCGGCATTCTGCCAGAAGAAGGGACTTACGTGAGCAAAGGCAACTAGCGGCTGCTGATGCATTAAGTTCACTGTCTTTGGGACCTCGGGTTCAATGGAAAAATGATGTTAGTTTTGACTGAGTTGAGCTTTATTTCCGGGTTTCTACGTTAAGCCACGAGTCTTTTGACTTTCTTTATATGCCTTGTTCTCTTGGTTTGATTGAAGGAATTAAAGCCAATAGCATAGCAGTATAGAATTTTCATGCTTTCTACTGAAGTCACTATTGATTCTAGTTGACAGTGCGATGGAGATCAGTGCTGTTTGAGTCGGCGCATGCCACCCAAAAATGTTGCTTTTGCTATCTCTCTGAGTTGGTTCCTCAAACCTGGTTCTTGTTCCTTTCCCCCTCCCCGGTGTTTATGATGCTTCTTCTCATTCAAAAGAGAAAATTAGAGAAAAAATAAGTTGAGTCATCCGTGTCCTCTCACCATCGTCCTTTTGCAAAACTGGCTCGTGTTGGAAGGCCTTTGGTTTGATCATTGTTGTAATCTAAATAAGGATATGTATAATGCATAAATACTTGTTGCAGTTCTTGTCTCTTGCATGCACGAGTAGTTTTTAAATGGTGGACAGCTGTACTTTTTTTCTCTGGATTCTCATTCATGTTTAACTTTTATGCAGCAACCAAGCACTTTCAACGAGTTTGACATTGACCAAGTCACAAGTGAGAGACGTGGAAAGCACAGACAATCGTGGTCTAAGCTGAATGTTGCAGACGTGACTGCTGGTGAACTCATCAAGCGCAACCCAAATGCTAAATGCCTGTGCTGGAAGATTGTAATTTGTTCACAGTTGGAAAGTCTAGATAGTATATTACCGGAGAGAAGTTTCACCCATGGAAGTGCAGTCAGGTGGTTGCTTTCAAAGATTATGGCAGCTGGAACTGGGCATCCTGATCTGGTCTTTTCCACTCCGTGTCTGTCAATATGGAGAAAATGGGTCCCTTGTCAGTCTAATATGGACTTAATGTGCCACTTATCTGTGATTGAGCATATAAGTTTAAATAATTCAAGCACGACAATAGATGGTGCGAGTGCTGCTCTCTTCCTCTTGGCCGAAAGCATCCCTTTGGAGCCTCAAAAGATACGACTTCATCAACTCATAACATCACTTCCTTCCGGCTCTCGATTGCCACTTCTGATCTTAATTGACTCGTGGGCAAAACTGGGATCAGAAGATGCAACTCGTCAAACCATTAACAAGTTGGGCCTCAATAATATCGACCGATCAAGGGTGGGTAGCCTTTCGGTCATCTTCCTTGTAGAAGATAAGAAAATGGAGTTATTGGATGAATTTTTCAGTGACCAGCGACTGAGGGAAGGGCTGCATTGGCTGGCAAGCACATCGCCACTTCATTCTCCTGTTCATTGCGTAGAAACACGCAAGCTAGTTCTTAATCATCTGAATTCTTTCTTGGAAAGGCTTGAGAAGAGTGGCTCTGAAGTGGGTCCCGACCAATGTATCATAGCACTCAATGAAGCCTTGGATCAGGCGCTGGGGGAAGTTGCCGCTGCTGCATATACAAATCCCTCCGGTTGGCCTTGCCCTGAGATTTCTTTGCTGGATGAGCATTGTAAAGAACGCAGAATGGCAGATTTTTACTTGCCGAGTGTTGGGTGGAGTACATCAGCTAGAATTGAGCCGATTTTGTCCGCTCTAAGAAAATGTAAGCTCCCACATTTCATTGATGACATTTCGTGGTTGAGAAGAGGCTGTAGAGTAGGAAAGGAGGTCGAGAGTCGGAGACTAGAACTAGAAGCGTGCTTGATGAGATACCTTACCCAGTCAAGTAATGTGATGGGGGATGCGCTAGCCAGAAACGAGGCATCTTTAATGCTACAGAAACATGCTCGGCTTGAGCTTCGGGACTCAGCATACTACATAGTTCCAAACTGGGTGATGATTTTCCGGAGAATATTCAATTGGCGGTTGATGATTCTGCAGAGAGAGGAGCTCTCAGTGTCTTATGTTCGAGAACATGTTGCTCCTCAAACTCATGGTTCTGAGAACATGTTACAAGAAGATTCATGCCCTAACTTGGAGTATCCATCACTAGATGAAATGCTTGAAGTTGGTTGCGCCGATCTGTCTCGTCTCACATCTAGTTCTCAGCCAGAAATATCAGAGCCTATGACTGGATCACCCATCCACGGTGGAGACCAAACTTGGGATGCTGCACACGTCGACGACCTTCCAGCAGCAGCAGGTAGAATGAATATTCTTCAGGATAATGAACCGGCTTCTGTAGATGATGATGCATTTAGGATTAGTACATTGAGAAGTAACAATGATATGTTGGTGAATTCTGCCAAGGCCACTGATGGAAGCGAAAAACTGAGTAGGCTATTGCAGCAGTGTGATTTACTCCAGAACGCACTAGATGAAAAGCTATCGGTGTATTTCTGATCGGTCATTGAGAAGTCTTGGTTGTCGTTGGTCTCTTCTGTATCTTTTCGCTGTTGACAGACATTATTGTACAACCGAGGAAGTAAGAGTGGTTCCCGTTCTTGACGATATTGCACCAACTTCACTCTTCCACCTCGTGCCGAAGTCTTGCACATGTCGAGTTGAGACCAAAATAATTACCACCTTGTGGAAGATGGGAGCTGGGCGTGGATGTTCTGACTCTGCAGATGCATCAGTACACCTAAATGCAGAGTGGGTTAAAATCAACTTCGACAACATAAAAGAAGTTTTGTACTTCTGAAGTAAGCAAGTGGTTAAAGCCAAAGAACCCTTGTTGATTAATTATTAATGCTGCCCGTTTGATTTGATCATGCCAATGATGTGCGAGTGGTAATGCGTTTTGCCTTATTCCTGGTTTGAATCCCTTTCTTCTTCAATTTATCGCCGCCCTTAGATTGTTTTGGCTGAATCAACCGACTCCACTGCAAAAGTGGAGGAAGCGATGCGGACAGGGTCTCGGACAACTTGAGCCGTTCTTAGTACAGAGTCAGTGTTGCTGAGCTCGCTCCAGGAGCTGCTTTCTTGGCTTCTGTCTACTATCATTAGTCACCTACCCAGGTTTATCGGACTCTTTCAAAATTATTGAACTTTTGTAACAAGCTAACAACCTTTTTTCTTTTGGTAGCTTAATAACTTTCTTAAGTTACCAATTTTCCTATATTTAGGTAAGTCTAAAATAACCTCTTATCAATTTGCACAAATGTAAAAACTTTGTATGTCTAAAATAACCTTTGATTTTTTTTATTATTAAATGTCGGCATTAGTGATATGACTGAGCAAGTGGACGGGCCGTCTCTCAACGGAGAATAGTTTGCTCGAGCCATTGTAGGTTGATCATCCCCCTAGAGCTCACATCAATGGGAAAATTTGGCACCTCGATGGAGCCCTTCGCCATGTAGGGATTATAGTATGTATCAAGGGTTAGGCAGTTTGCCTGATAAAATAAAACGCGTGTGCTGAGCGGACAGTTTGGGATAATTGCAATTTGTGATTGCTAAAACAATCCGTTAGTTATGTATTCTAACTCAAATATATTTGTTTCTAGCCTATTTTGGTATAATTTGAGGTAGTGACCACTTGTAATGCGAGCGTTATCAAGTTGGCCATTGGAGTTAATCAAACTAAATGCGCTTCTCAGCAAACCAAGTGCACTTTTCAGCAAAATTCGCAACTTTCATTGACCCAAGTTCCTTGTCACGTAATCGTGCGCGTTTTGCAAGATAGCACTGACAATCTTGTGTAAGCATGGACAGCACATGATGAATCGCATGCCTTCAAAAAATAATTTCATGATGAACAAATATCACATGTGAATATAATGATTCACGTTTGTCGTGGTCGAAGACAATTTTCGCACATTCATCCTCGACCTCCCACCACATGCGCTTGCTTGTGCTTCCATCTTAAAACATACGCAAATGAAGTTTTCCCGTCAACAGCCAACCAGATGGACTGACAGTGTATTCTCAGTTCTCATCCAAAGGAAAAGTTTCAAGCTTTGACAAAGGAAGAAAGGCAGATTAATTATGAACAGGCGGTTAGTCTCTCAGCAACGGGACAGTGCATTCTCAGTTCTCATCCTATCTCTTATCCGTGCAAAACTTCATGTTAAACCTATTGCCAACCGTTCTGTACGTGGGAAACTCTGGCCACAGTAAGGTCGGAGACCTTTCGACTGCACTGCTGCCACACACAAAATTTCTCACCGCCATCACCTTACAATTCACAGCCCAATTTCGTCACAAGCTAACTAAAATCAGACTCCAGTTCTTATTTCTCAACTACCTCATCATTTTTTGGATATGCAGCCATGCAGGAGCAAAGCTGCGGCTGTTGGTCCGGTGCTCTGTTTTTGCAGATGGCATGTTCTTCACAATTAGCAACGGATTTATTGTCAAAGTCAGACATAGCCTTGGCCTTTCAACCACTACCAAATGAAGTTTCTACATGCAGTCAAATCTTTTTGAGCCATCAGTTGGTTAACAATTCGCATGTCTCCTACAACCAAACACACGCGAATGGTCAAACGAGATGCCATTGACATGTAAACGTCAAGGCCCTTTTGAAGTGTCGAATGCCACTTGTTCATCATCGAAGCTGAGATAAAATATTTACCATGTCTTTCTATCTCATGATATTAGGCAGCTTGAAGGATGTCCTTTTATCAAAGCTACTGCAGAAAATAAGGGAAGATACTGTTAAGAGAAGGCCCAATCTGATTAGGAGGGTGACTTAGACATAGTTTACTCACCGACTGTGGTGAACGTGACGGAGATGGAATAACGATTGCTGGACTTCGGTTGTTAGAAATGGTGCGCTGGTAAGTCTCAAAATCAGAAATCTCACTCCTCATCGATCTATACATTTCTGATGCGGTCGTAAAGGATGAGTTGGAGCTTCCTCTTCCCGTTCTTAAGGATGCTGTCCTTGCAGCATAGGCACCTGCCTAGAGCACAAGAAAGTTAGAAATCTATGACTTCGAATGAAGTAAAAATAGGACATAATACAAAGAAGCATCAGGAAAAGAGAATCAAACTTAAGATACAAAAAGTCATTGCTTATCATTCTAGGAGCAAGAATTCTCATGAAATGACAAAACCCATTACATGCATCTTTCTAGATACATGAGCTATCACAACGCAAGAAAGAAAAATATGTGATGGTGTGCGAAACTAATGTTAATAATCTCTTGTTGCCCTAGATACTTCCCAAAAAACCAGTTAGGAATAATCAATTGACAAAAATAGTGAAAAAGAGCTAAAACAATCTGCCATAATGCAGCGAGATGACCAAAAAAGAGGGGGAAATAGATTCGTACATTACACAAGTCTTTAAGATGTACAATAATAATTGTTATATCATCTGTTCGGTTTTCATTATCCAACCATAGTTTATATGATTCTCCAGCAATGGCAGCACATGCATCTCTAGGATCAGGATAACTTGCCACCTGTATGGAGAAACATGAATAAAACAAGTTCAGTGGAATATGGAAATATAAGATGCAAAGTAATCCAATGGTCACTACATCACCAGAATGTTTCCCATGTGGAGAGCTCACCCAACAATTTCAGTTATTGCACAAGTTAAGTTTTGAATAAACGCAGCAGAGATATCCTTCAAATCGCACACTGAAATCCAGATGCTATGAGCAGCGCCGCTAGGGGGCTGCTTACTTTGTATAAATTTCCATAAAATTAAAGTAGAATGCCTTAATAGTAATCTAGTTTCAATAGCAAAATATATCAAATGTAGAAGCAAATTATGCATGAGATCGCTAGGTGACTGTGGAAAGAAGAGCTGGACAGTAAGAGGCATCATGGTTTTGATGAGGGTGCAGACAAAGTGGAGAATCGCCCTAGATAAACTGTTATACGAGAGAAGATGCTATAAATGGTAGATAAAATTAGTACAGGGCAAGAATACGAAAGTAGAAGTGTGGTCAAGATGGTTAAGGCATCCATGAAGAGCTGATGGTCTAAAAAGCTCGAATATGACCTCAAGGAGATCATAATTGCAATGCATAAGAGAATCAAATATCAAAAAGAAGAATAAGACAGCGAGTGTCAATGAATGCCTGCTACTTTCAGTATCCAATAAAATATTGTTATTTGTTATTTGTAGAAATATGCCCTAGCAAAAGCAAAATGCTATATTCAGAGAATTGAAGGCATCAACATGCATGTAAGATTAGCAAACATTAAGAAAACACAAAGGTAGAGATGCAAAACAGATTAATCAGTTTCGCCACAGCATTTGCCTCTTCCAGTTACAAAAATCCTTAAGGAGTATGGCTCTGGTTGTCAACTTAAGTAGATCAAAAATAAAACAAAAACACAGTATCCAAGCACAAAGCAAAGGAGGATGGCAAAGTTTTTTACAGTCAGCTGCTCCAGATCATCCATTTTTCTAGTGCAGCAATATATGCCCCATCGGAGAATCATTCGACTTCGACTAGTCGGTGGTGAGGTATGGGGACAACAACAGATTGAGGATATTTTAATAGAACAGCCGCAAGTTGCATTGGGTTGAAAATGGCTGCTAATCTATTAAGAATAGGATGAAAAGCCTTACCATATTGACAACCGCCTGGTTAGGGAGAAACTCGAAAACTCCATCACTTGCAACAACAAAGAACAAATGATCAGGTGTGAGCTGAACCATGGACACTTCAGGATCGGCAATCACACCAATTCTCTCAGCTGTACCGTCTCCTATACTCCTCGTGAATGCTGTGCCAGGATACATTCCATTCTGAACCCACAGCCTCGGAGGATCACTGCCTTCACTCTCTTCATCACCCCATGTCTGTATATCCGGATCCTTTAGCCCTTCCACCTGATCTACGCTCAGAACCCTAGCTCCACAGCGCTTCACTCTCTCACACTCATCTCGCCTAAAGGGGGTTTGATCAGAGGACAATTTCTCAGCTAAAATTCTGTTACCAACTTTAAGTGCGATAACTGCCCTTGAATCACCCACATTTGCAATAAGAAGCTTATCCCCAACAACAAGGACTGTAATAGCGGTAGTACCACTCATCATGTCGTCTATCTCACTATCATGCAGCTCCTGATTTGTCCTTACAAACGCCGAACTGTAGGCGTTAACGGGATCATCCAACAGCCCAGGGTCATTTGCTAAGATATCCACCAATCTCTCTCGAACGAAATTGGAACACTGGGCACCAAATTGACCATGCCCATCAAACACACCAAAGAAATGGAGATTCGGGTTACCTTGAAGCTGGGTCCGAATGCAAAAGCTATCTTGGTTTTCCTTGTCAGGGGAATCGGGGTAGTAACCACGCTGCGTCAGAACAGAGTACTCCAAACGAAAGTTGTGGGAAGGAACGGGCGCGCGCTCTATCGACCTCTGGGTGAGTACGTGCTTCCCATGGACACCGAATTGACCCGCCTCTTGAAACTCCCCAGAATCACAGTCCGAAGATTGGGGGCGGCGCCCACCGCACTTTCCATGTGCGCAACCCATGAAGGAAGATCCTCCAGGAAGGCCCCAAAAAGAAGCAAAGGAATTTCCAACAGCAGCAGACCGCCTGTTCGATAGAGGTTCCCCGAAAAGCACGGAGCACGAAGCTTTGGATTCAGAGCCGCCTTTCCCCGCAGCTCCTCCACAAAATCCGCAGATGGGCGGCGGCACTCGCGGGAACAAGCTCCGAAGCTGTCGACGCGGTCATGGCGCGCGGGCGGCAGTACCCAGGAGCTGAATTTCCAAATGCGGCCCGCAAAACCCTCGAAAGCGAAGACACCCAGAGCCAGCCTCCGCGAAAGACGCGGCCTTGCTAAAAAGGGTCTCCGCCAAAAGGCGTCAAAGATGGGTGCGGGAACATCCGCAGTCCCAAAAACAAGCAAGGAATTTCGCCACCGAGAATTTCAAGAAAGCCGACGGAATCGAATCCAAAAAGAGCACAAAGCGAGAGAGAGAGAGAGAGAAGGAGAGAGAGAGAACAAGGGAAGAAGCGAGGGACTTTGTCGGGCTGATCAGGGGCGACACAACCGAGAAGAGGAGGGAGGGAGGGGGGGAGTGTACCGAGGGAGGTGTAAGTGGTCGCGGGGGCAAGATCACACGGCTCGAGAAGCAAGAGCGCGACGAAGGAGGGGGGGGCAGTTAAAGAAACGAAATTCGAAAGCGAGAACGGACGCGAAGAAGAGGGGATGGACGCGAATTCACGGGGCGTGAAAACGATCGTCGGGGGGGAGAGGAATTGATGATTGAATGATTCGAACAGTGCAGGGAAGGAGAGAGAGAGAGAGAAAGGGAGGATGATGCTGTGCGTTGCGTGCTCGAGTGGGGGTTTGTGTTGTCCTCCTGCTCCTCCTGCTGCTGCTGCTCGCAGAGGCCGTGTCCCAAGAACCCACGCCCGCACAAGAAAATTCAAAAAAGCAGGGGGGAATAAAATAATAAATAAAAAAATAAAAAACAAATTGGATTTTTTTTTTTTGCTTTTTGTGTGTGTGTGTGTGGGTTTTTTTTTTAATTTCTTGACTTCTTCTTATTCTTGGCTTCTTGTTCACCGTTCCGTCTTTCAAATTTCGGTTTGCCCGACTTTTCTTTTCTTTTTCTCTTCCTCGTTTGAATATTCAAAATTTATGAATTTCGATGAAAATTCGTACGTTCGTGCGTGCGTGCGTGTGTGTGTGTTTTTTTTTTTTGGGGACGAAAATTCGCATGTGACTTTGTTAAGTTGGCCGTCTAAATGGACCTGTTTTTGAGCAATCAAGCCAAAAACAATATCAAAGCTGTAGCATACCAAACGTTCGTACAAAACAATATCCGCCCTCGCAGGATGGCCGCAAGGGCGACCTCGGGCTGGGTTGGCGGGGCTCGCCCTTAGCGGATTTGGCAAGATCGAGCATTGCCGACAGTGCCACATAAGTCGACCGGCGTCCACGTCAGTAAATTTTGGCCAAAATTAGCCAGAATGACTGAATTGGCACAAAAGCAAAATACTTATGACTGAATTAACATCAAAAGAAGGTTTATGACTAAATTAACACCTATTCAATAGATTTGTGACTTTTCTGACACTTTTTCCATAATTTATCTTATGTAAGAGTCGGTTTTCATGCACCGGAGTAAACTAATGTTCTCCATTAGTTAGATAGAGACGATGACATACATTGTATTAAGAGATAATAAGGTAATTTTTCTTTGTCGTCTTGCCCTTCACGTCTGCATTTGTTTATTCTTGGGTGCGCGTATATAGATGAGTAAATATGGCCCGAATTTTTTAATATCTGGTACATAGAAGGTCTCGACTAGCATTTGATCTCATGTTAACCTACTGCATGACCATAAACCATTACATGATTTACTTTCTCTAAAGAATGAACGGTACGAACATATGGCGAATAAATTCTGTCGAATCATAAAAAGCCGAGGTGCCCCACTCTGTGAAGAAGATGGACTCTTCGATTTGATAGGATCATAATCCCCCAGACAGGTCATAGAGTGAAAAGTGCGATGGAAGTACGCACAAAAGCTTCTTGCCCAAAAATCTTCAATACTCTTTTTATGATTATGTTGGTTTGGGATCACCGACGATCAACATCGGGTTTTGAAAAAGAGCAATTATGAAATTCAATTTGAGTCTCGATATAGGAACCTATTCATTATTTGGTAACGTCCTCAGAAATTCGAAATAGAAGGAGGTCGAATTAGATAAAAAATAATAATTTAAAGTAACTTATCAAGAGTGACACATCTGAATATTGCTTCGCCAGCAACGCGAATACCACCACCACGACGATAGCCGATCGTCGTTGCCTTTGACCGTCGTTATTGCCGTTGCCTCTAACCACCGTTATTATCATCGTGTTCTGACAACTGAAAGTGAAAATGAGAAGTTATATACCACATGACTATCATCATCGAAGAATTCAAATCCATTCGCAAGTTCATTAGATCTCGTCATCCAAATCCCCTCACGAGTACACTAAATCTCAACTTTGTACCCGTGTGAGTTATTTACTCTCCGTCAAAGTTCCGCTAATGAGAACTGTTAAATATCTTCCCACATTGACACCGGAAAGCAAACGTTTTCGACATAACACTCACGTGACACGTTGTTTTAATTGAAAAATCATCTGACAGAACTTTTATGGAGCGTAAAAGTGTCATATAAATACAAATCTTGGGTTTTTTATTTCGCAAGAAAAAGTTTATAGTAAATATGTCACCGTGAGTATAATTTGGGATTTTTTATGTTATAAAAAAAATTCATGGTAGATATGACATAGTTCGATAGTTTTTTTATAAGTTTTTCCCTTTTCTTTATACGTTTTTTTTTTGTCCATTTGATTTTCTCTTTTTTGTATATGAATCATCTACAAACACCTATATGCATGCACCTTATCCTATTCATGCAAAGAACACATTCATCATTACCAAAACGAGCATCAGCTAAAGGCTACGATAGCCTCATTCGGCCAGCTCTTACCCTATCCTTCTTCGCTTCCCAAGTACGACAACAACGACTGTTTAACAGGCAGCCTCAAGGAATTCCATTCGAAGCGTTTGCTTTTCACTGTTTGCAGAGATGGAGGAGAGACCCACTTTTAAAAAGAAGATGAAAAGGAGAGGTCGATCCACATTGCCTGCTTGCTTCACACGCGCACGCGCTGCACAACTCATCATCCGACCCTTTTCGAGTCAGAGATGATTCCCGGAAAGCCGAAAAGTCCGATGCGTTGTTCTTGGAGTTTTGTCACTTCCCCACTTGGAAGACAGGTTGTCTCCAACTTTTTAGCTCGTCTCTCCTCGGGTTTGGAAGCTCTTTTCCCTTTGTTGTGGAATTTATACACAGAATTATGCAGACACCCCACGTTTGCTTCAGAAAGTCTTGCGTTATAAAGAGGCTGTTTTGAGAGAGAGAGAGAGAGAGATTGATATTCCAACACAAGGATGAGAAAGAACTGCTTTTAGAGAGGCTTTTGGGTAACAAAAGTAGGGTTTCACATGACCAAAGAGCCCCACCAGGCTTAAAAACCCCAGATGCATGCTTTCACATCTCTCTCTTTGTTTCCCTTCTTGCTAGAAAACCTTTGAAGTCCTATAATCCAACTAGCCGTCGCTATCACGTGCGTGTACAAATCACTCTGCTGGTCCGTCATATGATCCAGACCTAAATGGGTCGACGTGATCTCAAAGGGGAGTGCTCTTGCAGTGATGTTTTGGATTGACTGCCGCCTTTCGCAACTCCTCTCTTCTTGTGTAGGAATTCGACTTCTATATGGTAACTCTACGAATCATATCCCTCCGAGAGAGCTACTTGAGGAATCTTCTGAGATGACTGTGAGGATAAACTTCACTGCAATCGCCGCAAATCCTCAGCTAAACTTGATGCTGGAGGTGTCTTCAGAAGACGTCATTTTACCACAGATGACCTTTTTTCATCAGCTAATTACCAGCATTTCGAAAGCCGAATCTGGGCGACCTAATCCGTTAACCGTCAAAACCAAAAAAAAACCTGTCAATCACGCACCGCTTACAAATCTGCCGCTCTATTTCCGGCATGATTTTGGAAACACATACTATAGTTACATGCTACTCAAAAATTCAAATATGGGCACGCGTGTGCACAGCAAGTTGGGAGATTTGCTTCTTCTGCATTTTCCAAATTCTTCACAACCTTTAACTGAGATGGACTTATTCCATATTTTCTTTTCCCATCCTTGAAGCTCGACCGGTTTCATAGCATTCGCAAGGGGAACAAAAGAGAAAGGAAAGTGGAATCAAAGAACCTTAATCAGGTGTTATGAATACACATAGATTAAAGGACGACAGTACATGAATTTGAAAAGTTTTCGTAAGATTCTGCTGGCCTTCTGAGCATAAACTAAGGCTCTGTTCGTTTGGCGGAAAATATTCTTCCGAAAAATATTTTCTGGGTTTTCCGGTGTTCGGGGGGCGGAAAACGTTTTCCGTGGGAAAATATTTTCCTTCCCCCCCTCACAAAATAGCCTAAGTCTACGGAAAATGACTTCCGCTTCTTCAAAAGCGGAAATCATTTTCCGGAGCTTCTTCTTCTTCTTCTCCACTAAGGTCGCCGGCCGCCGCCGGAGCCGCTGTCGCCGGCGGCAGTCGCCGGCCGCCGGTCCCCCGCCGCGGTCGCCCGCCGCCGGACGCCGCCGCCGGTCGCCCGCCGCCGGACGCCGCCGCCCGGTCGCCCGCCGCCGGCCGCCGCCGCCGGCGCTGCCGATCGGCGCGAAAAATATTTTCCGAAACTTTTTCATATTGGTCGCGAACACCGGAAAATTATGTTCGGGAAAATATTTTCCAGGAAAATGACTTCCGGGAAAATATTTTCCTAAAGGAGAATATTTTCCGCCAAACGAATGGAGCCTAAATGGAAAACTAATTGGCCACATATAAATCTGATTTTTTTTGGCATGCATGTCAATATTAGCCTATGTAAGCGAAAATAAAATGATAAACTATGCAGAATAAAATTTTAAGAGGCATCACAAATCTATTAGAGTTTTGCACTGTTAAATAATTTCTATCGTTATTCACATTTATGATTGGCATACTTTGTGCCTGATCTGACATTTTCGAAATTTTTTTTTTCTTTATTATCTATAAGAGGTCATCGTTAGGTGTAGGTCAAGTTAGGTCGCTGAAAAACGTGATAGTAACTTTAAGTCGACCAAATACCGACTGAACTTAATATATATGAAGTTTCACTAGGGAAGGATCACGATCGATGCGAGTTTCCTAACTTGGTATGTAAAGCATTGTATCTAGATCTAAGTTGATTATTCGTGTCATTTTCCCAAGCGATCACATCGGATTCTCCTAACATTGATCCTAACTCAAGGAACCAAATCGGAATTCCATTGAGCTGTACAGTCTCCATTATTGTATTGGGTGTGCTTAGGTGTAGACAGGGATGGCTTACTTGAGAGTCAGGGAAAACAGTGGAGTGTAAATTTTGTCTTGGCAGAGTTCCCCACAGATCATCTCTTGTCAAATAATTGAATAGGTTGTCCTTCATCCAGCATTTATTTTCATTTAAATTTACATTTTTATTTTCTTTCAATCTTGCATTTATTCATATATCATTATTAGACTCCACGATCGGAAAAGAATGGAAACTTTATTTTTTTTCCTTCTGACAAAAACCATAGACGCAAGACAAGAACTAGGGAAGACACAAGTTGTATTATGGACCACGGCTAGTAGTCTAGTGAAATGACTCTTCCTTACGTTTCAAATTAAATGAAGGCTTTTGCCGATGATTTTGATACAACGGCCTTAAATTCGTCTTAATATCCACACCATCTCAAGTTGATAAATGGGTTGAATCGTCGGTCTAAGGACCGTCGCGATTCCCACGATTAAAATGCTCATTTCGGTTGAGTCTCCTATGACCAAATGGAATTTCTTATGAGTTTCGCGTAAGCCTCACACATGACGTAACTTTCAGGATGGTGTCAAAGATTACCTCAGTGTTAATGCTTTTGTGTTTCTCAGCAAATTATTGACTCAAATTTATGCACATAGCAAAGCTTTTCTTCCTTGGCAAATCGATTTGCCACTATAGATATATAAAAATCTCTTTCATCAGATCACATGTAATATGGACAAAAACCACAGCATCACAGTCCACTAAATGCAAGAGGTCAGTGATCTGCCTCTGTTGTCTGAACATTGTTTAATTAAAAGCTTGCCATGGATTGATTCCAAAGTCAAATCTTCATTTGTTTATCTCCAATCTGTACTTGTTGGGTTCCATTGGCAGTTTCAAGGACAGATTCGCCTGAAGATGGTTGCAGCTGGACTTGGAAGGTTCCAATTGAAATTCCTCAGGCCTATACAGTAATTAGAATTTAGTTAGGAATGGAAGAAGCATCCTCAATTCAAAGCCCGGTACATATGCTTGGTCTGGCCTTGAACTCGTTGGACAATTGGGCTACACCTGAATGGGCTTTGATTGTAGAGGAGTGATCATCCAAATCCAGGTTGCACAATGAAACAAATCAATTACCAAGATTAAAGACTACACGTGGGGACATTTGAATCCAGTTTGTGGGGCAATGTTTCTTCTACATCGCCGACATACTGAATAGAAATCCTTATTTGAATCGAAGGAGGAAAGAAGCTCTGCAGAGCATGAGCTGAATTCTGGTATTGCGAGTTGTTTGTAAATCATCGACTACGTTGACATGAGATCATTATCTTATGAATGCTGAGAACGTCTTGATTTCTAGCTAGGGTGGACTAGGATTTGGTGAGAAAGCTCAGGGGGATGCGCGGCGAGCTAGGACGAGAGCAGGACTCGCGTGGGATTGAGATCGAATGTGAAAATCACATCCCCAATTTATATATGGGTTCATTGGCTCGAATTGCACCCTCGGGGCTTATTGGCTTGGGTGAGGCTAGCAGGCACCATACGCATAATCAAATATGTATGAAACGAAAGCCCCCGGAAAACGTAAGTAATCCATATGCTATCAATATTTTCATCTAATCTGTCTTAGGAGTGATCAGGAGAGTGGGAATGAGGAGATAAAAACAGGATGAAACTACACAAAAAGAAAAACCAATTGGTCTCATAAAGAGCAAGAAAAAAGGTTGATGAAAGCACGACATCAATGCTCTTCCCCACTTATCATAAACCGCAAAAAACTTAGGCGTGACAAACAAAAACTTTAGCATAAGTGGGGTGCATTATCATGATGAGCCCACCCCCTATTACAACTTTTGCACATCAACCTTCTCTTTCTGGCTCCCTATGTCTCATGTTTTTTATCTAACACAAGTCAACTCCACATATATATTTGCTCAACCGTTCCCCCTAGAAATTCTTTCTTGTTCTTCTAAACTCCTAATATTATGTCCTACACCCTCTTTTTGTTTTTTCATTTATACCAACCAGTTTCGTCGCTGTCATCACGCACGTCTAGATGTAAACGTCTGAAAGACGACTGTCCCGGCTTCTGGGAACTGATCCGTTGCACAACTCCGGCACTTCAGCCCTAGTGGCTCGAGCGCATTCGCGACTCTCGTCCATACTTGGCTGCTCACGCTCGTCACCGACACCGACATGGTCCCCGGCCGGAACACCCACGCCACCTGTCTCAGCATCCTTACAATGTCATCGCCATCGTCGTATACGGATCCCACGCACTCATAACTTGCGTAACTAAACCCCTCTTCTGGCGTCACGTGTATCGTCGAGTAACGGTCGCCATCGATCCCATTCATCGAGTACCCGCACGGGTCAAAAGCGAAATCGCAGATGAGTGCCCCGGGATTGATCTCCCCGATGCCGGTGACGGCGGTCATTTCTTTCCCAGCCGAGTCGCCAGTCTTCCCGTCGCCTGGCCGCCCGAAGAACTTCTGCGCCCGCCCTCTGTCAAGCTCGGTCATGCACACCTCGACGGTGTAGATAACGTCCGGTGCCGGCCACGCGTCCGCAACGAGAGCCGGATCACACGCGGTGAACACGTGCCAGGAGTGGGTGGCCGCCACGTGGGAGTGCATGATAGACGCCTTCCTGGAGCAAGCGTTAGTGGGCAAGCAACCTTCCAAGTAGGCCACCTCTTCCTGAAAGCTGGTGTGGGGAAAAGGTTGGGCGAGAGGAAAAATGAAGCTGCCCCTGGTGTACCTACACAGGCATAGGGTGAGGCCCAGATCACGGGCATGAGCCACCAGCGGACGGACCGACTTGAGCAGCTGCGTGGTCCCGCAGGTCTTGATCACGATCTTAGTCGGGTACACAAAGAGGCTCGATTCCGACAGCACGTAGGCATCCAGGTGAGCATTTCCGAGGGCCGACACGACGGTGCACTGGACCTCGTCCAAGACCCGCTCCAGCGACTCGAACCCAATCCGCCGCAGGCCCATTCGGACCGCTGCCGGGTTGTCGCCGGAGAAGTGGAGCTCCAGGCGCTTCTCGAAGCCCTCGAAACCGGAAGCGGCCATTGATGATGGTGTAAAGATGTGAGGAAGAAGGCTCGGGACTATGGGTGGTGCGATAAGGGATGGGACTGTGACTGTAGTGATGTGGAAGGAGTGGAGTGTATATATAGTGGGGAGAGAGAGAGAGAGAGAAGCAAGTGAAAGAGAGGGCATGCGGGTGTGAGGCAACCAGGAACAATGATTGCCATTAGCATTATGAAGCGATTAAGATGATGTCTGTGTTTGCCCTTTTTCTCTTTCAGAGTCTTTCATCAGATACATATATTGGTAGGGGACAATATGTATACTTTCTAACGAAATAACTCTATAGAAACCTAAAGAAATTTACTCTTTCCTTTGTTGACATTTATTTGGAAAAAGGGGTAGGAGCAAAATCGTGTTAGAACCCTCCTCTTCCGCCTTTTCCCTTCCTCCTTTTTCGTGTCTTTTGGCTGAAGTGTTATTTTTCTGTGCGCACACAATAATGGTGCCGGGTGATCATTGAGGGGACAAAAGAAGATCCACAGGACAAAAACTGGTCATCTTCGTGCCCGTCGAACATGAATTTCCGGTCTCTATTTCGTGTCTCGGCAAGATCAGGAAAACCATCAATTTGCAATGAACACCATGGAGGCTACTAAGAAGGGGTTCATCACCAGGGGGGAAAAGAAATCCAAGCTAACGCATGTCGCGTTAAGCCATTTCCAATCCAATCTTTGTTTGTGTTTGTTTTGCCGATAATTCACGAGCTTTGACATAGAGACCCGGATACCTGAAGGTTTATGAAACACCCTCCAAGCCCCATAAACGGTCAAGCACAGGTGACCCCGATCCAGAGCAGTGTGCACGTAGTTGATGAGATTCAAACGTGTGACCTCCAGCTCTCGAGCTGGAAATCCTCCCTCCCAAATAATTGGGTCGATTCAAGGGGTTTATTTGCCATAATTTCAATGTTCACTAAAAATGCGGCATTAGCGCTGATGTAACGCTCACACAAAATACTTGCCCAGGAAAAAGGCATATGTTTAGAGAAAAATCAAGCAACAACCGGAAAACAGAGTTGTCCAACATGCAAGCACCATTATGGGCTACATGTCCCTGAGAACGCAAACAGTATTCATGGCAAGAATAATTTCACCCCGATCCTAACTGAACTATCTTCCATCTTTTCGAAGGTGTTGTCGAGTGGCGAAGCTTAACCAAAAGGAGACACACAAACAGACTTAAGAGATAGGCGGGAGTCAAATTAAGCTCGGCCACTCAATCATCTAATCCTCCAACTAACCTTGATTATGGAGCATGATTAACTTCAAAAGTTTCATGTTAATGGACAACATTGTGAGCTATTTATATAATATGTAGTTCTGCAGTCACCCCCTCCAAGAATTACATCCATATGCCAATGCTTTTTACTTGAGAATGCCTACTGATGATCAGCTGATGGGATGATGAAACCCTAGTTTTTTGCATTTCTTGACAACGTCCACCGAAGTCTAGCTGATTAAAGCGTGCGAAGGGCAGGACTAGAACAATCACAATAGAGATTATATTAGACATGCAAATGTTTTTTCCCCCCAAGAACTTTGAACAGATCCATCTTAAGCATGAACAGAAGAATGTGAATAATAGGTAGAATAAGAATAATTAGGAATTCAAAGGTCCATGATTCGAGTTTTGGAGCGTTATAACTTGTGCTCTCGTACGGTGTCAAGGGAACCGTCTTTACCCTAAAAAAGAAACTGAGTTGGCCAGGCGACGGCACATGCCATCGTCTAATCTCTACGTACTTCCTAGTTTTTTTTTTTGGTCGGTTACGTACTTCCTAGTTAAGGAAGATATGGATATTGAGAATCTCCTAATTATCTCTATAGGTGGAGATAAATTACATGGTAGATCTTTTAAGTGACATGTTGAACTTTGATTGCACAGTGACTTTTCTATTTAACCTTTGACAAGCTAGAAGCTTGTTTAGGACGGAGCATGGGCGGATGTATCATGAGAAAAAGCAAAGAACCCACTGCGTCGAATGAAAACAACAGCTCGAGAGTTGGGACAACCTTGTCCTTGTTCATTAAGAAAGGATGGACGACGTGCCCAAATATCATCACTGTTTTTGGTGGAAATAAAATAATTGCTTGGTATTTTTTTTGCAGGGGAAAGGGAAATAAAGAAAATCATGCGTGGCAGATAAATAATGAGGATTTTTCCAAAATTAGGGAGGGCACCCATCAGATCATGAGGTTGAAAAGCGCATCCACATGATTTTGATTCTCGATGCAAAATGTACATGGGGGAGGCACAATCATCATCATAGAATCCCATTCGTATCCATAGATAATCCCTCCCTGAACCATCACTATTCGATTGCCCTTGAAAATACTATTAAGCATCGAGTCCTCTAACGTTATCCACTTTTGTGTTATATTGTCGAGTAATGTGACGTGATCGATATGCTTAAAGGCAAATCATCTGTACTAATAACAAGAGATTCTGGAGAAATCGAGGCTCCTCATGACTTAAGAGATTGCGGTGGCAAACAAATTTTGCCAAGAAACCCTAATGGGGGGCAAAGTTTTAGTTGCCTCACCCACTCAACCAGCCCTCGAAGTTCATATGTGTAAGTCTCCCTTTGGTATCAATTTGATTTCACTAAACTTACTCTCAATTGGTCCCTCTTTCTTTGTGAGGATTATAGGCATAGTTAGACCAAGCAAAAGCATCCTCTTTACTCCAAATGAATTTGCACTTCCACCCTAACATGATTGACTTCAAGAAATTAATCCCATTGGCAAAAAAAGAAAAGGTGAAAAAGAGAAGACTACATACAAGCTAGGGATTGCGTGGCGACAAAAGAAGGAGAGATGAGAAAAGGAAGTTGAGAGGGGGTAATGCAATGATGGCGAATTTTGAGTTCAGAATCAGATTTTGCAATTTTAAGGCATGAAATGATTTTGGAGTGTCTGCTTCAATCGAATTTAAAGAAAAGTAGGAAAAAAATCTTTTATATATATGCATTAAAATGGTGGCTGTTGTTGGCACCACCACATGATGACCACATACCCACATCTCTGTGCTTGCACGCGCACCCACCAAACCCCAAAGCTTACATATCTCACGCGCAATACACACCATCTCATTATCCACCGATACGTATGCACGTTTCTGTGTTAAAAGAACATGTACCATTCTTGAATTGCTCTTTCCAAACAAGAGAAAAATAAAAAGAAGCATATCATGGTCTTGATGGGTATTGCATAGTGATGGTGTGTATGAATATTGAGAGATAATACGACGGGCATCACTTTTCCTTTGTGAGTAGGTACCCCTTCTCCTGAGTTTACGAGGCTATTTTGTCGATATCTTTAGAGAGAGTTGTCTTGTGCCCTTAGGTATTCTCTACCGACTTAGTTGTGTCGATTTTGGGTACAAATACCATTTTATTGAAGGCTGTTGGATCCTTTCTTAAGAGTATGTCATGAATTACTTCAGCTTATGATATTTGAATAAGCTATTTTCTAGATAAAGATGGTGACTCAAATGTTCTTTTGTAGAAGACAAACTCATGTGGGCTTTGGTGAAGGACAAGTCAAGGGAAGAATATATTGGAAAAATCGATAACCCTAATCTTGATTTGGTCCCCCAAAAGTCGCCTTTTTAACCTAAGCCTCCCTCAGCTCACTCCTCCCAACAAGGATCATGGAGAGGCCCGAAGAGAAAGAAGGAAAAAAAAAGAGCTTATGATTGGACCCACTTATGTGTCTCTGACAACAACAATGTCAAGACCCCACACAAACTACACACATCGTCTTGAGTATGTGCCCCAACTCCATGGCACATGAGGTCCATTTCTTGATCTAGGGTTTGAGTGATTCTTGGACACGAAGACCCCACAAGAATTTTCTTGCTTGAGAAAATATTTGCATTCTTTCGTATGTAGAATCAAATATGCCTCTACAAATTGTATTTTGTATATCGGATTCATAATGTAATGGTGACATATATAGAAACAAGCCGATCAAATGTGCTATTCTTATAATTTAAAATCAAAGCGAGTTGGTATACATATAATGTGAATAAGGTGACCGGTTTGTTACACCATACTAGTTATATGATCGATTATTAAAGTATTTTTTTTTCGGGGTCTTGTTCTTTAGCCGTCGTGCAAGCTCGCATGCTCACAGTTGCCCACATGTGGCAAATTTCTAAATCTAATGGGTTGTTTTTGGAGCACTAGTTGAGCAGTATTAACCTTAGTGCTACTGTGCCACGCGCACCATATCTTGCTTGAAATTTCTTAGGAGCCCACCATTGTTTGCCCCCTTGTTAATCGTTTTTTTGGGGGAATATGTGACCAAGAGAACTAGTGCTCTAGTGAAAAGTCATTGGATGTACATACATGAAACATCCCTCTCAAAACTTTATTTTTGATCCTTTTGCCGTTATCAAGGTAAACCCCACATATTTTCAGTCTAAGATTGATCTGTGGATGACAAATAGTAGCATGAGGCCGAACTACACAGTTTCTCCGATTATATGATATATATATATATTGATAGATAAAACATCTTATAACAAATCTCGTAGGCAAGTGATATACTAAGAATTGTGATTTATGTTATTATGACGTCTCCTTCTCGAGTGTACACCCCACGCTAATCAAAATAAAACTCGTTATAGTCCCGATATCGAAGTATTGTCTTTGGATTGAAGAAGTGGCCAAGGTCAATACACTATTCAATGACTCCACCCATTAGTGAAAAACATGACATGATTGTGTCACAAGTAGCAACTTGTGTTGATTCATAAAGGTTATGGTCCCCTTCCAATAGGTTGGTGTTAAGGCTACACGTCTAGTAACATCTAAAATTTTAATTTAAAACATAAGGATTATCTCATTGAACTCATGGCGCCGACACATCAGCATCGATGTTTTCTTTTGTTGAATATAACTCGATTCTTTTGCATGAGAAATATTTGCATGGATTCGAATTATATGGTCTCTATTTGGACATATTTCGCCCATCAAATTAGGTGAACTTTATATTGGACTCAAGCTGATTCAAATTTGATTATGGATTGACATGGAGCTGCGCTCAGCTTTTGCTTATAGTATGGTTTTGTTAAAAAGAAAAATTCGAACATAAATCTATCGAGATCAATTGAAATTTGCAGCTTTTTTTCACGAGAAAAAAAAAGACTTGGTGTCAATTTTTATTTATCAAAATCACCGTTTCATGTCGGGCTCTATTCCTTCCAACATCGACATCGATCGACAACAGCCTACGCACAAGAAAAAGGAGAAAAAACCAGACAGAGGACAGTGACCAAAATCATGGATATTCTCTCGAGCCCCGGGACAGTGAAGATGAAGATCAATCTCGATTGGGACTAAATCTCAATTATATCAAGAAAATAAAGAACTGCATGGGCATGCCATGCATATCATTCCTCTCGTGCTCGCGTTTTCGACATATAAAAAGAAAACCCTAAAGAAAACATTGCTGCACTCTTGCCTTCTCGATGGGAGTATCAGAGAATCTTGATCGATTGCTGTCTCGGGCAGGCCTTTGATTCTGCCCTGTAGCTTCTTCAACCTCTCTCTCTCTCTCTCTCTCTCTCTCTCTCTAGAAGCTTGTAAAAAGCTTCATGATGTCTTTCTTCCCTCCCGTACAGTGCAAGTATCTTCCTTGTCTTCTTCTCTCACCATTGATAAAGTTCAGTCCTCTTCTCACTTTTGCTTTTCTGATGACACCAGTAACTAGTTCGGGTTGCTTTCGGAAGAGCTTCTTTCAGGTTCAAACCAATTCCTACATTTACTTTTTGCTTTGTTATGTGGCGGACCGTCTCGAGTGTACACCGAACGTGCTCGAGCCGTCATATCCAGTCGGTTGTAAGCCTAATTCAGCTGGGAATCGAACACGTATCGTGCACAACGATCCGCATCGCAGAGCCGAGATGTGTGGTAGTCTTAACTCCTATTTTCTCGTAGCTCATGGATGTGTCCCACAGCAAGAATACAATACGTTAGTGTAGTTTGTTTTCCATTGTAGATGTCGGCAGCTTGACTTACGAAAGTAGCATGCTAATCACACTTCTTCTGCGAGCTGACTCACCTCCCACTTATTATATACGTCCGTGGCGTTTTTCACCAACTCGGTTCTCCAAGTTGTCGAGAAGCTCCCATCATTTCTCCTTACTCCCTTTGGCATGTTATATAGAATCAAGTGGCCTATCGAATGACTAAGAGCATCGCATTCGCCCGACATCTTCAACCCTCGACCGTCGATCCACGTTTAAATTAATTGCTTCATTGCTAGGAATCAGACATTCTAAAAGATACAGCTCGTATGATCATGCCCATCGCACTTGTAAAACCTAGGAGGGACATGAAGATGAGGATACAAACTACTAGTTTTCTTCGGTATCCTCAATTATGGGAGGTGATGGATTCTTTGGCTCGAAAACCCGTTACCGAAATCCGGCCAAAACCAAAAAAAAGAAACTCAGTGATGAATTTCCTTTTCGAAGGTACCCAAACTAGGGTTTTGGTATCGCTCGAACTTAAAGCTTAGATGAAGACATAACTTTTCCGGCGACCGTGTCTCGAATAAGATCAAGACATGGCTTTGATTTACACATTCCACGTTCTCCACTGTTGTTACGATATAAAAACATGTCCGGTCCTATACCCGATCCTCTACCAAACAATTTATAGGGCAAGATGAGACGTGATGGATTGATTTTGTCGGCCCGATCTTTCGTTTTCGACTTAGTCTTCCTCCTTATTATATTCCATTTGTTCTCGGAATTCTTTGAACCTGGTGGGCTTTGGAGATTGCGAAGGATGGTTAAAATAAGCGAAGGTTGCTACTCCAAGAGGCAACATCATAATGATTACGGAGTCGATGCCCTAATGAGCATGGTGTTAATGCCTAGGCCGAGATGAATCACGCCAGCACATTCGATTTGTTGCCAAAGTGGAGATTATTAAAAATGAATTAACTAACAACAGAATTGATGATGGATTGAGACGCGATACGAATAAAATAAGCAATGCCCACCTTCCATGCTCATAACATTGCGTAGCTACTATAATTCTTGGCAAAAGAGATAGGTTTCATGATCCAATCAATTCCGAGGGCTTAATGGATCCGTCGGAACCTTTGATTAATCCCGCTAATGACGAATTAATTTTATTATGCAGGCGATCATGGTGTCTTTCTTGAATTTTCTTTTTGAGATATGGAATTGGTCCGTCGCTCGATTGAGGAGGTGTGTGTTCATGGACTTGACGGCTCATTGAGAGAAATTATGTCTATTCCAATCCCTTGATGAATCCATAGTGCAATGGCCTTCGAACCATTTCTCTTGGGCTCGAGTTGGACCTTCTATGGGTTTGGACTTAGGCTTTCTAGGCCTATCGTCCCTTATTCCCCAACGCCTTGATGATTTCATAGTGCAATGGCAATTCATTGGGGTTCGGCCATTTTGTTTCGGGAAAATGACACAAATGTCATCGAACTTTTAATTTGTTCAATTGATTCTCAAACTTTAACTCAATATGCAATATGATCTCTAAAATTTTAATTTTTTCAATGTGATCCCTAAACTGGTGATAACATTGAATATTATCATATAGTCTAGGGACTAAATTGAACATGTACCAAAATTTTATGGACCATATTGAACAAATTGAAAGTTTATGGACCACATCGAATATTGGATTAAAGTTCATGGACTACATTAAATAATTTAAAAATTCAGGAACCAAATTGTACATTGAGTCAAAGTTCAAGGATTGTTTGTCTCATTTTCCCTAAAAAAAAAAAAAATTCTTCCCTATTATCATATGCCGAAATGGATTGGATGTCATTTATTTTAGCTGGTTGTTATGATTTAGGAAAACAATAAACAAGCTGATCAAGCAAAAGGCAATAAAGTGGAAGTATATCAAATATCAATTAAATTGTCAATCTCCATAAATTTGGAATTTTTTTAAACAAAGAAATGGAGCTTTGTTCAGGAAGATGGCATTAAATCAAAAGTTGCTTAAAGAAAAATGTAATTAGAGAAAATCGAGGACAATTACTTTACTTAATGAAAATCGAGTCTTCATAAACTCGGGCAGTTTAGCTGTAGGTAAATCTATCGAACGGGTTTCGACCAAAAAAAAAATCTATTGAATGGGTGGGTCGGGTTGAATTTTGGTGGGTTTAAAATAGGTCCAATCAAAATTAATCCATTTAATCCATATTGACCTATTTTTGTGTAATACAGTTTTAACGATTTATACACAACCCATTTCGAACCCAACCGACACCCAATCAAATCCAAACTCTAATTCTTAGCAATTTTGCCCTTTAAAATTGTTGGCAATACTATTAATAAAGATAAAACAACACTATTAACACTTCCGAAATTTTTTGAACTTCTTTAGCATTCGTAGCCGTAGAACTAATACTTCATCCTAAATATTTATTGCCTTTTTCAAATGAAACTGAATTTGCTATACTCCATAGAAGACAAGACCACCTTCAAGCATTAGATATGTAGCGTTTCGTTTAGTAGCCACATCTCGACATACAATTTTATCGCTCTTCTTCAATCATGATTGTGTTTGACAAAAAAAACAAAGCATGAATGTGATATACATTTAAAAAAGGACTAATCTTGCGAAAAACTTCAAACTGATACACTTATGATAAATTTACCTCAGAAAATCTCTAAATTAGTACATTTCGCCATTACTTGCGAGGGTGAGCCTTGCCATGGCTAGGTGAGGCTCGACCACATCGGTTCAGACGAGGCCGAGCCTGGGCCCCATGGGTGAAATGCAAAACGATGTCAGGTAAAATAGGATTGACCGCGATTGATCATGAAATCTCGAGAAGCTAAAATCAATCAAAACGGTAAAAAGAAGTTCCACCGATTTTCCCTTTTCCTTGTATCAATCTCTCTCTCTTTCTCTCTCTCTTCCCTCCGCCGGATCCCCCTCTCTCTCTCCTCCCATGGATTTCTTCAAATCCGTCTTCTCCGACGACGGCCCGCCGGAATCCCCCCGGAGCCCCCGCCCCGACCCGGTCCCAGACCCGAGCCCCGGATCGCCCGGCGGCGCGTGGAGCTTGGGGGGGCTGATCAAGACCCTGGCCACCCGGTCGGAGTCGGCGATCGAGTCCTACCGCCGCGATCTCGAGGAGTTCGGGTCCGGGCTCCGGAAGGAGACGGCGGTCATCCGCGAGGCCGCCTCCCGCGCCGTCAAGGACCTCCCCACCTCGCTCGAGGCCGGCGCCTCCGCGGCGCAGGAGTCGCTCGAGTCGGTCGGGCAGGCCATCGACGACATCGGCGCCACCGTGCTCAAGTCCACGGCCGAGATCCTCTCCCACGGCAAGGAGGCCCTGCTGGATCTCGATTCCGATTCGTCCGATCACGGCAGCGGCAACTTCGGCGGCGGCGGCGGCGGCGGCGCGCAGAGTTCGGATGTGAGGAAGTACAGCAGGTTCGACGCGCAATTGCGCCAGATTCAGAGCGATGCGAGCGTGTACCGCGACGAGCCGGAGGGTTCGGAGGAGTATGGGGAGTGGAAATTAGGGTTTTCGCTGGAGGAGAAGAGGGAGGAGATTGAGAGCTTGACTGGGGAGGGTGGGGCGATGAGAGAAATGTATGCCAAGGTTGTGCCTGAGGAAGTTGATCACGAGAATTTCTGGTCTAGGTACTTTTACAGAGTGCATAAGCTCCAGGCAGCGGAGGATGCCAGAGCTCGGCTCGTGAAGCGGGCGATCTCTGGGGAAGAAGAGGAGGATTTGAGGTGGGATTTCGAGGATGAAGATGAGGAGGAAGGAGGAGAAGCATTGGTGGCAAAAAGTGAAAGTGCCGTGCTGGTGAAAGATGCGCCGGACGCGGTGAAAACGGAGGAGGGCACCGGCGAGGCTTCGTCGTCTGGGCTTGTCCAGGCTCGGGAGAAGAGCGTGGCCGGCGAAGAAGAGGAGAAGTCGGATTCGGAGAAGTCGGGTAGCGATGCGTCGGAAGTTAAAGTCGACGAGAGACCGAATTTGGAAGGGAAGACCGATAAGACGGATGCCAGCGGGTCGTGCAAGGATAGCGATGTATCGATCATTTCGACGCAGCCGTCGATGCCCGAGGTTGCGGACCTCGGGTGGGATGAGATCGAGGACGTGGTCGGCAATGACGAGGGTAAGAGGGACAGCGTTTCCAGCGCGAGCAGAGTCGATTTGCGAAAGCGCCTGAGCGCAGCAGATGAGGAGGATTTAACTTGGGACATCGAGGACGATGACGATGACGAGGACGACGAGCCTACCAAATTGCGATGAAGTAAATGATCTCTCACTATTCAAAACGTTTAGAGCTGTAGACATTGAGGGTCAAGTTTTCCCCCTTGATATCATGTCGTTGCACTTGGTCTCTTTTAAGTTGTGCGAAAACCATTATTTGGGTTGTTATCACTTACCAGCGTGTCTTGTGGATAGTTTATCTTCGTTTTATACTCTTTTAGAGTTCAGCTGGAAGCTATGTAACCGTGCAATTGCCCATTCTTGATTACAAATAAAAGCTTGGTCCTTTCTTTTACGCCTTCCTCAAACTAAGGTTTGTATTGTTCTTTTGGGAGGAGTTAGCTTTCACGAGAGTATTTCTTGGAAGGGTCGAATCGGTTCGACACGCAGGTGGTTTGATCTCGATGCTGTTAATGCTTTCATGAACACAAGCTTATAGCAGCTTTGCGGGCTTCGCAGTTGCGATTCTAGTGTGTACATGATTGTGGATGAGACTGGGAAGTTGATGGTTTTCATGGATGAGACTGGGAAGTTGATGGCTTTCGTTTCTTGTTCACTATCATTTGCCAGAAATAGGGGCTTTGATGGAACATCTGCAGTTTCAGAGATGTTTTGCCGTTTGCTGCGGTTCTAACTAGGAGAGCTTCTTAACGATAAAACTTTTGCTCGAGTCTTAACGATAGAACTTTTAAGGTTCCGTCATTGTTACTAGTCCATTCCATTAGCCTTGTCTTTGTAATTATCACGGTGGCCAAACCACCGAAGCTCGGGCTTTTCCTGTTATATAACTGAACCGACGAGGTACCGATAACCATGGGGACATGAGTCTGATTCTTTCGATGCGAGAGGCCATTAGAAAGACATTCAAAGTAAGCAAAGATGCATCTTTTGCCTAACGAAATGGCTTCGGTAGTTCTGCCACTCTTTGGTGGTCGGCAGGCTGCACCAACCAGGCTAAGGGGTTTTCGAAGTTGAGAGAGGCAGAGGCTTCACTCTTGCCTCCATCTATTGCGATTCTGGAAAGAGACGCATTGCCGTTTGGTCATATTAGGCTTAACCCACTCAATTCGATTCACCGTAAACATTCCATCGTGTTGGTCCTAGTGTCATATCAGACCATACTCACCGACTCAATATACACGAGCAAAACCGCAAATCACACTATTTGATAGAGTATAGCAGCAATTTCCAGAGTGCAACATGTACTCCTTTACACACCTTAAACTTGAAACAGGGACAAGACAACCTGAAGATAGCAAGCATTTTGACAATGAATGCGCACATCCATTCCGGTCATGCAGAGGGACCAAGGATATAAAGAAAGGGAGCCAACAATTTAATCCGGTGAGAGACCCCCATAACTCTCAGCTAAAGTAGAACAGATAAACATAAGTACACACCCCCAATTTACGGGTTCTCAGCATTGTATGGGACATATGCATATGGAGTTGTAATGCATGATAGTTTTGCTGAGGAGAAATCAAATGTACATCTAGTTGTCTCCCTGCCTCAGCATCCTCAAAATCGTAAGGAACAGGTTCAGGATGTCCAGATACAGAGTGATGGATGCCCAAATGTACTCATCATAGGTAAAGCGCTTGATCAGGTTCTCAGTGTCATAAACAATGTACCCTGAGAAGATGACAGCGGCCATTCCACCATAAATGGCCACTGATGTAGAGCCAAGCGGGAACATCGTCTGCATATTCATAATAAAGAAAATCTGAATGAGTTCATGAAAACATGCCGAGAGGTGACTGTTGGAGGCATATTGTATACGTGGTTGAAGAACCCCACCTGCATAAAGCTAGTCATGAGGAGAACAATGAGGCCGGTAAAGAGGATTGGACCAAGATAGCTGAAATCCTTGCCCTTCTTAGAAGCCCAGAATGTGTATCCAGTTAAGGCACAAACCACAGATGAGGTCAAAATCAAGGCTTCAAGGACGATTCTTCCTGCAGGCAGACAATTCGCAAGCAAATTTCAGACAAACTGAAAACTGCAAGAGCTAATTTGCGCATGATGCTCCAGGGAAAATCTGAACTACAGGTAGAAGCCGGACAAACAAAGGAGTAGGGAATAGACACCAACCATCGGTATTTGCACAGCTGACACCAACAGTGAGGCTCAGTGACAAGGTAAACAGACCGAGGAAGACAAAGTTCAATGGGTGCTTCTGCTGATAAATATGAAGAGGCCACAACACTGCAGAGATATCGCGATTAAAACTGCTTAACAAATTAAAATAGAGAAAAATAATCCTCCACACTTCCACAACCTGAAAAGCCAAAGAGAAAAAAGGCCTCTGCAGGAATTTAAGAATTTACTTGCCAGCGATCATGAACACTCAATAAAGGAAATGCAGTTCCATTACTTAATGCATGAAACAACCAAAGAAACATAACAGAGGGGCAGAAACAACGTGAAACTCCAAGGCAAGATAAATATATATATATATATATTTTGTATAGCTAGTATTTATTGAACAAATAAAGGAGCAGATGATTATTAAACTGGAGAGATATGAACGGGGCAAGAACTACGGAAGACAAAAACTTAATTCAGGAGCTGACTTGGGTTTTAGATTAGTGGCTGGCACCTCAATCACCCGAAAATATACCAATCGTGTCGAGAGAGACAATTCTAATACTCAATGACAAACAAATTCAAACTTCCTTGTGAACTCTACGTTTGGATGAAGAAGATATCTGCTTGTCATAAAAGTTCCTTCACGGAAGCAATCCCAAAAGACGTTACTTGATCCCAAGTCGGTACCGCGACACTAGCAAAAGTAAACCCAATTGCAATGGCACATAAATTTACTGATCCGTGATAAAATCACGAGTTTGATTTGGCAGCAATGGGATCACCAAACTCAGGCAATTCAACTCGCAACTCCGATGCTAAGCGCACGTATGCTTTGCTCTAGTATGATACAAGGGGGGCTACATCACATGGTCATCTGGAGAGATCTCCAATAAGAGAAGAAATAAATCAACAACAGAGAATAGAGCCACAAGTCACGCGGCTGAAAGTAAAGCAATTCGATCCCCCGGTCAAATGCGAACATCCACACCAAATGCGAAAATTCACCAGCAACACACATGGTTGCAACAACACCACCACCACCACCACCACCACCAACCGAAAAACCCCATCGAAAGTCAATCCCCTGCTCTACATGAAATCGACTGATAATCAGAACATCCGCCTACAAACAGAAACAATTCCCCCGAAATCGCAAGCGAAACAGAGACAGAGACATCAAGATCAGCAATCCCAAATTGACCATCAGGTATTCAACTCAACGAAACACCGAATCGCGACAAAATGCAGGCAATTTCCCAACGAATCCCACACACGCCAAAGGGGCGCGGCGCACGCAGCAAAGAGAAGTCAAACATCAACATCAGCGGAAACAGAAGCGGTGAGATCTGAAGCGATCACGCACAGATGAGGGGGAGGAACACGAGGAAGAGCAGGAGGCCGGAGTTCCCGCGGAGGAGGTCGTTGACGGGGGCGTAGAGGACGGTGACGGCGGAGACGACGGTGGTGAGGACGATCTGCGCCGCCAGGATCCCGTACACCTTGCGGATGAAGCCCCACCGGAGCTGGTTCTCGCCGTAGCTCAGCCCCGGGTACAGCGTCTCCCCGCCCCCGAGCTCTAGGTCCTTCTCCAGCTTGCCCACTCTCGCGTATCCGTCCATCTCTCTCTCTCTCTTCTCTGTGATTTTCTCGAGAAAATCTGACGAGAAACGGAAGGAAAATGAAGGTAGGAGGAAGAGGTGGGGGGTGTCGATCTGTGAGAAAAATCGGGGGAAGGAATTGGGTGGATTTGGACGGTTGACTGCCACCTGATCTGCACCGTCCGATGTCGTCGGAGGTCTCGAGATCGAATCAGGCGGTGGGACGTTGTTTCGAGTTCGTTGGTAAGTCCGAGCGCTCTTTATTTAAATTGAATTTTATTAATTTGATCCTGCTAAATTATAATTATGGAAAAACGACACAAAATTGTCACTTAACTTTGGACTAACGTGCAATGTGATCCATAGATTTTTAATTTATTCAATATAGTCCCTGAAATTTACCCCAACACGCAATATGCCCCGTGAATTTTATTTGTTCAATTTAGTCCCTGCACTTTATGAGAACATTCAATGTTGTTCCTGAACTTGAATTAATAAATATACAATATCGAACATTGTCATGTAGTTCGTGATTAAATTGAACATGTTTCAGAAATTCATGAATCACATTGAACAAATTATTAGTTCATGGATCACATTGCACATGAGAGTAAAGCTTAAAGACCGCATCGAACAAATTAAAAATTTAGGAACTACATTGCTTATCAAATCAAAGTTCATGGACTAATCGTGTGATTATCCCGTTTAATTAACTAGAAAAATATTTTCCATTTTGAATATAATAATTCCATTATTACATTAAAAAATGGCTACTCATCAAGAAGTGCACAGTCAATCCTCTGGAACGACAGCTTCTTCCCTGCAACGTCGTAGGCCATGTTGTAATACTGCTGCGCCATCAGCCCGACTATGGACAGCCCCGCCACGTCGCTCCGGACCACCGCGGCGCAGAACGTGTCGCCCCTCGCCTGGTAGAACATGCTCGCCGCGTCCAGCCCGAGGTCGGCCCCGCCCGCGAAGTGCAGCGTCATCGCGGGGAACCCGATCAGGTCCCGCCCCACCGTGCCCCTGTAGCACAGCGGCGACGGCGACGACGGCCCGCTCGGGACTCGTTCTAGGACCCTGTCCAGCAGGCTCCTCACCTCGCTGTGGACCGCTTGGGCCGCTCCCTCGACCAGCCAGGTCATCGGCGACCCCGAGTCGATGACCACCCCGTCGTATCGCCTGGTCCTTCTGAAGGCATTGCGGTCGATGTCGAGCCTTTTCTGGCCTATGCTTATGCCTTCGAGCGTGACATAGTAGAGTCCGTTCACAACTTCGAGAGGGGTCGAGTAGCCCTCGAATATGGCTCCTTCGCCTAAGATCAAGTGGTTGTACGCGTAGCTCGGGTCCATCAGATTGCCGATGCAATAAGAAAATCGCGAGCCGAGCCTCGATGCTAAGGATATCATCCGGGCGCCGAGCCCCAAGATGCCTGTGATCCTCCCGTCCTTGAATTTCCCGTTTTCATGGCCGCATCCGAATACCACATCGGGCACGGTGATTGCCCCGTCATCCCATGTTTCGAATGTGAGCTGATCCTTGGAAAGCACTCCTCTTGATGAGGGACCATCGTAGTATGTCTGGTTGTAGATGCACCGGTCGGACCGTTCGTCGCATTTACCGCCCGGGGCATGGCTGCAGTAGGGAGTTCTGCAGGACACGCTGGAGTATGTGGACGACCTGAGCGGGTCGAGCATCGGAGAGGTTTGTCCGTGGCAATTCCTGCACGGAGCGCATCGGACCCACAAGAGATTGCTTCCCGTGTCCATGACCGCGAGTTGCCGAACGGGAGGATGGCCCAGTGAGAAGTTGACAAACAGCTCAGGGAAGGACGGGACAAGGTTGAGCTGATGAACGTTTGTCTCGAGGACTTTGGCTTCGAAGTAGGCCAATCTTGTGGTCGAGCTCTGCACGATCCGCATGGCGCGATCGGTGACGGTGTCGTTCAGGTTGTAGTATGGAGACAGGAGCGAATCTCGGTGAATGAGCCTAGTGACGATCCGGTGAGGACTCGAATCCTTCACTGTAGCAGCTGAGGACAGGCGAGTTTTTAACACTAAGAACAGGAGTGAATGAGCTAATGCATGTGCAGATGCCATGGCAACACTTTTACCGCTGCAATCGCTTCGTTGTTCTTATCGATCGATGTCTTCGCGCGCGACATTAATATCCACCGATGCTCTTTCCATCGACGAGAGCGATTCCGACAAGATCAAGATCGTCTGTTAGAGGTGGCAAAGACTGTTTCGATTAGAAAATGGAATGGTCACTAGCTATTTTCACAAATTCTAACATATGACTCTTTGCCATGAATTATTAATCTGATGCTTTGAGTCCATGTTAGTTCTAGTTTGTCATTTTCGACATTGATAATGTCTCTGATCTATATGACTAGATTACACTGATGGGGGAGTTTGGTAGGGAGAGAGGAATCTTGTGATCTATTCTTTTTCTTGATACATGACCAGGAATTATTAGGTGAAGGAGACAAGGACTGCTGAACGGTAAATAATGCAGTGCCATATGAAATTGAAAGACCATGAGTATCTGAGGAAACGATAGGAAGCTGCACGAGAGACTTCGGCGCCTTCAAGATCGAGAGCCGATTAAACAATGCGGGTACATAAATTGTACGGCAAGTCGATGAACTCAATCCTTTTGATACTGCAATTCATCCTCAGTATAAACATTGCGATTTTAGAAGCACAGGTTTCTTTCTTTATCAGTCATTATGAACATTCACACGACACACACACAGAATACATCAGATCGGATCAAACACTCCTTCAGATAACCAGCCCCTTGAGTATTATACAAGAAATGGGGAAGAAGAAAATTACAGAACAGAAGGTTGGGACTAAACGACGTTTTTGAAGAAGAGTGTGTTCGAGCAGTTTAGGCCAGACACGGTAGGATCGACTTCAAACTCTTCCACTGCCGTAGATATTTAGGATCGTTGCAACTTCTGAAACTCTGGCATGAATGGCACCGGCGCAGAAAAGCTGGGTTGCACTCACAAATATCACCAGTACTTCAAGAGTTCTCTGCACATCAAAGTAACAGCACAACTCAACTGTCAGAACCCTGAAAAGCAAAGAGGTAAAAGAGCAAAACTAAAACCAGTCTAGGGCGACTGGAATTCCCAAAGGAACAAGGTAAGACATTCTGGGTTGTCAACAAAAAAAATCAAATGAAAAGGAAAAAAGAGAGAGACATTCTGGGTTAGGTTCGGTTTTTCGATTCAGGATGCTTTAGAACACAGCCTACCCCATCTCTGTAGATACTTCATGCAATTTGACGGGGACGTTTATGATGTCCGATCACTTACCAGATTCGCATCAATCCAGCCGATGTTGATTTCCTTACATGCCAATCTGCAAGAGCACAGGTCATACTGTAAGCTTCATTTAATTGATAAGACTCATATCGTTTTATTTTTAACTCTACATAGAAAATTATACATATAAGTATGGGAGCTTGGAGAAAGGTCTCACTCTCACCCCATAGCCAAAAAAGTTAGGAACAAAGTGACAAGAGAAGAGGCGGCGGCTGCGTGCAAGTTTTGGATTTTTCCATCAGTGACATTCAGGTAGCCGGTAGCCGAAGTCGCCATGCCCACGATCCCTGCGATCAGTGAGAAGATGACTAGGAATCCGGTCGCCATGTTTCCAACCGGAAAGTATATGGGGAATATGCGGGCCGGGATTGTCAAAACTGAAGCTGAAAATGGCAATACTATCGTTAGATCACTGAATTTATCAAAGGTCAGTCAACTATACCCATTCATCGTGCACATTAAACATTGAAAATGATCATCTCGAAATCCTTTTTGAAGAAAATGTTTTGGCAAAAACTTTTTTTAGGACAGGAAATATTTGGCTAGATAAGCTAAAGGCTTAAGGTTGACCAGATCGAAGACTTGGGAAATTTACCAGTTTTCCGAGATCTCACGATCGCATGATTCACGGCCCACACGGCCATGACAGTCACAATGAAGTAGAGCAGAAGATTGAGGAGTAACAGGACGAATGCGGCTGATTTCACTTGTCCTGAAGCCATGATGAGCTTTTGAGGCTTAGAAAGAGAGGAAGAGACCAAAAGACCTTCGACCAAACTCACTATCTTCCTCAGATAGGTGTACAAAGTACACGTTATATAAACTCGACTTCAGCAATCAAATCTGCTTCCTTTCTTAATCAGATTGATTCATGATATTATAATCTGTCTCTGCAAGAATCACTGGACTGTCTTCAATTGGAAGCAATCTCTCCAATTCCTTGCCCGCCTGGGTTTGCTTCATGCTAGAGGAAAAGGGATATGGTTTTGATGCTATTCTGGTCGTGGAACTTTGTTCCAGAATAATTTGAGAATTTTAAGGAAGTGGGTATTCTTTGTTCATACAATTACTCAACCAGGGCATCCCCAATCCTCTATCCGGAAGATAACTTCTTTGGTCCTGATTGGCAAAAAAAGATGGCAAAAAGTTTTTCCAGCACTGCATTTGTTTCGGATCACTTTGGTTCAAAGCCCAACAGCCACGGTCAATAAAGCATATAAATCCAACAAGACAAGCAAGAACAGGAGCATCAACAATGAATTCGCCATCTCAAGCAGAGCTTCTCATTAAAGAGTTCAATTAATTTTCCCTCGAAGTCCTTCAAAATTTGTGCTTAACATAAAATTTAATTGACCACTGCACCATATCAAAGAAATGCCAACCGTGAATGAAATTAGTCATTCCTTTTGCTTTCCAATAAGTACTAGCCTCTGCAAATCTTTCCCTTCGCCAGAAAGCTTAAGCCAAGCAAAAACTTCCATTCCCATTTTTTAGGAGCATGTAACACAGTACACGGTCAGAACAAGCAGTTGCAGATGTTAAAAGGCCAGAGTTAGAACCAGTACATAGGACCTTATCTTCAGCATTACGTTTAGGATTCAAAGTGCCGCATAAAGCAGCCTGGATAGACACCAACTCCTCTGTTCTAGCAGGGGTCCATACCGACCAGCATTAGCTATAACCTCTGCATGAAATGGGATCCAAGAGAAGACATCCAAGAAAGTACCATGTGGATGCCAATCAATCTTGCCATATGTGTCATGTCCAATCTGGTATTTCCCAAAAGGCTTGAGAATTCCCCTTAACTTTCAACAATTCTTCCTAGCAAAAGTAGCATCGGCAGGGCAAGATACAAACCAGATGCTAACTCTAAGATCCACATGAAGCTTAACCAAATGAAAGAAAAAGAGAAATTATCATGTAAGGAGGTCAGTAGAGGTGATCGATCGGCAGCCCTCGGGAACGTTCTCGGGTCGGGCCAAATTTATAGTCCAAATCCGCCCGTGCACAAAAAAAAATAAAAAAAAATAAAAAAAATATATATATATATACCGAATTTTCAGGTTGGACAAGTTCGGCTCGGGTCCGACGATGCCGGGCGAGGACCCTATAAGCAATAAACCTTGCCTAGATCTGCGCAAAGATTCCTTCGAATAAAATGGTTTTTCTTTATGGTGACATGTCATCGGGTTATGACAATGAAGACAGTGTTCTGCTCGAAAAGTGCAGTGGGTAGTTTCTTGTTTCTAGTACAAGGAAACAGAGACAGAAGAATACGAAGAAGAATAAGAAGAAAACAGACAAACACAAAAGGAGGGAAGGAGCGATCCCGAGGCTGGTTTCTTCGTCTCTTTCTTCTTCGAAACATCGTAGAACTTACTCTCTCTCTCTCTCTGGGCACAGCGCACAGTGAAAACAACAAAGCATTAAAAACCAGCTCATACAGAGAGAGAGAGAGAGAGAGAGAGAGAGAGAGAGGAGATTGTTCGTCTTCTTTTGAATTGTGAAATCTATGGAGCAGTTCGTCAACTTTGTCATCCGGCCTCCCAGGTGATCTTATTGAAAGGTTACATCTTGATCAAGAAACTGGACTATGCGGTTCTAGTCATAGATTGTGCTCGTGATTTTATATAGGAGTCTCGGCTTCGATTTCGAGGTATATAAGTGGTTTGATCGTGTTCTCACCTCACCCATTTGGGAAGAAGTTTCATAAGTAGTACTGTGAAAGTTGGAAAATGATCAACAGTGGAAGTGGCATAAGTGGCGTAACTCGATGTTTTAGGCATATTTTTGGCCTTCTTTTGGATTCTCTTCTTTATGAACTATTGCGCGACTAGTTATCCGAAACAAGAAAGAGCCATTGTTGCATGGCAATGTTCGATTGATCTGTGTTCCTTGAGGATTTTATTTCCAAATGCAATGCTGCCGGTGGTATATTCTCATTAGTCGCTTGCCAGTCTTTCTTTTGTTCACTTTTTGACTTCCCTCCTTGACATTAGAACTTTAGATGTCATTGTGAGTACATACATTATTGAAATGCAGGGCGGAGTATGATCCGAAAACTGATTTACTAGACCAAGAGTTCATGCTGAAAGGAAACTTCTACCAAAGGAAGGATCTAGAGGTAAAATTTTGTGATAGACTTGAACCTTAGTTTCCATCCAATCTCAACTGACATAATAAGTGTACACTTGCTGCTTTGTGCCCTCTTCATTGAATTTCGTATATTTCAATCCTGACTGTTTATCATCAGCATCGCCACATGAGTAGGTAGTGTACTGAGGACAAGATGGGTGAGACTTACATGAAGGCAATTACATGCTAGGACCGTCATGAGGTATGAAGATGTGTTCGTCATGCCAAGGCTCTCCAGCTACTGTGCTCAAAGGGATCAAGTTAGTAGGAAATGTGGGATTAGAGGGCTGGGACCTCTGTTGTGCAAGGATATTTTGACGATATAATTGCTTGATTTGGTCAAGGCGAGCACTTTCTCTTTTAATGTTTCTTTGACTTGTGCAAGGCAATGTGGCAAGTGACAAAGGCAACCTAAATTGATGAGACAGAATTATTCTGTTTGTTGCATATGCTGAGTATTGCTTAATCCGGATAATAAGGGTAACTTTGTAAAATTTATAGTCTGTGGAAGTTAAAAGAATTGCATCGACATCGATCACAATATATTTCACTCATTTGACGTACTAGGATTTGCACATCTCTGTCTGTGTTGGCACTTTTAACTGGAAAGCCTCGCTCATTTGCATACTACTATGCTTATAAAGTAGTTTGCATAGCTGTGAAGAAGGTGGTCACAGCTCAATTAATGCAGGAATGCTGGACTTATCCTTCTGAAGCAGATGGGCCAGGATCATTATGTCATTGTTGAAGTTTAATATCTCCTTTTTGACTCATATAAATTCAGATGAAGAAAGGTTCTGGTTCACTGAAGAGGCATGGAAGGAGATATATGACCTTGAGGAATGAAGAGACGTAGAAATTAGACTCGGTGGTACTTGGGAAACAAAAAGATGCCTAGGAAGTTCTGGGCATATATGGAAGAACATGGAAGTCATGCAAATAGGCCAAATTGCACCATTTGTTGTTCGTCTTGCATGTATTTTTTGGTAGCAGAATAGTGTCATCAATGGACAAAGCTTAAAACGTAGACAACAATGCAGAAAGGGACAAGCATGAACATCAATATATTTCTTAAGATGTGACCTCTGTCTTTAGTCGTCTCTCAGGAGCAGAGGGAAGCCGTCTAAATTTGAAGAGGTTTTTTGAATGGATTTTCTCTCTTGTACTTTTTTTTAGCACAATGATGTAATTTCCATAAATGTGTTAGCAGATGGGATTGTCTTGTAATATCTCCACCTCCTTGTTCATATTTTCCATAATTCTTCTCTGTTGGTCTACACATTTTTCAGCTCACAAACATTCATGGTGAAGTCCTGAAATGCAGTCATTATGTACCTGCGGTTAATGGTCGAGGAAAGCCTTTGCCATGCGTAATTTTCTGCCACGGGAACAGGTTTACTGTATAATATCTGTTTTTTTTTTTTTGTTTGTGGGGGGGGTGTGGTTGTTCTAAATACTGTCTGTTTGATACGTACTGCAAGATTTTAGCAAAGTTTCAAGTTTCAACAGTCTCTTGTAAATAACAGATTATTAGGTCTTTGTGCTCTAATATTCTTCTTTTGTGCAGTGGGTGCCGAATTGATGCGGGTGAAGTGGCCAATGTTTTGCTTCCTTCAAATATTACTGTTTTTACCCTCGATTTTGCTGGATCAGGACTTTCTGGGGGAGAACATGCGACTTTGGGGTGGAATGAAGTGAGTTTCTACTAGTATATCAGAGTAATTATTGATCATTGTTTTCTTCCAAGCATTTGTTTTCCAAGATGGACATGCACAGCTACCTGTATTCTTTTGTGTATTTTTGCTTTATTTAATCTTGACTTGACACATACGTAAGTTTCCATGTGATTGTGCTAGGCATACTTATGCCCTAGGGAAAGTTTTAGCATAGTCCCTGTAGAATGAAACAACCATATTGTACTCTGCTGTGAGGTTATAATGCTTTTAGAGCCAATATTTGGATCACTCGGTTGAAACCTTTTTTGCAATTGGGCTTACTAATTTCAGTGTCTTAATTAGAACTCATCAGCTTCAGTTGCAGAACTTCTGAACTTATCATCCTTATGCATGCCGTAATAAAATCATTCTTCTTATAATTACCAACTTACTCTCTTTTTTGCCCCCTCCAGAAGGATGACCTGAAGGTTGTGGTCGATTATCTTCGGGATGATGGAAACGTCTCTTTGATTGGCTTGTGGGGTCGTTCAATGGGTGCTGTTACTAGGTTCTCTAATCCTTTTCTTTTAAACTCTGTCTTGGGGCTTGCAATTTTACAATGTACAAAGCAGAGACCTCATCAGTGTTAACCTTTGTAGTTTATCATCCTCTGCTAGATGATCAAGGCTGCAATGTACTTATAGTCATTGAGATCCCATTCTTTTGCTTGAAATTTTGCATGTAATCTCAGTGGGTGTATGGGGAGACTTTTTCTTTTATTCTTTTGCTTTAGCTTTACTCGTAGTTTTGAAGTTTGACTTTTACTTAACCCTGTATATGTCAAGTATTATATAAAAGTACTCACATGGGCTTTGGATTTTTCGTAACTTTTGAATTGATTTTTTTTATGGGGAAGCAAAAGAGCGCTTATCTAAGACAAAAAAAGCGTGAGAATTTTGTGAAGGAACAATGCAATCATCATACTGGGAGTGAACCTTAAGAACTCTCTTGGTAAATCTGCTCTAAGAAAATTTGTTTGCATTGTCCCCTGAAAAGATTGCTTCTTTTTGTTAGTCACTGTCACGAATTCTATGTCGAAAGCACTTTTGTCGGTTTGATATGTCCTTAACAATATGTAAAACTTTTCACAGCATAATGTATGGAGCTGAGGATCCATCAATTGCTGGAATGGTTCTTGACAGTCCCTTCTCTGTTTTAGTTGACTTGATGGTGGAATTAGTGGATACCTATAAATATACCTTGCCCAAGTTCACTGTAAGTAAATGCTCCGGAACTTATTTTAATTCCAAAGGGTAGGGGGAAGAAAAAAATTATAGACTATTATCTTATAGTTTTGTCTAACTACTTGGCACGTGTTTCTGAAATATGTAATAGAAGATCCATTTAATGTTTAACACTCTCTGAACTGAAACAAGTACTTTTTCTTTAAGTTTTGGCCATTAATTTTTGTCCAAACTCATGGTGATGTGGAGGCTAATGTATGGTCATAAGCAACTTTTGCTCCACTCTACATTGACACATGGCACTGACAGGAGAAGTCTGGAAACTTAAAATATGCATATAACTTTCACTATCTAAATGGGAGATTGGGTACAGGTTGAACATACAGGGGAGCATACTCCTGGAGACTCCCTTACAATTTCTTTATCTGGGTATCCACTTTGCTTTTGAGTTGTAATCATGGTGCTAAGTCTCGACTAATTTTGGGTTATCCTAACGAAAACCTTTAGTTTTGCTTTGACTTACTTTTTTGTATAGAGCTTACAGGTACAAACCAAATGGTAATTCTATTCAGGAACTAAGATGGAACCCTTTGAAGTTGGGTTGGGGTGGGGTGGTAGGAGAAAGTGCTTCTCTAAAATATTGATCTAAGAGTGTAGCAGCTTGTTCCATATCCTCACAACACTAAGATGTGGTTTAGGCAAGGAAAAAACTCTCAGTTGAGACATCACACTGTGAAATCCAGTTTACTCACGACACTCAAGAATCGGTGTTATAATTTTAAAAGGTCGACTCTTTTTCTTAAATTTAGACTCACGAGTCATTTCTGGTTGGATTAGCTGGCAGGCACAAGTGTGAGATTTTGTTGGAGTTAAAAGCTAAGGACAAAAGGTCAAGACAGAAGGTTTTTGGGAACTCGGTCTATTCTAACCATTGGTAATATAACTTATAAGGCTTAAGGGACTTTTGATCTCAGCTAAAGGGTAAAATGAAGTCTACTTCTGGATATCCTTTTTCTTTTCTTTTATGCTATCATCTCAGGGTGTTACTTCATGCTTCCACTTAAAACGAGATTCTCTTTTACTGCTTTGAGCGAGTCTCTGGCAGACATTTAATCAGAATTTTGGAGTCCTAGTACCTAAACCTCTTCTTTCTGTGTGCTCGCTAGGTTAAATTTGCGATTCAATACATCCGGAGGGCAGTCCAGAAAAGAACAAATTTTGATATTATGGAACTTAATGCTATTAAGGTATTGTTGCATTATATATTATGTTGTGATTGCTTTGTTGCATTTAATATTTGGTAATGACCGATTATATGCCCCCCTGGCAAATGGAGAAGTCCTACTGTTATGAATCCTATATGCTTGACGACATTACTTTTGTCTGTGTACTCTGTTTCATGAGAACGTCAGGGCTTTCTAAATGTAATGTTTGAAGAAGCTGAGTTGATTAAAATTCAATCTGACATACAAATTATTGTTTTTGGTGGCCTGTGATTGCTTCTCTTGATGGAAAATTGTATGGTTAATCTCTTGTTTGGCCAAAACAGGTTGCAAAGACATGCTTCATTCCAGTTTTGATTGGTCACGCCACTGATGATGACTTTATACGTCCGTATCATTCAGATAGAATTTTTGAAGCCTATATGGTAAGTCTTTCGCATAAAATGCTACAGATGCGTGACACTTACACATATTGGATCTGAGAAATTTACTGGATACAAGCAAGGATAAATTAAAACATTAAGTTGTTTTAATTACTGCGTTTCTAGTTTCCTAGTAGCTTGATCTTAAAAGCGCTGCGAAGTAGCATCTGGCAATTATTGTTTGTATCGTGTTCGTGTCGAGTATCTGTGTCATTTCGTGTCGTGACAAATATGTTTCAACATAATCACATAATGTTTTTCACTACAAGTGAAAATGAGTGTGAATGTGTCAATTCATGTCAATTTCGAGTTAAGTCACGCCATGTCTCGTCGGATTCGGGTTTCTCTCAGAATATTTTGCTGGGTTAGAGCCGTTTTCTTGTGTCATGCCAAGAATTGCCACCCTAGCATGGACTTTAATTTCTAGTTGGAGGCAATTTGTGACCTTCTGGTCTTTTAAGTCATATTTCTTATGGACATCAAAAAATCTTTCCACATTTTGCAAATGGATTTTGCCTCGAAGGAGAGTAAGCATGAGAGAACTAGCTACTCATTCGGCGAGAGTAACCCAGTGAATGTGCCACAAAAAGAATGACAAACAATGTTATGTATCGTTTTCTGCAGTTTTCTTGCATTTGAAAAGATACCATACCACAGCTTAAGATTTTGTTTGCAGCACTCAGTCCAGCCTTTATATTTGGCACACTAAATGGTGATTATCTTTATTTAGGGTGACAAAAATACTATTAAGTTTGAGGGAGATCACAACTCTCCACGTCCACAATTCTACTTCGATTCTATAAGCATTTTTTTCCGCAATGTTCTGCAGCCTCCAGAAGATGAACTGGCTGGGACATTCTTTCATACCACACATGATTTCCTTGATAAGGTAAGAAGAGTTTTGATGCATCTGGTTTTCTGCTTTTGATTGTGCTGCTAGAACTCACTTCAAGATACCTAGATTGGTTTGCTCCAGGGTGGTTGGGCCAGTGTCCCATGAATTAGGACTCCATGAAGATCTGCATTAGGCCGAGGGAATGGTTGCTTTATATTTGTGTATTTCACCAGTGATCTCTGGTTGAAACATTCCGATTCTTTGCTTTTAAGGAGAAACTGAAAGGGAGTTCTTTGTCCATTTAGCACACAGTGGTTTGAAATTAGTTCTTCCAAAAGCTTAAACTCGCAGGAAAACGAGATAAATTACTTCTGCCTTATCACTGCCGCCTGGAATATGTTCAACACACTCCTTGAGAACAGACTGAATTCTACATGTGAAACCACCTAAATTGGAATGACCCCGCGAGTTGGGGCATCGATAGTCAAGTGTGACTTAGCTTAGATTGCTTGTTATAACATTCACTTATCTGCTCATTATAGTAATTTCTTTTCTTTTTTGGCCAGGAAAATCTTAAGCTGACAGGAGGTAGATCAATAAATCTAGTTTATGATTCTTCTCGTGCCATTTCATATTTCAGAATCGTAATGGTAAAAACAGCAAGAACTTCTCCGATTAATTGAGGTCAATTTTTATGGTCTCTCGCGACGCTTCAATAACATACCTAAATCAGATCTGTTTTGAGAAGAAAAAACAGTTTGTAAACCACAGTGAACTTGATTAGAGTCGCTCTACTGACACTAGATGATAATTATGGTGCAGGATGTGGAGATTGATGACGATTGTTGTGCATCATCTGCTAGAATAATAGACTCTGAGTTACTTGATGGTCAGCCATGGGGTCCCCATGTTCCGACCTCAATGGACGGTGACCAAAGTCCGGAATGCGAACTCAATGACTTGAAAGGTTTCCCACGCAATGCAGAAGAGGAAGACATGGTGAATTGTTACTTTTAAAATCCTACTGTCTATAACTCGGGTCTTGACAACGATCATCTGGTGAAATGTTATCCTCATACTTACCCTTGCTCAGTTGAACTTCATCAGATGTCCATGCAAGATGGCATGGAGGCAGTACGCGATAGAGAGATGCATCACCCTGGTAAAGATGAAGCACATCCGGGTGATAGCTCGACAGGCATATGTGAGTCTTCACATGCAGGTGATCTTGAAAGTCTTATAGCCGCCAACAGTTGTGAAGCTAGAAAGAGAACCATCTTCCACTTCATTGGCCAGAGCGCGCAGTTCAACAACAGAAATCAAACATCCATCTTCTGATACAAGCATGTCATTGGCATTCAGAATTCCATCCATGGATTCAAGCGAAGAGGTTCCTGATGCGCGTGAAGCTTCAAAAAAATGCTCAGTTCCATCATATGCCGATTCAGATATGTCCATCCATATGACAGCCACGACGGTGTTTGGTAAGGACCCGGCAAGCCATATTATAGATGGTTTGAGGTGCCGTTGGGATCTTTATTTTCTCAGGAAAAGTCAAATGAACTGAAGTGCATTGTTTTGCAATTACTCTGGTCCGTCCTTTTTTATTAGTATAAAACCTTCAATGATTTCCTAGTATTTAGAAAAAGAAAGTGAAAAGATGAAAAACCATACTGCAATTCCCCCCCTGCTTGAAGCTATCAGCTCACCATGTTTTAGCTGATTCAGTGCGAGTTTGCTTTAGTCTTCGAGTAGTTAAGAAATATATTGGTGTTCATGTTTGTCCCTTTCTGCATTGTTGTTATGTTTTAAGCTTTGTCCATGACACTATTCTGCTTCCAAAAACTACATGCAAGACGAACAACAAATGGTGCAGTTTGGCCTATATGCATGACTTCCACCTTCTTCCATAAATGCCCGGTTGTTCCAAGGTATCTTTTTGTTTCCCCAAGCACCACCGAGTCTAAATTATAGGTCACTTGATTCCAGAAGTAAACATATCTCCTTCCATGCCTCTTCACTGAACCAGAACCTTTCTTCATCTGAATTTATATGAGTCAGAAAGGAGATATCAAACTTCAAGAATGACATAATGATCCCGGCCCATGCGCTTCAAAAGGATAAGTCCAGCGTTCCCGCATTTATCGAGCCGTGACCACCCTTCTTCGTGGCTACACAAACTACTTTATAAGCATGGTAGTGCGCAAATGAGCGAGGCTTTCCTTTAAAAGTGCCAACACAGACAGAGATACGCAAATTCTAGTAAGTCACGTGAGTGAGATATATTGAGATCGACCTCGATGCAAATCCTTAAATGTACGCAGATTATAGGTTTTGCAAAGTCACCTTTATAATCCAGATAAAGCAAGGGAACTCGGCATCCGAAACAAAAAAGAAAAATTCTGTCTCATTGATTTAGGCGGCCTTTGTCACTTGTCACATTGCCTTGGACAAGTCAAAGATACATCAAAAGAGCTAGTGCTCTGCTCGCCTTGACCAAATCAAGCAATTATATAATCAAAATATCCTTGCGGAACAGAGGTCCCAACCCTCTAATCCCACATTTCCTACTAAGTTGATCCCTTCGACCCTGGCAGCCAGAAAGTCCCGGCAAGATGAACACCATCTTTATACCTCATGACAGTCCTAGCCATGTAATTGTCTTCCTGTATGTCTCACCCATCTTGTCCTCAATACACTTCCTACTCATGTGGCGATGCTCACGACATATAGCGAGGATGTATATATACAAAGTTCGATGAAGCGGGCGCAAAATGGCAAGTACTCGCCTATTATGTCAGTTGAGATTGGATGGGAAATCAGCTTCAAGTCTAACGCAAAAGTTTACCTCAGGGAAAAGTGCCAAAAAAAGTCCTAAACCTTTTGCATTAGTGCCAATTTAGTCATAAACCTTTTTTTGGTGCCAATTCAGTCCTAAACCTTTTGCATTGGTGCCAATTTAGACTTAAACCTTTTTTTGGTGCCAATTAAGTCCTAAACCTTTTGTTTTTGTGCCAATTTAGTCCTTCCGGTCAATTTTGATCGGAATTTGCTGACGTGGACGCCTGCCGGCCGGCGGCTGGTCACCGGCGCCGACGTGGCGCTGACGTGGACAACTTTAATAATATTTTTTTGAATTTTTATTTTTTTTCCTTTTTTTTCACTTTTTTTTTTGGTCCCTCCTCCTTTCTCTGGCCAGTCGCCGATCCGGCGACCGGCCAGAGGCCAGAGGCCGGTGAGCTCGACCTCGCCGGCCACGGCGAGGGCGAGCCTCGCCTTGGTCGGGCGAGGCTCGACCTCGCCGATCCGGCGAGGTCGGGCCTCGCCCGGCCACCGGCGAGGCTCGAGCCCTCGCCGGAGGCCGCGGCGAGGCGAGCCTCGCCATGGTCGGGCAAGGCCCGACCTCGCCCGGATCTGGCGAGGTCGAGCCTCGTCCGGCGACCTCGCCAAATTCGGCGAGGTCGGGCCTCGCCCGACCATGGCGAGGCTCGCCCTCGCCGCGGCCTCCAGCGAGGCTCGACCTCGCCAGATCTGGCGAGGTCGGGCCTCGCCGGCCACCTGGCGAGGTCGAGCCTCGCCCGACCAAGGCGAGGCTCGAGCCCTCGGCCGGAGGCCGCGGTGAGGGTGAGCCTCGCCATGGTCGGGCGAGGCTCGATCTCGCTGGATTTGGCGAGGTCGGGCCTCGCCCGACCATGGCGAGGCTCGCCCTCGCCGCGGCCTCCGGCGAGGGCTCGAGCCTCGCCAATGGCCGGCGAGGCCCGACCTCGCCGGATGCGGCGAGGTCGAGCCTCGCTCGACCAAGGCGAGGCTCGCCCTTGTCGGGCGAGGCCGCCGCCCTCGCCAGTGGCCGGCGAGGTCGAGCTCGCCGGTCTCTGGCCTCTGGCCGGTCGCCGGTCCGGCGACCGGCCAGAGGAAGGAGGGGGACCAAAAAAAAAAAAGTGGAAAAAAAAGAAAAAAAAGGAAAAAAATAAAAATTCAAAAAATATATTAAAATATTATTAAAGTTGTGCACGTCAGCGCCACGTTGGCGCCGGTGACCGACCGCCGGCCGGCAGGCGTCCATGTCGGCAAATTCCGTTCAAAATTGACCGGAATGACTAAATTGGCACAAAAATAAAAGGTTTAGGACTGAATTGGCACCAATTTAAAAGGTTTAAGATTTAATTGACACAAAAAAAAAGTTTAAGACTAAATTGGCACCAATGCAAAAGGTTTAGGACTGAATTGGCACCAAAAAAAGGTTTAGGACTAAATTGGCACTTTTCCCGTTTACCTCAACATCCTTCCTCCTTCGATAGAATTTTCCTTTCAGCACGAACTCTTGGTCTAGTAAATCAGTTTTTGGATCGTACTCCGCCCTGCATTTTAGTGATGCATGTACTCACAATGACATCTAAAGGGCTCGAACCTTGCCATGTGGAGTTTCTTTCATGTTTTGGATAACTATTAACTAGCCGTGCAACGATTCATAAAGAAGAGAATCCAAAAGAAGGCCAAAAATATGCCCAAGAGATCGAGTTGCGCCACTCACACTGTTATTAATATCCCAACTTTCACGATCACACCACTCATGCACCTCGAAATCAATCCGTCGACTTCCTAACAGTGGACTAAATCGAAACCGAGACTACTAAACGATCACGAGCACAGTCTAAGACTAGAACCACACAGTCGAATTGCTTACTCGTCCATCACTGAATCAGAAGCGAGATGTAGCCTTTTCAATAGATTACCTGGGAGGCCGTATGACAAAGTGGACGAACTGCTCCATAGGCTTCAGAATTCAAAACAAGGAGATCCTCTCTCAGCGCACAGCGCACAGTGCAAACAAGAAAGCAGTATTCGAAAAAAAAAAAAAAACAAGAAAGCAGTGAAAACCAGCTCATGCAGAGAGAGGAAGTTCTTCGATGTTTGGAAGAAGAAAGGAACGAAGAAACCGAATAGTATTATATGGTAAGGTGTAATTACAAAGCAGGTTAGAGGAACGGAAAAAATTAAACTTTTGTAAGCAAAAACTTCATCTACATCAATATATTCCAACATAATCTCCTAGGAAAATCAGAAAATAACTTAAAGATTTCATGACTTATTGGTGGGCAAATTGCAGCACCACAAAGGGCATGTGCTGTTTGTCCTCAGCCAAGTTTCGATGCAATCTCTGTGAAATTCATGAGCATCGATCATAGCAGGTGGGTCTTCCATGCTAACTTTTTCTCCGCAAACCGCTCAAAGGATCTCGCTCTCCGAGATGGTGACCTCGTGCATCATGTACACCGTCACCTTCGTCATCTTGTGTCCCATGTTACGAGGGTCGTTCACCTCGCAGGACAAGACCCTCACGATCTCGGACACTAGCTCATCGCGGGTGATGCACTTCCAGGTCGTCTCATTCCCCGCACTTTTGGCTCGCCAACGTAGCCGGTCCAATGGGAAGGGCAGCTGCATGCTGTCAATCATGGAGGACACAACTGCCCACGACGGCGATGACGGCGAGTGGTCGTGGGACGCGAACGGCGCGCTCGGATGCTCAGCTTGGTACGAAAGGCTACCGTCGTAGATTGGGCCTTCTGTTCCTCCTTGTACTTTGCACAGAGTATAGTAACGTTTGACACACCATGACATGATCACGCAAGGTTGGGGCAAAGACTCCTCGTCATCTCGAAAACGGGTTGGTATTGCAAAGACGAAAGTATCATAATTTGACATGTTTACGAGAAATCGTACAATAGTTTACAAAAAGATATGATCATCAGCCGTTTTCGTCTTTGATATATATATTTTGTAGAACTATTGTTGATCTGTGTAGTGAGAGGCCTCTTCTTCGCATCGCTTGCCAGCATTTCTTTTATGAAAAGTGCAAATTATTCATTGAGCAGTACATCGCTTCAGAGGTGAGAAACTAGTTATTGTTCCTGCTCTTTTCATTTAGTTTCACCAGATATCGTGATGACTAGAAACTGCCGATGATGTAAGGCTTAGAAATTTCATAATTAACCTTTTCCATGTTGTAAGACATACTTTTCCCTGTGGACAACATTTCCTTGGTTCTTGAGTATTCTATTTCTATTAACTTCAAGGTTTGGCTTTGATTTAGGTATTGCCTTCATTTAGAGGGAAGCGTGATGAGTCTCTGCTGGGACAATTTGTGGACAGGTGGGAAAAGCATAATCGGATAGCTAAAATGCTAAATGATGTGTTTTATCGCCCCATTCGGGGAAGATCAATGCCGCCCCTTGATGTAGTTGGTCTGACTCTCTTTCGTGATATGGTACGTCTCCGGTCACCTCTCGTGTGCGAAGTCATCATTCTACTGATCATCTGCAGAAATGTTCATGGTTCAAATATACTTGAATTATGCTGACTGCAGTTTGATGATGTCGACTTTTTCCGTATGTTATTGGCCATTATCTCATTGCACTTCATGGATGATGTCTTCAGGTATATAACGAGCTATATGTAAAAGTGAGGAAGGTTGTCATGTATCTGGTATGATTGTATCCACCCCTCTGATTCTTGATAGGTTTCTTAGTTCTAGAAATCTCATTAGTTGTTATGACCGATTTGAATTTTGATTAGATTGATCAAGAACGTGAGGGAATGCAAATTGACCGGTAGCTGAAGAAGGTTTTGGATATATTTGTTGAGATTGGGGTGGGGAAAATGGATCGTTATGAACGTGACTTTGAAGCATCACTGCTTGAAAAAACTACCATTTATTATTTTAGGAAAGGCTGTGAATTGGCTACCGGAATGCTCTTGTCCAGATTACATGCTGAAGGCAATGCTTACACTTGACACCATTATTAGCCTGAAATGTCGCACTTGATTATTTTTGATGATATCAATCCATGTTATTGGCGATCACAGGTTGAAGAATGTCTAAAATGCGAGAAAGAAAGGTGTTCTCATTACTTGCATCCAAGTAGTGAGCCGAAGTTATTAGAGGTTGGTAATTGGTATAACCTTTGGAATGACAATTTCGCATGCAGTTGTAGTATATCTTTTTAATCTAGCCGAAGTACCCTTTTTATCTAGAAAGACAGTAATTCATGCTCAACTTGCTGTAGAAATCGGGAAGTAAACCTTGCAAATTAGAGTTGAAAAAAGGTACTCCAGCTAGATAAAAAAGATATACTGCAACTCCATACGAAATTGTCATTCCAAAGGTTACACCAATTACCAACCTCTAGTAACTTTGGCTCACTACTTGGATGCAGGTAATGAGAACACCTTTCTTTCTCGTGTTTTAGAAAATTCTTCAACCTGTGATCACCGATAACATGGATTGATATCATAAAAAATAATCAAGTGCGACATTTCAAGCTAATAATGGTATCAAGTGTAAACATTGCCTTCAACATGTAATCTGGACAAGAGCACTCCGGTAGCCAATTCACAGCCTTTCCTAAAATAATAAATGGTAGTTTTTTCAAGCAGTGATGCTTCAAAGTCACGTTCATAACGATCCATTTTCCCCACCCCAATCTCAACAAATATATCCAAAACCTTCTTCAGCTACCGGTCAATTTGCATTCCCTCATGTTCTTGATCAATCTAATCAAAATTCAAATCGGTCATAACAACTAATGAGATTTCTAGAACTAAGAAACCTATCAAGAATCAGAGGGGTGGATACAATCATACCAGATACATGATAACCTTCCTCACTTTTGCATATAGCTCGTTATATAACTGAAGACATCATCCATGAAGTCCAATGAGATCATACGGAAAAAGTAGACATCATCAAACTGCAGTCAGCATAATTCAGGCATATTTGAACCATGAACATTTCTACAGATGATCAGCAGAATGATGACTTCGCACACGAGGGGTCACCGGAGACGTACCATATCACGAAAGAGAGTCAGACCAACTTCATCAAGGGGCGGCATTGATCTTCCCCAAATGGGGCGATAAAACACATCATTTAGCATTTTAGCTATCCGATTATGCTTTTCCCATCTGTCCACAAATTGTCCCAGCAGAGACTCGTCACGCTTCCCTCTAAATGAAGGTAATACCTAAATCAAAGCCAGACCTTGAAGTTAATAGAAATAGAATACTCAAGAGCCCAAGGAAATGTTGTCCATAGGGAAAAGCATGTCTTACAACATGGAAAAGGTTAATTATGAAATTTCTAAGCCTTACATCATCGGCAGTTTCTAGTCATCACGATATCTGGTGAAACTAAATGAAAAGACAATAACTAGTTTCTCACCTCTGAAGTGATGTACTGCTCAATGAATAATTTGCACTTTTCATAAAAGAAATGTTGGCAAGCGATGCGAAGAAGAGGCCTCTGACTACGCAGACCGCCAATAGTTCTACAAAAAAATAAAAAATAAAAATAAAAATAAAATAATATATATATATCAAAGAAGCCTAACAATAGTTTACAAAAAGATATGATCATCAGCCGAGCAGAGCATAGGTTGAATACCCTTCGAGCTTGCGGAGCTCTGTCTCGTTTATTGGCTCAGGACGATGTTCGACGCTGTTCACCATCTTATGCATGCACTGCTCTATGAAGTTCCAATCTTCGTTCTTGATGATCGGCTGGCCGTCGCCACCGTTCATCTGCAGAAATAACATATTGGACATGGTGATGTGGACACTTATGTATGGTGGTCGTAAGCAACACTTGCTCCCACTCTACATTGGACACATGGCATCGACAGAAGAGAAGTGTCGAAACCTAAAATATGCATGTAACTTTCACCGCGAAACGGAGAGAGGCCTGATGATCGATGGGGACGAAACAGGAGGGGGAGTTGGGGGGGACGTCTGAGAAAGAAATATACACTGGGCACAGTGCGGTGTCGCTGCGAACGGTACTATCTGCCTCGCCAAACATGGGGTCTGTGCGCCGTCTTGGCTGCTCAAGTACTATCGTTTTCTGCAAATAAAACCCGCCCACCAGAGTCACAGTTCACCACACTGAGAGTCACCCCGTCCTCTCTCTCTCTCTCTCTCACCTCGGCGATCGTCACCGACTTGCAAATGGGAAAAGCCCGACTCGAAAGACGCTTAAAATACCCCGATTAAGCCTAGTCTCCGGGTGCGTGCGTGGGCGAGTGATCTTGAGCCTGGGGCAAGAACATACGCTGCATGTAATGATGGCGATTATATACTGCTGCGATATGCTACGCTCGTTCGTGCAGGCTTTTTGGTCTTTCGTTTTCAGCCCTCTCTCTGTGCGCCGCACTGCACGCACGCGCCCCCGTAACTCGTGCCAACGCTGAAATCGCTAGCGCCAACAGAGCACGGCGTTTCCCCCACTCTCCAGGGGAGCGCGTGGGAGGGACGCGATGGACGCTTTTGACAAAGGCGCGTGAGGGGGCGCGTGGTTACGTTCGCAGGGATGGGGAGTATTAACTGAAAGATCGAAAGAGCGACGCTGTTGAGGAGATTTCATTACAGGGGTGGTTTTGTGGGTAGCTGCTCCATGAAAACACGAGCTGTTCTTCTCCATGATTAGGGCTTCGAGAGAATCAAAGCGGATCATTAACAGAAAAAAAAAAAAAAGAAGGAGAAGAAGAAAGAAGAAGGTTTCATTTGGATCATTGACCGAAAGAGAACAGAGATCATCACATCAAACGAGGAAATCGGGGAAAAGCTCTTTGCTCATTCGAACTCGGAAAAAGAATGCACACGTTCGGGACAAAAATGGCAAGCTGAGCGAAACGTTGGGAGATGGGGGGCCTGCGCATATCAGCGGACCGAGGATTTCCGAAAACGGTGAGGGGTTTTCCAGAGCTTTTGACTGGGGGGGCTCTCAACTCTCAAGCAACGGGAATCATCGACAATCGAAGAACAACGACGGGGCTTTGAGGATATGCTCGTGAAAATTGACGAGTATCGGTCATTTTTTTTCAGATCGAAGGCGTCAAAATGAACGAACTGGATTTGCTTGTTGGCAAAATGCCCTTAGCTTCCAGGCGATCTCTCGCTTCCGCTATTCTGTAGCATGCACGCAGAGCAGAAAGAAAGAGTGGGAACAGACGAGTCCGGCACGAGGATGAGTTCAAGAATAAGAGGAGGAGAAGAGTATCTTCGTCAAAAGGCCGTGCTAAACCGCCATGGAATGGAACCGAGCGGTTTCCCTTCCCTTCATCTCTCGAAGACAAGAAGCGAGAACGCGCTACGCCAAAAAAGCGACGGGAACAGAGGAAAGGCGCGTACCTTTACTGGGAATCGGCCGAGCCTCGACTGGTCTTCCGAGCTAGGTGCCGAGCCCCGATCCTGCAAAAAGAGATGGAACTTTTGAGGGCGATGGTCGATGGAAACGACTGAGGTTAGAGAAAAAGAAAACCATAGAGAGTGAGAGAGTGAGAGAGAGAGAGACGAAGAGGAAGGACGAGAGGAGAGAAGGTTTGAGCGGCCAACAGAACCTCCAACGTTCGGGCGCCTGAGAAACGAAATCTCAGAGAAGCTTTCTGAGCGAGAAAATGGCGATGGCGGGGAGAGAGAGAGAGAGAGAGAGAGAGAGAGAGAGAGAGAGACAGCGAATGCAGTTATGCATGGGAAGAGAATCAGCAGGGGAGAGGAGAGAGGGAGACGATGGTAATGATTGTGCAAAGTGTTGTAAAATTTGAATGGCTTCGAATCAAGAGAGCAATCAAGTCGGACTTTGAGGCGTGATATCACTTTCCTTAAGGATTTATTTGCCTCACAATTGTTGCTAATGGTTCTGCGGCAAAAATCCTCCGGGATACAACAAAGTCTCAAAATGAGAATACTTAGATAGCAATTCAGTATTTCTCCAGGATCTCTCTAGGAAACAATTGAAAATGATGGCTGTAGTTTTTCGAAAGAAGACTTGAAAAATTGAATGATTTTCCTTCTTGCCAAAAACTGACATATATAGAAATCGGTCTTCATAGGCAACTCTTCACGAAAGGTTGCAAAGCTAACAAAGATATTCCTTCGGAAGAAGTTGCAAACTGAACAAATGCAACGCTTCGGAAAAGGTTGAAAACTGAACAAGTATAATCTCCAAAAGTTGTCTTGAAAAGACACATGTAAAATTCGGAATAAAATAAAATAAAAAATATATATAAATAAAATTCCGAATTTTCATACTTTCGAAAATTATTTAATAAACAAAAAACAACCTTTCAACTAATAAAGATTAAGGAGATAACCTTACGAAATAAAATAAAAAAAAAGGGATTAGAGCTAATTAAACCGCGGCTAATAATCGCGCCAAAATCGCGCAATTATTCGCGCATCCGCACGCGGGTATTGTGTGGACTAGCACACACCCCATTGTCTTCACTCTAAGGAGTAAGAAGACAATCACAGTTATAAAATGGCCCACTTACCCAAAACTTTCCTATGTGGGATAAAGGAAAAAGCATTGTTTTGTTTGTTTTACAAACAAACATCCAACACAAAGACGAGAGAGGAGAGGAGAAGGGTGCCGCTCCCCTCTCCTCACGTGAGAGGGGTGTCGCTCCCCTCTCCTCACGTGCCTTCGCTGCTGATTCGGTTGCTGGTCCCACAGCCGTCAAAAACCCACTGGGAAATGACCATCGTATCCCTGGTGGTCTCTTCCTCAGGCCATTTTACGAGCGCGATGAGTTTTAAGCACACCGCCCAGTAGGGAGGTGACACGTGCCAGGGTTCACAGAAGGGTACAACAGCTCTTTCGTTATCCCTTTCTTTATTTTTTTCCTTTTTTTTTCCCGATTTTCTTTTTATGCTTCCGGGACTAAGATTCAAAAAATTTGGAATGTTCTCGTGTAGGATGAGGTAGCAAGCGACTGCGATTTACGTCCTATGTTATGAAGCATCGCCATCTTCAGATCAAATCACTCGCAAGCATTTTCTCGCCGATACTTTTATAGCCTCTACGTGATTGTTCGTATTTTTGTTGGATCGGGAAGAATTTAACTAAATTCGATTTGGGGGGAGCTAATTCAAAGATATCGCCAATATTTAAGAACATGGTGAGCTGATATGAGCTGATGTAGCATCGAGCGTAGGCATTGCATTATGGTTTTACCTTTCACTGTTCACTCGCTTTGTATGAATCCTTGATACAGAAACTATTTGGTTTCGGTCGCTACTAAAAGAACTAGAGGGTGCACATCTGCAGTCCCCTCACCGAATTCTAAATGAAAATCGTTCTTGGAATAAAAGTCCGATTGAAATTTTTTCCCTAAACACCAAGTTCATCGCTTAATTTTATGGCTATAGCTTACCTATACTATTATATAAAATAAAGAGGACCGCTCCCTTTTAAGTTACCGTAATCTCTTTTTTCTTCGCTAAAATATCCTTATAATAATTCTATTAACAGACAATCGTGTAAATTAGCTATAATATCTTATCTCTCGCGCATTTTATAAAATTCAAAGTTTTCCTATCTAATGAACAACCTTCTAAAAAAAAAGGTTCAATTTCTTGAAATTTTCTTCCTTTCCCATGTGCAATTTCTTGGTTTGATAATTCAAACATTATGTTGTAAAGTGATTTTTGCAAGACCTTTTAAATGTCAATTTTTTCGAATTCGCGTAATGCACGTACATGTTTACTGGTACATAGAGAAAAAAAAAAAACAAATCCAGGTGCGGTTCGATATTAGAGTTAGGAACTAGGCCGAAAAGAGGGATGAGCGTGAACAAAATCGGGTTAACTTTCGAGAAATACAGATAAATCGGAGCATCGTGGAATCAGAAATCACGTGTTTTAAGAAAAGGAAAGTTTTGGGAGATTAACAGCTCAAAAGATCTTGGAATTTTTATCTAATAATCAAATTAATTCCTATGACACGATCTTCCCCAATCTAGACAAATCAAAGCCGGAAACAAAAGAGGAAACTCACTTGAAACTTTTTGCTGGACGGTTTACTATGTTTCCTATTTTGGATTGGCGATGTTTCTCGACCGACCCGGTACAATAACTCTATATATATACACACACATACATAGCCCAAGAACATTCACTTCATAATTAATCCTCAAAGGTTTTTCACGAAAGATGTCGGATTATCGAATTTTAGTTTCTGCGAGGCCAGCGTTTATTCGAGATGATCAGTCTTTGCCTCGCGCTATTCTGATCATATCATGCCATGTCAATTGCTTCCATATTGAGTCCGATGTGCGGGGAGGTAACTCCCCGGCATGTTTCGCGGACGACGACTGTACCTTCTCCTTCCAATTCGAGCATCTGTGCGGGCCATTCGCGTCTGAAGACTGCTCGCCCTCGTCGCCGTCGTGGGCTATCGTGTCCTCCATGCTGGACGACATCCGCTTCCCCTTCGCGTTGGACCGGCTCTGGTGGCTAGATGAGAGCACGGGGAAGGAGAGGCGCCTTACCCGCGACGAGGTGGTGTCTGAGATCGCCAGGGTCGCTGGCCGTGTGGTGGACGATCCTTGGAACGACGAGCGCAAGAGGATGAAGATGGCGGTGGACATCACGAAGAGGGTCGCCGTCTCGGGGCACGAGATCCGCCGGATGCGAGAAGGGCGATGGAGGCTCGAGCTGCGGAACTTGCACTCGACGATGCTCGCGGTGGAGGAAAGCGGGAGGAGGATACCGGCCCGGGATTGGGAATTCGTGTTCGATCTGAT